CAGATTTTGGCACAGCGAGACATGACAGCAAAACATTTCTCACCTAGAAACATCACGCAGCTCCCATAAAATCCTTAGAAATTCTTCTGTCTGTGGAGTCGACTTGAGCAAACGATCAACCGCACTCACCTGAATGAAGTATGTAAGAAACAGTAGGATACAAATATAAATCTACATATGTAAAGCAAATGCCCTTTATGGTAACAGGAACCCACCACCCTCAAATGTACTTCAAGATTTATTCCAATTTCCAAAAAGCTGCAAGTAAAACCCTTCGATATCAAAACTGAAGCATAGCGGAGAGGGACACACTCCTCCTCCTTGTTCAGATCAACAGATCCCTTCAGAGATTGTATTATTGTAGCAGTCAGCTGAGAATGATCTAGCAAATAACTCAATCCTGGAAAACAGAAGAAATGGGCTGTATTACAACTCTAACGCACATAATGATCAAGTGTGTTCTAATGAGAAAGCAAAATGAGAATACCTGTGCGAGAAAACATAAGTGAAAGAATTATGTTTCCAATAAACATTGCGATATCTGCAAAGACATCCATAATGTCTCCAGCTTTAGAATGCAATCCAGGCATTGAGAGAAGTGCTGCCGACAAAGGAAGAAAACCCCGCTCCTGCTCATTGTGAGATGCTTCAAGTAAGGTTTATCATTTAAAAACTCTCTAAAAATTTGATTTTAGTGACATAACGAGAAGTGGAAAAGCTAAGTTTATTTGGACACGCAACATATTCATCAAATGTTTTTAGCAACTAAAATAGTGCTTAAGGTGCAAGTCAAAGACTAATTTAACCAAGTGATCTACCTTCAGAAGTGCCAACATGTGCGAATCAGTTCCAGAGTTGGAAAAGGGACATGCCCATGAAGCAGTTAGTTTACTTGTGGCTTTGTATGACAAATACCCTTCAGAATGATCAAAAACCAAGCTTCTTTCTGCGTAGGCTGATGGAGAGGGATCTTCAACAGATCCAAGTGACTTCATCAGCGTCTGTATCGACGATAGTCAGTAGTAACACCAGTGACAATGTTAAATGGTTGGTTTACATGATTTTATTAACGACCAAATAACATGAAATTATAATCAGCAACAAACCTGGAGTTTTTGAAGTTGTGACTTAGCATCAGATAGCATATTCAGATTATGAGTTGCAGCCCCATGTGAATTGGAGAGACCTTCCAGTGCTGACAACACTGCAAACTGATGAAAGAAAGTATCAATAACAGTAACATTAGGGGCCTCTCAAAATAATGCCAACCAAAAAGATTCTTAATATGGAGAGTACCTCATATCTTGATATAACCTCATAAATTCTCAAGCGACGAAGAATATAAATTGCAAGAGAGGCAATTTCATGACATGGTTTCTGCATGAGTAATTTCAACAGAAGACAGTAGCCTTCACTCTTCGCAGACGGGATATTTCCATCCTCACGAGGCCACCAACTTAAAAACCCCTCACACCCAACTGCATGGCGAGTAGCCTGCTCAACAACTCCAAGCAACAGCAAGGTGATGGTTGTAGAATTCTGAACATCATGACGAAACAAATATAAAAGTTGATCCATCCCCCCAGAATCGACAAAATGGAGGCAGCCTTCTCGGCCAGAGCATAATAAAAAGGCCAAACTTAAACCTAGAAGAGTGGCTTTCCCCTGAAATGAGAAAAATAAACAGATATGAGTAATAAAAATTTCTATCACCAGCGTGTGAGAGAGCTAAGAATAATTTTGTAATACCTTTGAAAGCTGTGGAAGGGCAGTACACAAGGAATCCCTTTCAAACTGAATATATGGGCTTAACATATCGACCAATTGTTGAGAAGTGGCCAAATCAGTCTCTGATTCAAGGAAGCCGAACACTGCTGATGATCCAAGTGGCACATCTGATTCTTGAACTTCATTGAGACCAAGAATGTCTTTCTTAATCTTGTCAGTTATCTCATGGAAAATCCCAGAATCTATGGAACTGGCCCCGGCCAGACCATTCTTATTCTTTAGAAAGAAATCTACGTTGTCTGTAACATAAGACGAGACCCCAGACACTACCATATCCACAAATCTATTAACTACATCATTAGTGGCTAGCTGGTCAAAGACTTTTACCAGCAGCTGCAACAATCGCTTAACTTCCACAGGCACATCTACAGCAGCCAGGGGTAGAGATACTATGTCTAGAGACGATAGACATTCATCTATTGTTCTGTTGACTGAGTGCAACACCAACGGCAAGTCCTCAAGATTACCTTCAGTGGAACTCACAATATCAGTTACAGAACGACCTTCAAGAATGATATTGTACTGCCCCAAATCTTTCACAATGTTCCCATAGACGATCAAGCTCAAACTCCGGTAGCTACCTCTAACCACAAGATGGTTTGTTACAACAGCCTGCAATTTTGATGAAAACAGTCCTTTGAGATATGGGTGCTACTCAAAATAACGCAAGGAAATGAACCTTACAAAAATGAAATGGAAAAGCAGCAAACATCAATTTGAAAAGAAATCATATCGTAGCAGTTACCTCCACTTCCAAAGGATAGGGCGCTGAAGGGGTGTATAGAAAAGGGTTACAAAGACGCTTAAACTTTGATTCTCCTTCACACCGAACGAACACTTCCAATGCAAATGAAGGAGGTGAAGTAGCCCTGATGAAGAATATTGTCAACATTCAGATAAACCTCCACATATATCGCCCACACTAAAGACAAACCTCAAGACATGCCACGGATTCCAAGTCAATCAGTATAAGAACACACAGCCAAAAGAACATACCCGACAAGGGAAACGGCTTGAGAAGAAGAGGAGGCATTCTGCTCCAAAAATTCGCAGGCTGTGATGACCACTGGCTCAGCAAATATCACCTATAAGAATCAAAGGAAACATGATATAAATCCCCAGAGGCGATCAACTGAACAAATAACTTTGTGACATCAAATGCCAAACCATCACATGAAATACTTGTTCCGACCAATCTCGACCAATCTGGTTTATGGCAGCATTTTCAAGAGTATCATAAACCAAAAGGCCAATAGAGCGACAGCTTAGAAGGTTACCTCGTCGACATACTCGTCCAATTGAGGATGAACAAAGGTCTGAGCGAACAGAACACAAGGCTCGGTTCGAACCATGTCTACAGGATGATTGCCAGTCTTCTGGAATCGCCTACGCTTCTTAGAAAAATAGATTCAGCCTGGTTGCTAAATCTGAGATTATTCAATGATGCCGCTCAATTAGAGTAATCAGAGACGAAACGGCACTTTACACAAATTCAAAAACCCAAAGGGTGCGCGACCGCAGCAACTAGGTCACGAATATCGTCTATGTGAAGTTTCTTCAATAGAAATGGAACAATCAGGTTTGAATCTCACTACTTTGGGATCGACACAGACCTCGGAAAAAAGGGAGAAAACTTGTTGCATTGAGCAACGAAGCGACAGGAGGAATGAGAAAACACACAATTGTTTAAGAGTAACGAATCGAAGAAGCTTGCCTGGGAATTCGAAGGGGAGATGGCGACGCAGAGCCAAGGAGAAACGCCGTTGAAGCTTTTTATTTGCCGGCGGTAAGCTCTTTTTGTTTAACCGGCGTTAAGGTTTTTAGGGTTGGCCCGGTAGAGACTAAACGATAAAAAGCTTTTGTATATCGATTTAAGCCAATATCAAAATAATCGTTTGTTTTTTCCCCAATATCCAATGTTTGCTCTCTAAATTTTTTAAAAAATTATTATTTTACTTATACACACAAATATCTAATTAGTACTACAGTTTCGCTTTTATTATTAGTTAAGCAAAAAAAATATTGATAGTTATGGATCCAATTTGTCAAAACTCCACATATTCATATATAGCAATGAAAAATAAGTAGATTATCCTACAAATAAAAACCGGGATAAACACACTTAAACCTTTCAAAAGTCGGTTAACATCTTACAACCGAGGCAAGTTGAACATACTTTTGTATATGTATGGTGAATATATCATGTTTTATCGGTTGCATTTCCTGAGATTTTTCTATACGAATTTTCATTTTTGTTTTTTTTTTCTTCCTCTGGACCCAACTCGCAAAGTCCATATATTTTTGGATACTCATGCATGTGTCATATATATTATATAGCAATGAAAAAAAAAATCAAATCATCCTAAAATCGGGATAAATAGATCACAAACACTTAATAAGTCAATATATATAAAAATAAAACATCATAGCCGTGGATGTTGGAGCAAGAGGGAAGTGGTTAAATTATTACACAACCATATATCATTTAACGATATATTGGACTTGACATGAGATGTCCTTAGTTCTGGTTTGAAGGCTTAAGCCAAGGCTTTGGCGTAGGAGCCGGTCTACAGAGGATGGGATAGTTCTCGCCTTCTACAAATGTACTCCAGACCTTAGCTTGATACTCAACAAGAGGACCATCAGGTTTCTCTGTAGCCATAAATGTAATGTATGACTTATATAATTGGGTCCTTTTGAGTAGAGACCACTCACCACTTCCACAAACTCCACATTCAGTTCCTCTTTTGCAAAAACAAGAAATCAAATAAATAAAATTATAGAGGTTGGAAACCTCTGACTGGGCCAGAGTTTCTCAGCTCCAGTTGGTGTTGGGCATTGTATTAACATAAATTCGACCAGATATACAAAAACAGCTCTTACATATGTTACATAATTTGAACTTCTTACAATTCTTGTTTGTTTCAGAAACTTAAACACACACACACACAAAGAGAGCTGTTTGTTCACATGAGAAAATCAGAAACCACAAGAGTTTTCACACACACACTAGTTGGAACAAGTGGGTTTAGTTACCAAAAGCCCATCATTGTTCTTCACCAGGTTTTACACAGAGATTAAAAAAAAAACAAGGTTGATCTCACCTGACACGGCGAGGAAACCTTAGTAGAGAAGAATGAGCCAAAGATGATTTGCCTGTTCACAATCAAATGGATTGGGAATCCGTTTGACTGAGAAACAACGGTAAAGGATCAGGTTTTGAAACTGCAGCAGACGTTATCCATTGTTGCTGCTGCAATCCACTTGCTAGGCATTACCATGCCACCAAGGGGATGATGATGGACTGAAGAACTTAGAAAGTAGTTCATGCTTGTAACTTCTGATCCCGAGACATTTCGTCCATTCGATATGTTCACCGTCCCTCTTTCCGGGTGAAGAACTTCAGAATTCTGAGAGTTACTTTGCTGAGGCTGAGACTCACTCTGCTTCTTTCCAGCAGCTTTCTTTGCATTGCCTCCGCTTTTCTCCATGTTCTGACTTTTAGTATTCAAGAATCTCCCACCGGATCCTCTAGGACGGCGCAATGCGTGGAGATGCCGCGAATGATGCATATATGGCTGCAACATACATACATAACATAAGTAAGGCAAACAAAAAACTGGAATTGATTTGCAACAAGAGTATCAAATGGTACAATCACCTTACGGCATCTGCTACTCAGTTTGTTCTGATCAAGAACAGCAGCAGCCTTTGCACGGGATTGGCGTCGCCTGATGATTCCATGGTACTGCTTCGAGTTCACATAGATTGTTCCATCTTCTGTTTCCATGTTCAGAGGAAGCATCACCCTGCTCTGAGATCCGTAGGCTGAAACAACTCCATAGTATTGTTGTTCCGCACAAGGATACTTTGTGTAGATCTAAAATGACCAAATACACCAAGCAAAATCTACCTATCTTAGAAACAAATTAAAAGGAAATTGATTTTGAATATGTTTTTCAGTGCGGACAACTGTACCTGTGGCTGAGTAAATCCAAGTTCCAAGCAAGGTTGGTTCAATGAGAAAGCAGCTCCATGAGGCTTTTCCACAACTCTTGAACTCTTCCCATCACCTAAAAGCATTACAAAACTGCTCTTTTAGATTCACCGTTAATCGATACAAAAAGAGAAAACCTTTTCTACTTCAGAATTTGAAGCACACAAAAATCTCACTACAACCATCCATTTCAGGACGTTCATGAAGAAAGACAAAGGGAAGTTAAAGAGTTACCGAGTGAGAAAGCTAAGTGAGAGGCAGAGTTGCTCTGTTTATCCACACGTTGTCCTGTCTCTCCGGCAGATCCGACCTTAACTCCAGGGAACGAGTCAGAGTCGCCGGCGAGACTCTCCGGAGCCAACGGCTGAGATCCAAAAGCATTCCACCAAGAAATCTGCGGAGCAGAGTGGAGACTTTCTCTCACAGTTTGCATAGCCATCTCCAAAATCCAATACAAAAGTGAATAAACAAAAAAGGAAATCACGATTTGATGTTGCCGAGATGAAAGATTTGTTCCTGTGTGAAAGATGAACAAGAAAAAGAAAAGTCAACAAAGTAATAAGACTTGGATGTGAAATTTTGGTCGAATTTCAAACCCAACTGAGAAAAATCTGATAAAAAACGTAGGAACTTTGGGATTGGGTATTGCACAAAACCACACGAATGACGAAACCCATATGTGAATCATCATCAAGAGACAGACTTGTTGTGTAAAGTAAGAAAAAATATTGCGAGAAACGAAAAAGATAAGACACAGAAACTGAAATCTTTTTAACAAACCAAACACTAGACAAGAGTCCCAAATAGCAAACAAAGTCTAAAAAGAAGATGAGTAAGAAATAAGCAAAACCCCAAATGTTGGTCAAAATCAAACACACCAAAACCTATGTGAATCTAACTAGCAAAAGAGAAGAGATTGAGGAAACTTACACACAGAGGGAGTGAGAGAGTGAGAGAGAGCTTCAGATTCCTAGGAAGAGGCAGAGAAAAGCCCAATTGTTAGGAGCCATGTCGGTTCCAAAACAAGAAACAGAGATTCATTCACGCAAGACACTAGAAGAGAGAGAAAGAGAAGGGAGAGAGAGAGTCGAGCCAATATATGAATTACAAGTGTAGTAGATGGCAACTATTGCTTCATCCACCAATCACCTTCAACTTTTATGCTACTCTGTTTGTGTTTTGTTTTTTTTCCAACTTTCAACTTTATTTCGAGATATATAAAATTAAAATAATTGCTCTTACTGTAGCGTTGGCTTGACGTGCTTTCTTCAAAAGCTACAATGATCCCACTTAAAACCATTTTTCCCAATTCTCCATTAGGTGGAGTAGTGCTTGGGTTGTCAATTAAATTGTTCATTATGATTGTGGTCCTTGTAAGCTTTTTAATTCTAAATTTTGTTTATACGTCATAGTGAAAAAAGTATCGCCACTCAAAAAATGATAATAAATAAAGTAAGCAGCCTGACAACTTCAACAATGACGTGCCAATATTTTGCTATTATAAGCTCGTGACTCATTCCCTATCAATTTATAATATAAAGTCTACTACACACAACCTTGTATAATTCTGATAATGGACCAAACATGTAATCACATGAATAGATTGACACTTGTTGAGATGTTGTTCTTAACTAGGTTTTCAAGATTTTTTTTCACACATTGTCCTTTTGTTTCCTCTTTTGTTATGTTTCTTTAAAATAGTTCAAGTCATTTTGTGAACGTACCAGTCCTTACACATGTATATGTATAAGCTCTATAGATATTAATTCTAATGTTATATAATACCTTTATTTCAAATCCTATTGTCAAACGTGGAACATATATAGCTATAATTTGTATTTGCTTATATAATTGATATAAAATATATATAGTTTATTTTATTAGAATGTAAAAAAATAAATACTATATGTAAACGTAACCGTGAATGCAAAAAAGCAATCACATTCAAAAGATAGTTAGTATGGTCTAAGGGCAACTAAGATTAGATTGAAAACAATAGTTTAGTTGGTTAAGATTAGTGTTTGCTTTTGTTTATTTATTATATATGTAGTGTTAAGCTTACCCCATGCACCACCAGCTTACTATCTTTGCCAACACATTAATCAATTGAATTATGCACTTGCTAACTTCTACTATATATCTTAATTTATACTCACCATATTATCTAAACTTATCTTAAATATCTGAATTTGCACACACACAAACATTTCTTAAATATCTGCACCACACTTTTTGGGATTACTGATATAATTCTATGATTTAAGTGTAGTCGAGACTAGAAGATTAACATAAATATAGCTCATTTTCCAAATCATTTTTACTTTAGCTTCAATTGTTATTAGTGTACGTTTCCATTTTTAAAGTAGTTATCAAAGCATCTTATACAGTCAACCTAACAAGAATAGATGATGACATATATTGTCAACGTACGACGGATATCTATGATTTTATTTGTAAAATTGATGTTAAGCTAAATTTCATGAACCGTCACGGCGGCACCAAAAGATTTATACAAACTGTATCTACACACATGTTGAAAAGAAAAATATTTTATAAGATAAAACACAAAATTTGAAACGGATCAATTCTATATATATAACACAACCGAAATGAAATTCAAGAATAGATGGATTAAGGAGGAATTCTAAGGTGGCAGTGACTAGTGAGATGAACTGGTTTTGCAGGACCTACATATTACCAATATGAGGCAAACATGTGGCATTTATATATTTTTGTGTGATAATTGCATTGACCACCACTACATCAAATATTTATAAGCAAAGAAAGTAATTGTCCCAGATAGATAATATCTCATATAGTAATTTTGTAAACATATAGATGGCAGTTGCATGCCATGTTACGAAGACGTTTTCTCGTATCGATTTTTAGTTCTACTTCTATCTATCATCGATTTTTGGTCTTTTTGAAATAACTCTACATATAATTAATTATTTCCATATTCAGTCGGGATCATCTATGATTCGTCTTCTCTAGATGCGTTATCCGTATGAATACGGAAATAAAATATATATTTTTATAAAGTTTTTTTACTGTGGGATAATTTCTTAACAGTAAATAAATCATAAACTTAATACCTTTCCTTGTAATATAAATATCTAACACCACTAAAACCATCTCCATTGGTAAACCCCTTAATGGAGCTCTTAACTACTTTTTTAATATAAATTTTCTATCACTCAGTTTTAAGAACATTTGAAATATATTTTCCTTTTTTACTTTTCCATTGGTAGAATCTTTAATGGGTCTCTTAAAAATAGAAAATCTATATTTTGAACTATTTAATTCTTTCGCCAAGTTTGTGGCGGCTCAAACCGGCGGCACGTCAACCTCATTATTAGCTCCGATGTGTTTGAAGATTTGCCTTCCTGCATAGGTCTTGGTAAGTTGCTCTTATCCATTGCAACTAGTGAAAAGCTAATTGAATCTGGATATCTTTATGATTGAAATTGGTTTCGCTAATACCAACATTTCTATTTCAATTTTTCAGATGATAAACAAAGTTTAACACGGTACATAGAGAGGGATTAGAGAACACTAACTGGTCTCACTCATGCACAAGTGTATCCATGAGAGATGGAAACTCCTTGCTCATTTCTTGAATCACCAAAGTCACCATATCCACATTGTCCAGTTCTTTCAACTGAAGCGATCCAATTTACAATCGATAGATACGTAGAATCAAGATTCACTAGTTATAACGAATCACATTAAATCACAAGTGCAGAAATGTGTTACACAGTAAGACTTACCATTTTGTTGAGTTCTTCAGGGCTCGGCAGAAAGACAGCTTGAAACAAGGAGTATACCAACTTTATTTTTTGCCGTAGAGGCAACTTCGCCCATGTTCTTTTCACAGTGATCTGCTTCGGAAAAATATTGAAATCAAATGAGTATACACCGGAAGATGCAACTCCATGTTATAAGATATATACTAACATTACTAAAAGAATGCTTTGAAACTGTGGACCTAACAACACATCACTTGTACAGGATAATCACCAAGTATCACCTTGCCGCCATATTTAAGCTTTTGGTATTCCAAGAAAATCTGTTTCCACGAAATTGTGTTCCTCCCTGCAATCTGGACAAATATTTATCTCGCTTCTAATTGCTTCAGTGGCACGAAAGTGGCAACCACAACTAACACACACCTCGTAGTTTCAAGAGCGACCCCTTCTATAAAGTCATTGCCTATATGAAGACTAACATGAGCCAGACTATTTTCAACATCAGAAACATGGTGGTTGATCTCCTCATTCACACTAGACTCGCATTCAACATCATAACCTTGATCCAAATCACCAGGATGATCATTGAAAGAACTCTCATGACTTTCATGTCTACTACCTTCATTCAACAAATCCACTATAAATTCGATTCACTAACAACCTTTCTACATGTGTCCAGGATTCAACAACCACTATATAAAAATTCATAGCAATAAGACAAATTCATGGTGCTTAGACTCTCTACTTAAATATTATTTACAAAAGCAAAAACCATTCATCACTCAGATTCTAGTCGCTTCAGAACATCAATCGAAGGTTGGCAAAGTTTCACGATGGTCAACAACATTAGCATCCTAAAGCCCAACTAATTCTCAAACAATACAGATTTAATTGTATACTTACATACCAATAATCATGATCGATGGTTCACAGGTTTTTAAACCTTTCAGATATTATACTCTTCAGAAGTTAATATGATGGACCAACATTAAGCTCGCGCATACAGTGATGATAATATAAGGCAATGGTTCCTATTCCAATTGATCCAAATTCCTCTAAGAACCACCCGCACAATTACGAAATCAAACTCTTCAAAAAAAAAAATGCACAGAACCTCAATCGAAAGAGACCAACAGCAAATATTATCAAAGAGAACCTGAAGAGGAGGAAACTGAGCCGAAGGTGCCGCTTGCTCGAGAAGCTTCGTCGAAGAATGGAGAAGACGACGATGATTAAATAATTCAATACACAAATCTCCTTGTTCTTGTCGAAGAGATCGATCGAGAGAAGAGACTAATTCCCTTTTTTTGTTGGTTTTTGTTACACCCAACCCTAGATTGACACGTAAGGGTCTTTTAATAATTCTAAAAACTCTGAATTAACAACCGACTCTTCACATTTTTATTCATAAGTTAATTATTTATTAGTTTTTTATTTTTAAAAACTCTTAAAAAATTGTTAAGAGTCACCGATGAAGGTGCTCTAAGAAGATATATAAACAATCCCTTCGCACCTTTCTTAAAAGTGATTCTGCTTTTCTTCTTAACAAGATAATTAGTCGCATTAGATATTCTCCTATTATGCGATTTATTTGTAAGTCACTCGAAGGCTCCACTTTCATAAACTTCCAAAAATTCATGAAGTGACTAATCACCAACTATATATATTTAATAATAGTGTCTTTTGGAAAAAGAAAATAAAAGATTAAAAATATACGAAATTGATATTTTTTATATGCATGGATTAACAAAAATATTATATGAATCGGAGCTGCATATGCATTCCACTTGAATGTACGAACTTTGTGGAATGCACGAACTGAGAACATTCACGTGGAAGTCTAGTGTATACGTACTTTAACAACAAAAAAGTCAAGTGTATACGTACGTTTACGGAAGTAAAGAAGTTAAAGAACCTTTGCATTTATGTCATTTCTTTTTCTTACTTTTTTAGTTTTGAGCTTTTGATCGTTGCCACCCCCCAAAAAATATTTCGATCCCGTTCATAAATATTAAACTTTTACAAAAACTTGTTTTGTTGGATATGCAAATCCACATCATCGAGGGCTATTATACAATACTACACTACAGCCGAATTTTTCTCGGTAGTAACGTTCAATTCTTATTTTGTAGAAAAATCAGTGAAGGGAAGTAGTTTAAACTTATTAGGAGCAAATGCAACATAATTAAGGTAGTTATAAAAAATGAATAGTTTAATTATTACCTCCTAGATTACTTAGTTTTCCAACTTAACCTCACAATTTAAAGTTGTAATCTACATAACTTCCGAGTTAGTTGAAATTCAACTTACATAATTATAACTTAGAGATCTTCATAACTGGACTATGTCAATTCTTGCTTCAGACATCCATCTACAAGCTCGTTTAACTCTCTAGGTTAGCTATGGCTTTAGTCATTATAACTTATTACTTTTCATTGAATAACTTAAATCATTTACATCAGTCGGATACGGATATTGTGATACATTTATATCGCTAATTGAATTTGGGCCACCAAAGGGATCGGCCCAGTAGAGAGAATCTAAAACAGTAGTAAAAGCAGAGGTCTTATTATTAAGTCTGGCCGACACGCGGTTCAACAAGGGGAGCACTGAAACGGCATGCGGTGTGTATTAAAAAAGTTAGAACAGCGGGAAGTGTGAAACTAAGCAAAAGTCCCACATCGGTTAGAAGAAACAAAGGAAGCATTGGGAACTCGGTATAAATAAGAGACCCATGGCAGCAAGATAATTACTTACCTGGACGGGGTCAACTCGTGATCAAGAAGACGAGTGGCCTAGGCTAGTGACTTCCATTGCACTAAGGAAGGGTGCTTAGCTTAAGGTCTTCCCACGTGGAAGAGCCTGCGTCATTATTTGTGGCAGAGGGGGTTTGCGTTCGCGCAGCCCCCACCATTCTCTCAGTCGCTGACTTTTTAAACTTCCAAATTTTTGCTTCTGAGTTCCTATAATAACATAAAGCAGAAATGTGTGGGTATTTCTGTAAATAAATATGTAGCTGAATAGGATTTTATAAGCACATTATGTCCCAGATCGATTCGGACATACATATTTTTTAAACGGAGATGGCCAAGTAATTTGAATCGAATAATCGAGAGCAAATACGATTAAAGATACATTTTGGTTGGTATTTGTTAATGACCTTACATAAGCTAATGTGTTCATAAGTTACACTCAACAATATTTCTCTCTCTCGTTCTCCCTACAAATCTCTCTCCTTTATTTGTTCCTCACAATCAACAAATTCGTACATTGTCCCCGCGACAGAACATGGAGTTACCTCGTCGCTAAGAAGTTAACCGGAAGCAATATTCTCCATTATAAGCCGTCATCAAGAATCGTAGAGCTCAGTAGCTCACGAACAAACTCGCTCCGCTTCTCCTTCTGCTTATGATCCTCAACTGAAACAGATGCTTTTTTTGCATTCCTACCATCGAAAAAATCTTCGTCAGAGGTCCGTACGCAGGTATACGACTCAACTTGATCAAAGATTTTCAATTTGGCTCCTAAAATCCCAAGTTCACATAAGCAAGTCCACCGATACAAATGTTTCATCTAACAGATTACAAACTTCATCGAAGAAAGAGTATGTTCCAATGAGCCAATGGGAAGTTCGAGAGCAAACACTTGAAGAAACTGAGAATTATTTAGGTTCGACCATAATCATTCAGTCTTTTGAACATACCAGCAAATGCCAGATTTAAACTAACACGAGTGAGCACACAAGAGGTTAGGTAGAACAAATGACTGAGGAAGGGGAAGCATACCTTTCCGGTACACTCTGAACTGATGTTTTCTTCACAGGACCGGTTTCTGCAGATATACAAGACTCGGATGTGAAGAACCCATCAGCAATAGGTGAGATGAAGGACGACAACAATGGGTCAGCCGCTACATTGGATGGCGAGGAAGAAGATACTATACACGAAGATCCGTTAAAGAGGCTCTGAAAGTTTCCATCAGGAAACTCTCTCCTCAAGATGGACAACGTGGAATGTGACCCGGCTCTTCTTGATTTTCTCTTGCGCTGCATGTAATGTCTCGTTAAGGCTTGTTACAACACAACCTAATGGCAAGTTGGAGAAGCACTAGCAGAGAAAATTGATCGGCATATAAGACTTGGCAGATGTGGGAACAAAAAAAAGGATATCTTGAATATATTTGCGTGCTGAAGGGTTATATGAGCAATCATGTCAACACCCACCCTAAGCGCACAAACCGGACATACCTGCAATAACAATGTTCACACTAGACATAACTAAACACCAAGGTGTCACAGAATCCAAACGAAATTCCCCAGAAATATATTTGATATGACAAACTAGAGAGTTTCCTCTCTGAAAAAAAACAGCAATTCGCTGCTAATTCTATTATTTCGTCACGAGTCTCAATACAATATATGCTAATATTCCATATTTGTACTCACAGAGTTTCAACTGGCTGTTGCTTCTGTTATATCCTCCAAGAAACACAGAAAACGCTCACTCTAGACTTTCATGTGACGAATCTAGTAGAATGTAAATACACATTTTTTTTTTTTGGTTTTCAAGTATGATACATAATGGTTTTGAACAAAACAACAAAAATTTACCCCATTTCTGGCTTCCATAGGATGATCTTCATCTATGTGGATGCAGAGAGACACGATGTCAAAGTAGTCAGAACAGAAAGGGCAAGCAAACTCTTCCCTGAGCTCTTCTTCTCCATCTACCTTTTCAAACCCTAAGGACGTATCTGCAATCCCATAGAAACCCATCAAAGATATAATAAAAGAAAGAGGATCATAGGAATGCTAAAACGCTAGTCCAATGCAATGTTACAGCTTATGGAAAAACTTGTCTTTATTCTAAGAAAAAAAAAACCTGAAATTTATCATGTTCATAAACACTGAGCGTAGTAGCATCACACAAGTAATTAAAATGGTACAAAGGCTGCAACTTTGGATATATCTCATCCATTTTATCAGAAATCAAGCCAAACAATCAACAGAAGATTAAAATTTCATATCAAAATCAAACGCTACTTCATAAGCTAACCAGATAGAGAGGCTCCGTTTCCTTCACTTTCTCAGATACCAAACAAAGCCAAAAGCAACAAATAAAAAAGCCAGATGACGAAATCTTCCATTTTTCACACAAAATCAAGTTTCTCAATTCGGAAATGAAAATTATGAAATCTAAAGTCTATGACTTAACTTCATCTAGGCAACGAAACATACTGCAGATGACGGACATATGATAGCGAAGAACAGAGGGAGAAAAATTGACATCCTTTAAACTCACCAGATCGGGATTGAAAAGCGAGCTGGTATCTTCTCGTAGCTGAAGCGAGACGATCACTCCATGAATCGGAATCCATTATTGGCAAAAAACTATTCAATCGAATTCCCGAGAAAAATCGACTTTTAAAAAACTTTTGTTCGTCAACAAAATGAAGCTATTGAAGAAATCGTGGAGATTCACAATCGGTTTAGGAAATAAAAGTTTTTGATTCTAGCTTCGGAGTCTGGTGATTGTCTAAAGCAATCCAACGAAATGGTAAGACAAATTACAAAGACCACGATTCTGGGTCGGGTTTTAACAAAGTCTTTGTCTTTTTTTTTTTTTTTTTGATTATCTCCTCCGCGTTTTAATTATTTTGGATAGAGTGAACATGTGAAAGACTCTTTTACTGTGTCAATGGCTTCCTTTCTGAAATGTCGCAGTTAAAAAAGATTGCACACTAAGCACAAAATTTGTGACTTCTTCAACTGTTTTGTTAATTTACTTACGACTTGCTTTTAACTAATTTTCTTCAACTTTCGGAAAACAATTAGTGAAAAAACTCCGATTTGTAAATCTGGGAGCTAACTTTCCCGTCGGAGAAGTTTAATCCCGCCGGCGATCGGCCGATCCTCCGATCACTCTAACAGCTTGAGAAGCCTCCGCCTTCGTTTCCTTTGGCGGGACAATTCGCGCTGCTTCGTTGCTTGTCTATGATGAAACAGCGATCCTGTTCAGATCTATAGCTTCCGATCGGAGGGGAAGCGAGAATCTATCTAGACGCCGTGATCTTGCTGACTGAGAGGTTCTTCATAGGGGTTAATATCTTGCTGATATGGCGACGAGGAATCGTACGCTCTTGTTCAGAAAGTACAGAAACTCTCTGAGGAGCGTCCGTGCTCCATTGACGGAGAAGGATTCGCTGCCGGGAGCGAAATCCGGCATAGGCCCGGTGATCGAGATGGCGAGCACATCTCTGTTGCATCCGAATCGCACCTATGCTCCAGTCAGTACCGAAGACCCAGGGAATTCGAGGTACTTCTCTTCCTCTCTCTCTCTCTCTCCGCCATTGATATGTTAAGAGCTTGGTGGTTGCATAAGAGATTCATCACTTAATTAGATATCTGCTAGTGTGAGTTAGCTCATCCTGAGCAAGAATATTAAGAGAACACTGGTTATTGAATACATTCGCCATTGAAAATTTGGCTGCTTTCTTTCAAAATTCCAGTAGAGGAGGAACTATAACAGTGGGACTACCACCAGATTGGGTTGATGTCTCTGAGGAGATTTCAGTGAACATTCAGCGTGCAAGGACCAAAATGGCTGAACTGGGAAAGGCTCATGCGAAAGCGTTGATGCCCTCGTTCGGGGACGACAAGGAAGATCAGCATCAGATCGAGTCTTTGACGCAAGAGATCACTTTCCTGTTGAGGAAATCCGAGAAGCAGCTTCAGAGGCTTTCTGCAGCTGGGCCTTCTGAAGATTCAAACGTCAGGAAAAACGTGCAGGTCGGTGTTTCACTCGACGCGTCTCTTGAAATGCGTCTTCTTTGTTTCATCTTCACCATGTGTAAACCTTCTTCTTACGCAGCGATCTCTTGCTACTGATCTCCAATATCTTTCTATGGAGCTCCGCAAGAAACAGTCTACATATTTGAAACGCTTGAGACTACAAAAAGAGGTATGCGGTGAAGCTCTGTGCATCTGGCCCTTTCACTATTTTTTGATGCTCTAGTTGCTCAGTTTTGGAGTTGAATTTCATTAGATTCTCTTGATAGTTTTGTAAACTTATATTATCTTTATTTCTAAGAGGCTTCGACTTTGTCTTTGTGATGTAACATCAGGACGGAGCAGATTTAGAGATGAATATAAACGGAAGCAGATCTAGAGCAGATGATGATGACTTCGATGATATTGTATGACTCCTTAATCGCAGTCTACATAGCCATTGTCTCTCTTATGCATAGGATCTGTAATAATGCACTTTGTTTCAGTTATTTAGTGAGCATCAGATGAGCAAGATCAAAAAGAGCGAGGAAATATCGGTAGAGAGGGAGAAAGAGATTCAGCAGGTTGGTGTTTGCAACTCTTAGTGCTCTTCATTGTTTGCTTTTGTTTCACATACAATCATATATACCTCGTCACATTCTCACTGTTCTGTGTCATCTACAGGTTGTTGAATCCGTAAACGAGCTCGCTCAGATAATGAAGGATCTTTCAGCGCTTGTGATAGACCAGGTATAACAACTATTAACAGCGTTGTCTATTTTGTAGAAATATAATATGAAAGCAGAACTTGTTGTGACAGGGTACGATAGTTGATCGGATTGACTATAACATCCAGAACGTTGCTAGTACAGTTAAAGATGGTCTCAAACAGCTGCAAAAGGTGAACTTTTTTGTTATGTTATATCCTCTCTTTCTCCTTCTAAATAAATGTTTGATGACTAATAAAGTAATAAATGGAATCCCTTGTGAATCTCCACAGGCAGAACGTACACAGAGAAATGGAGGTATGGTTATGTGCGTGTTGGTTCTTGTCATCCTCTGCTTCATCATGCTAGTACTCTTAATCCTCAAGGAGATTTTCTTGTGACCCAAGAAAAAAGATGATTCCCTCGTTCTTTAATTCTTTTATAATGGGAACACCGCTTCATTTTTGCGTTGTAAGTCATGTGAATCCACCAAATCGTGTAAAGAAGAAATCTGAGTTTCTTTCTTGCTTCATCGCTTTGCCCGCAACTTTCAATCTTTTGGATGTTCAACTTTTGTTCAACTTTCTTATCTTACTGTTATATCAAAACATATATTTCTCTCCATGAGTTACACATATGGTATAACTGAATCCACTAACTTTGTAGACACACTATATTAAAATTTGACCACCAAAGTACCAAATCTATGAGATTATGAGTTGATTATGATGTTTTGAAAAACATGTGGATAAAATCTTTGAGGGTTAGCTATTGTTTATATGAAAAGAGTTTCCTCTCTAAAGTTCACTTTAGCTATTTCTAAACTTGAAGACTATTTCTGATAAGTAGCAGCAACTGAAATCCGAACTACTAAGAATCAAAGGTGTGCTACCCATGATAGTATTTTGAAAGTTTATCCATCTGTTAAACATTTCACATCTCCCCACAATTTGTTCTTGTTAACAATCATTTCTCTTGTAACAGGATGAACAAAATGTATGTCAAGATTCTATAACCAGATTTAGGATTTAGTTAAGTTCTAATCATTTACCGTAAATTCTAGTCAAATATATTTCAGAGCAAAAATTGTTCAAAAAAATCCTACAAACAAATTCTAATTAATATCATAAAATTCCTACAGTAATTTTTTTCTGTTGGATCTCTTCTATATATATATATACACATTACTTGAGAAGCAAAAAGAAGTTATCATTAAAAGATCAGGTATAACAACTATTAACAGATTTGTCTATCTTGTAGAAATATAATCTGAAACCAATACTCGTTGTGACAGAGTGTGATAGTTGATCGGATTGACTATAACTTCCAGAGTTGAAGATGGTCTCAAACAGCTGCAAAATGTAACTTTTTTATTATGTTTTATCCTCTTTCTCTTTCTCAATGAACGCTTCATGACTAAATATGTTAAGTGGAATCTCTTGTGAATCTACACGCAGAACGGAGAAATGGGGTATGGTTATGTGCGCGTAGGTTCTTGTCATCCTCTGCTTCATCATGCTAGTACTCTTAATCCTCAGGGAGATTTTCTTGTGACCCAATAAAAAGGATGATTCCCTTGTTCTTTAATTCTTTTATAATGGGAACACCACTTCCTTTTTGCGTTGCCAGTCCACCAAATTGTCTGATCCAGTTGCGTGTCTTTCTTGCTCCATCGCTTTGCCCGCAGCTTTCTTTCTTTGGGATGTTCAACTTTGTTATCTTACTGTTATACAAAAACATATATTTGTCTCTGGGAGTTTCAGATATCAGCATCAAATACAGCCTACCAAACGAGATAAACAAAGTGCAGACATACATTGAGAGCAACATATTGATTATAAGCGGTTAAAAAGAGAAGTTCAGATATTATAATATTTGACTAACCTGAATCTGTGATTGACAACCAGCTGTGATATTAGAGACTGCCCAACAAGCTTCCTTCCTGATGGTCTTGTTATAGGATCCCCTTAGAAGAGTTAACAAGCATGGGAGCGCTTGAAGATCAATTATATGCTAAGAAAATCACAAAGAAAGAAACTTACATGATTCAAAACCAAATAGAAAAAAACCAGTAATAGTAGAATACTCAGCAAAAGAATGAAAAAGAACATGGATAAAATAAGAGCAGTTCTAACAAAATTGCTATCTGTAGCTGCATATTTACCTGAGTTTGGCTATCATTTCCGGTTACAATATTGCCAATGGTGCGAAGAGCGGGAATGACAACTGAATGCGAACGATGGCTGTTCAGAAAGCAAAAAGCCATAAGAATCTATGACTCTCGATTTCTTGGTTAGCTAAAGTCTGCAACACTCACACCGAAAGACCAATAAGTCGAGCACAAACATTGGCTTCAATCACGGCTTGTATTTTTTCATTTGAACCATCAGAGAGATACACCAGCGCCCAGCACGTGTAAGCCAAGAGTTCCTTGTCATCTAACCGAATGAGATGTGCAAGAGCTGGTAATGCAGCACTCACCTGTGGTCATATGGTAATAAGTGAAATGTCTGAAAGGATACATCATCTAAAGGGAACAGGTGAGGGTAAAATGGGACAAGAGGGTAAAAAAGGAGGTAAAGGCGGAGGAGAGAAGGGAAAGGGAATAAAGGAGATGCCAAAAGTGGTGGTGGCAAAAGTAATGGAATGTCTTACAAATATGATCTAGGAGAAACTGAATCATCATCTCTTGTAATCATGTCTTGGCACAACCACCAACCAACACACAGATAAACAATATCTACAGGAACAATCTGGTCAGTAGAATATCTCTATATATATGAGGTTAAAGAAGAGCAGCTATACTCTTTTCTTTTCAGCTAATAATGAAACCCTTCACGCAGAAAAATGTAAAGAGTATTGTTGTTATTGATTCGCTATGAGTTGGACATAACGGGATGAACAAAATAAAAAAGAAACGCAGACACTGTCGAGATACAAATCATGTATATAGTCCAAGATGAGAAAATAAAACAATAAATAAACACATGACAATACAAATTACATAGATTAGGGTGTGTTTCCGACTTGCACTGCGCTTGGAACATAAGAGCACACAAGTGGGTAACAAAGCCGTTTGTTGATACATTCGCCAATGTCCACTTTTTTCAAGTATCCATTATTTCCAATCATGTGAGCAATGTTGCCAGTGGGTAAGGCAGTTTTACCTCTGTCTTTATCAAGAATCACTTTATCAAGAACCGCAGCGACCTTCTTCTCCTCGTCAACGAAGAAACTCCCAGCGGAATCCTTAAACCGAAGACCAATGACTGGTTTCATATCAACAGCTAGTAACAAGTTGCTCCACGACACTGCATTGGGCTCAATCCTATTAGTAATCCATATCTTGACGACGGATCCAGGTGCACCGTATTTCTGAAATAGCACCGCAAGCTGCTCTTCTCTGACACTAGAAAGAGTCACGGTGTCTCCACCGTAACCGTGGAAAGGCAGAGGCAGACGCGGTCCAAATCTCTCCCTTGTGAAGTCAAAGCAGAGTAGGAAATCAGGGTGCTCTTTTGATATAGGTCCATCAACTAATGGGAGCTTCTCTTGAGCATACCAGTAAGCGTTGCCCTTTAGAGTCAAGCCGCTGTGTTTAAACGAAATACGCCAGTCCGGAGTGAAATCATCGATGACCTTCCATGAATTGGAGCTTAAACTGTACACCTCAAACTCACAAACTCGGCGCTTGACACTCGGGTCGTAATTATTCACAAATCGCAAGACTTTGTGCTGCTTCTTCTCCTTGGCGTATCCGAGAGCGTACTTCTCCCATCTGTTGGAAGAATTGCTGGGCTCGATCCACCTTGTTTGTCCCAAGTAAGGGTTCCAAACAACAAGCCTAGACGAGTCTTTGTCCTTGGCTTTGGTGATGCAGCATAAGAATAAACCGTCGCAGTGAAAGATGTTAGATATGTCGACTCCACCTGCATCGAGATTACCGATAGGCTCTATAGATGGAGAGAGGAGATCGACGCTCATCAAGGAGACTCTATTTTCCACCAGCATCACCACCTCAATGCCCTTCCTCTGCCTCCTCCTTATAAAGCTCTCACTTTTCGTTAAAGTGTTCCACTTTTTGCAGGTCGATCGCAATTTTCCCAGAGATGTCATCGGAAGCCTAGAGAGTACCTCCTCCTCCATATCACTCGGAAGATCGGACATCTTCGGAACGACTCTGTCATTGAAATAAGCAGTGTTGCGAGTGGGGGGGAAACATTTATCAAGAACCGCAGCGACCTTCTTCTCCTCGTCAACGAAGAAACTCCCAGCGGAATCGTTAAACCGAAGACCAATGACTGGTTTCGTATCAACAGCCAAGAACAAGTTGCTCCACGACACTGCATTGGGGTCAATCTTGTTAGTAATCCATATCTTGACGACGCCTCCAGTTCCAGGTGCACCGTATTTCTGAAATAGCACCGCAAGCTGCTCTTGTCTAACACTAGAAAGAGTCACGGTGTCTCCAAAGGCTTTGTGCTTCTCCTTGTCGTATCCGAGAGCGTAGCTGTCCCATCTGTGGTAAGAATTGATGGGTTCGATCCACCAGTGAGAGAGTTTAGATATGTCGACTCCACCTGCATCCAGATTACCTATAGATGGATAGAGGAGATCGACGCTCGTCAAGGGGACTCTATGTTCCACCATCATCACCACCTCAGTGCCCTTCCTCTGCCTCTTCTTTGAAAAGCCCCCACCTTTCGTTGAAGGTTTCCACTTTTTGCAGGTCGATCGCAATTCTCCCAGATATGTCACCGGAAGCCTAGAGAGCACCTCCTCCTCCATATCACTCGGAAGATCGGACATCTTCGATCCTCGCAAATCTCTCTTTCCTTATCTCCAACCTAACCTCACAAACTAATTCCTGGAAATTTAGGTCCAACCTAACCGATCGCAAATCTCTCTCCTTACCTTCTTATTACAGTTTCCTTTTCTAGTTTTATGTTCTTTCCTGATCTCCCCAATCCATCGACATCTATCTCTTCACCGCCCCTTCCGGTCTTTGGTGATCACTTAGCTTTTTGAATTTGGGCTTTACAGTAATGGCTCAAGGCCCATTAAAATCTCGTTATCATGATGTTCACAGTAGCAGGCGTCAATTTGGGTCAAAAACCTCAAGACCAAAAAAATATCAAATTCAAACATCCAAGTGAGATTTCACTACGCAGCATGTCAAGAAGTCATCGTCCGACCAAATTTGAATCACGAAAATTAGATTATTGAGAGAGAGTAGGGAACATTTCCGGTTTAAAGACTCCAGCTGTTCTTTACCTCGCAGTAGCGGATAGTCTCTTGGAAGAGAAAGAGGAACATTCATCGGTTTTGAGAAGAAGAAGCTTGGGGTTAAAGATGATGTATACGGCAAGTATTCGTATCTGATTCAGTCGGCTATAGATTACGAGGTGTTTTTTGCTGGTAATAGCTTTTCGACCTTCTCTAGTCTCATTGTTCTTGAGAGGACCCGGAAGGCGAGAAGGTTAGGATTTATGATTTCTTGTGACGATGGTGAGAACAGGTGGAGATCATACGCTTATAACCTGGCTGGAGAATCAAAGGGACCTCGAAGGAGATGATTACAGAATATGACTCATTCGAGCTTGCAAGCTATTAGATATGGCTCCAATCCTGTTTCTTGTTCAAGTGGGTGAGGTCAGACATTTTAAAATTGGGTTTTGGTCTTTCTTATACAATTAATTTATCTGTGTGGGATAAAAAGTTGTGTATATTTTTACAGATAAAAAAAGCAATGCTTGAATCTTCTTTTCTTCATTTTGTTTTTCAAATTCATGTCGTCTTCTGATAAAATCATTGAGAGAAAAAAAAAAGTAAGAAGTGAAATCTATTTAAAACCAAGTCTCTACTTATTAGACAAGGCAGTCTAGGAACTTGAAAAGAAAAAAACGTTTCTGATAGAAAAAGCATCACGTTAAGCGAGTGTTGTATGATTGACAGTGCGCGCACATGTGTCCAGCAGTGTGGTACATAGTAGCGCTGTACCGGAGGCACTCATTACAAAGAATTACAACCTGCGAACAGAAGATGTATAAAGGAATTCAACCAAGAGACGGCAACACAATTATTGATTTATAGACATTATAGACACAATTGTTGGATTTACCTCTCTTTCATGATCAGGATGCATCGGTGTTGCTATAATCTGTGTAAAGAGAATCTCCATTAAGTACACTTTAACTCACTGAATGCACCAAAAATTTGTTAAAGGAAAATTGTTACCTCGTGACCTAATGATGTCCAAGAATTGGTCATGTTCATCACTGACTTCAAACAAGAGGGGCAACGGTAGCTGAGAGAGAGAGAGAGCGAGAGAACATCGGCAAAAGTTTGAGACGGTGAGAAATGATAGATGAAGAAGTTACACAGAGATAAGATAATTACCCTTTGTTCTGGAGCATTTGTTCGAAGCAATCCACATGAATAGTATGCCCACATCTCAGCACCTGTGCGGCTTCTACCGAATCAATGGGCTGCCAGGTTGAGAAATTCATAGTAAAATGTTAAAAAGAATCAATATGAAGCCACCTAGTTTTAATATTTCCATTCAGACAAACCTCATAGCAGATAAGACAAGGACCCTTTGTGGAGTTGGGAATGCAAATGTGATTATCACGCAGGCCCGTTGCATAACAAGCTCCTACAGTATTCAAATGTGAATTTTGTGGCAACAACTAAAGGAGATGACTAAAACAAGTGTGCATAATAATATCCCCCACCCACACAAGATTCGAAAAAAAAAAGCTTGCAACCATTACACTCTAGTTATAGACTGACTTGTTGGCGGTTAGACATTCAAGAGATTTAGCTACAAGACTGCACCATCCGGATCAAAGCTGTATGTGCAAAGATCCTACTTTACCAACAAGCACTAGAATGGTCACTTGTCGAATAGATTCTTATGCTCCTAGAGTAAATCTGATGGAGACGAGTCACAATCTGGAACTTACTTTTTTTTATATATATATACAAAGAAAAAAGAGAATCCAGCAAAAGTACATACCACAGGTCTGGCAATGAAAGAAATTGTCACGCCCACCAGCTCTGAAAAATATCTAGCACAAGATTAAGTTGAGACTTAAAACGAGATGATTGGTTATTATAGCAAAGTTCTCTAAACCTCACCTACAAACTTCACAGTCATGACAATGGAATTGTTCTTTTGAGGTCTGCAAACACATTGACGACCAGATAATTTCAAAAAGAAATAGAGAGTCAGAGAGAGAGTTTTAGCATTTTACACAAAACAAAGAAACCCACAAAAATAGAGAAAAAAGCTTACATCATCATCAAAGAATTTGCATAAATCACAAAAGTATTCCCCCATTTTGACGCCGCATTTGGAGCAGACTTGAGCAACCTCTTGCTCAGTGTCACAAATTGAACAAATAACCTGAAAACACACAAGACAACTGAAGCACATACAATCCAAAACTAAGATTATCAAACACCAGAAAGAAAGAAAGGAAGGAAGAGAAACCTGTTTGACGCTTTGACGGACCAGAACATGAGGATTAGATGAAGAATCCTGAAACAAGAAGAAGAAAGCCTCTCTCTCAGAGAAACAAAGGGAAAAACAATAAATTAACAACAACTGGCGAACGAACCGCTGCTTCGTTGTGGCAATGGCGGCATGTGAAGATGAGGTTGCAGCAAGGAGCTCTGATTCGGCACCGTCTCTTGTAGTGTTCGCAGCTAAATCAACAACACCAAATCACAACATGAGACGTCAAATTGATGATCCAAATCACAATGTGATAACATGCAATCAAATCATTACAGACCCGAACTGGAGTTTTCCATAGTCTTCGTCTCTGGCGAGCGAAGGATCATCCATGGCTGTATCACCAGCGAGAGCAGAATTAGGTCTCACCACCGTAAGCACCAACGGAGTCAAGTTAGGAACGAAGGAGCTACTCCGGCCCAATGGGCTTTAACGGGAACGGAGGGTAAAACCTCTTTGTCATTTTGATGTTTTTCATAAGACGAGTTTAATCATCGAGAGGGAGATTATATTATGAGTGGTTTACATTCTGAATGTAATTAATTCTTATATTATACAGCTAGTCAAACTCTTTGAGTCTTAGATGCTTCAAAATGAGGATGAAAAGAGTAAATAGATGGACACGCTGCAATGGAAAAAACTATCCCAAAAAGTTATTTATTTGATAAAATAAAAAATTGGATATATCTTAGGTTTGATCAGGTAAATCGTAAATTGTTAAATTATGGATTTTAAATAAGAAATCATTTTTGGTAAATCCCTTAGAGCATCTCCAAGAGATTCTCTATAACTTCAAATATGAAGTTTTTTGCACTTCAAGAGAAATTCCAAAACTTCAAATTTGAAGTTTCATATTTTTATTTGCATTTCAGTTTCTCTAGTTATATATTATATAAATGTTTATATTTTAGTTTTGTTATTTATCACTTTAGTCCATATAATTTAATATTTCATATATATATATATATTTAATTTTTGTATACAGATTAAATAAAAAATTTAAAATAAATTCAGAAGAAATATTACACATTATTATAAATATTTTTTATTACACAACACCAAAACAAATTTAATACAAAATACAAGAAAATAAATTACATAAACACATAAATATTATACAAATTGAAATACTACAATAATACTAATATTCATGTATTTTGAAATACATTGATTAATCATATTTTATTGAATAATTTGATATTTTATTTGTAATTTATAATTTAGTAGGTGTATATTATGTATTTTTATATAATTATGTAATGTTTTATTGATTAGTATTGGTTGTAATCTTTTTATATGTATGTTTTAGTTATTTATAAAAGTTTTATGATGTTAATTAATCATTATCAATATTGAAAACTATAATGCAAAATATAAATAGTTTTGAAATTTTTTTAAAAATTTACGATTGGAAAGTAACACCTCCAAACTTCAAATTTGAAGTGTCTCCAGGAGATAATCTTCTAACGCTATGTACCCAACTCCTCCCGCCACCTGTATATTTTGCAAAATACATTTAAAACTAAACGAAGTAAATCACAAAAAAAAAATAGACAGCCACTAGAGAGAAACACATGCGACATGTTGTGATCACAAGTCACAACAACACCATGAGATAGAGAGATATATACATAAACAGCATAAACATATCGACCAAACCAAATCACACACAAGAGATACACACATATAGAGACACACACACACACGTGCGAACAAAGAATAGGATTTGTCAGTGCGGTTTAGTACTTGCTCATGTAGTTCTCATGGAAAGAGAGCAGATAGAGATAAAACTAGGACCAAAATAGAGAGATAAGGCAAGCGGCGTTGCAAATTTCAATGCAGCGACAAAACTTGTAGTAGACATTGCAAATCTTGATCCACCCGATGTCTTCGTTTCCTTTCAACGATATGTACGCAACTCCTCCCGCCGTTCCCGTCGCAGACGCCAAAACATCACCTGTTCACGTATATGTTTCGGAAAATACATTTAAATGGAGAACTGTGTAGCGAAACCAGAGAAACACCAATGTCTCCACAACTTTATTGTTCTTTATGGAATTAATTATGAACATAATTCATCTCTGTCTTTTTCTTATACAAGTGAAAGGTAAAATGAAATTCTTGTTCTTGTGTGATTTGAATTAATCTGAGTAGATTGTTCTTGTGTTAATAATGGTCGAAGCTATAATCACAATGCCTTATCTTATTTGTGTTTTGTTTTTTCCTTTGATTTAGTCCGATAATTAACTTTTACCTTTGTCACCTTTTAATTATACACATTACACATACAAATTATAATCGAATGACAATGCAATAATGCTTAAGTAAGAGCTATGTATGACTTTTCTGCTAACCAACGCCACTGAAAGAGTTGCATCAAGTTAATCAAATCTACAAACTATCCGTAATTAATCATCCTTTCACGCTGTATAATTACAAGTTTACAACAAACTTATGTCTAGTAAACATGCATTCCTGTGTCTAGTGGGTGCTGAAATAGCAAAAAATTGCTCTCTCTAGACTTCATATATAATATAAGAGATCTATGAAATTATGGACGAGTGTCAATATGATAGGAGAGAGATGAGAAATGGGAATCGATGTTTAAATACAGGACATAGATTATACGTAAACGACACCACTTAAGCTAATAAGAAACACTCTCTCTCGACAAGAGTTTCTCTCTAGTTTTAACTCCTACCTTAGCCATTTTCAGTTCTTTCTTCTTCTCCCTCCGATGAGCTTTTCGACCATATTCTCTCTTCTTCTTTTCATGAACACCAATGGCACGATTGATGAAGAAACTAAACCTCTAATTGTCGAAACAGAGGAAGCCGCCACTATAAAGTCTCCGGTCTGTTGAATGCAAATGTCAGAACAATTGCATCTCCTTCCTTAACCTGCTTAACTACGTCTCCCTTATCTTCTGATCTGCATATTTTATCAACAGAGACCATTTTCCGACCATTCAATTCTCAGTTTCCTCTGCCTATGAGAAATACTATGCAAATCATTCATGATGTCAAATGTATACAATCAGAAGAAACATTTCACCTTGAAGACGTGTCGATAATGGTGACGGGAACAGGGTCAGAGAATAACTCAGAAGGTAAATTGGTATGAGGCAACAGAGGAGGGATCTTTGGATGGAAAGAAGAAGCATCTGATGCAGCAGCCATTATCAAACTTGATTTTCCTGTTCCCTTTTCACCAACCACAACAATTCGTATCGGTTTCTACCAGCCACGAGGATCTCCCACACCAATCCTCATCATCAGATTCTGCAAACAACGTCATCAAATTACTTTCAGAATAAAAACAAGTTCCGATCATGTAAGAAAACATTTGACGAGATCTGAAAACAGAGAAAGAGACTGAACAATTGCCAGAATAAAATTACTAAGCATAGCTTGGAAAAATCTACAGGATCGGGAATCGAGATTCAGGTATTGTAAGGAGAGAGACTAAATGATAAATACAGATGCAGAAACTTATTTATACAAAATAATTAAGTGATAACAACATATATAAAAACACGCTGGTATTTTGTGGTTTTATACGTACAACGATACACGACATACAACAATGTTTTTTTTTTTTTTTTTGAAAAAAACAGATTCGCGGTTAGTTTTATCATCCACCATTTCAAAAACTATTTAAACCATTTAAAATAATTATCAAATTAAAAAATAATTACCAAATCAAATGCATGACACGCCCAATTCTAGCAATCATATGACTTATTAGTTTTAGTCTTTCTGTGAACTGTTGTTTTAAAACTTTATGAGAAAGAGGTTACCCTCCGTTTCCGTTAAAAGCCCATTGGGCCGGAGTAGTTCAATTCGAGGACCCCCACTTTGTTGCTTAGAGGGCTCAGACTGACCGCATATCGGGAAAAGAGCATGACAAGGATGATTGCCGGCGAAACCACGATCACCAACAGCCTGAAAGTCTCTGAAACTGTACCTGTAAGATCATCTATTCTCGATTATATTCATTGCATGAGTACGTACGGTCGTAGTCTGTTCTGGATCCAGGCCATGCCACCGTCGAACTCACTGGTAACACTGTCGTATTTTTGCGATACTTTCGGTTGCTTAGTTGAATTGACAGTTAACATGTAAGAAAGAACGATTTATATACTGACAGTAATTGGTATGGATTTTGAATTGGCTAATTAATCGTTGAATTTCCCATTTTCGATCCCTTTCCTAAATTTGGAATGTTCGTTAAGAGCATCTGGTTTTCTTGTATCACCACATGACACACAGTTTACTTATCGAATGTCTTATAGATTTGTTTTGGATTTAGGTGATTATGAGTTCTTTTGAGTTTTGTTGTCTTCTTTGCTGGAGATTGATGGTTCTGTAATTGAACTATGTAGCGGTAGACGCAAACGTCGGACCAAACTCCGTGGCTTCTGCTGGTCACCATGAAGGTATCAAGTTTTGAGACAGAGAATAATTAGTTTTCAAAATGTTGTTAATAAACACCAAGACAGTCTTTGACATGATCGCATATGTATCTGATCGTACATTCATCAAAATACAGCTATGTCCTCTAGTTTTCATATCGTAGTTATCATTCACTGACTATTCAGGTACAATCCATTAGCTTGTTTGTACCTCAAGATCCAAGAAGCCCAGAAGAAGGACAGTGTACCTCAAATGCGATAGTTGATTGTATTTGCAGGTATGGTCCATTCTGGGTTTGCACAACCTTGATATTCGTGGCAGCATCTATCGGCACATTTGTCACTTACATAGCACACAAATGGAAGCGGCAAGAATGGAACTACGACATAGATCTGGTGACATGGTCTGCAGGAGTGTTCTATGGCTATGTCACGATTGTTCCCCTGGCATTATATGTCGTTCTCAAATACTTCTCTGCACCATCAGGCCTAGTCCAGCTCTTCTGTCTCTACGGCTACTCCCTGTTCATCTTTATCCTTGCACTGGTACCAAAATTGCTCCTTCTGGGAATTGTTATTCATATCCAAAACATGTGAATATGACAATTTTTATCTGTTTCTGACTCTGCAGTGCCTCTCGGTCGTGCCAGTGGAGATCATGCATCCTGTATATATATTTGGTCAGTCATGCACTTTGCAGCCAATCCGATTGATTTGCCTGAAAATGGTGTTTTTGCTTCTAGTAAGATGATGTCCAGGCCCATGAGTAAAGGTGAGCTTTTTTACCAAAGTATCTGATTTGCTTTGAAGTTTGATAGGTAGATAATTCAAACTTGAAATGATTTTGTTTCTAAAATGGAAAAAGTGAATGGAGCTGCATCTCCAGCTTTTCTGACAGATGGAGTACATCTTGCACCTTTTTGTGCCGAGATGTTCATCTTGTTTAAAATCCCACTTTCTCTGTCTTCTAGAGTCGGTAATTAAATGTAATTGTGATTTCGTTTTGCAGAAAAAATGGTGGAGCTTCCTCATTATGGGTTTGAAAAGGCAAATGCTTCTCGTGATATGGTACAATCAGTGCTCATATTACCTTAAAGATATAGAATCCTGCTTAAACACACAATTTTGATTCAGCTGCTCTCACCTGTACATGCTTAAGCTAACCGTGTTTACAAACTTGACTTGCTTCTTCTGCTTTTGGTATATGACATTTGAAAATTCTGTTAGTGTTTAACCATGGATCTCTTGTGTGTTTATTGGTCTTTATGAAAGATGTGGAAGTTCAGGCGAACAGAAAAGTGTCGTTGCAAAGATATCTCGAAAAGCGGAAGGACAGGTTCTCTCCAAAAAGAAACAATTCTCAAACACAGGCCTGACTCTAAATCGTTGAATACTAACTAAATGTTCCTTTCTTTTGATAAAAATATAGCTCTGTTAATCTGTAGATCCATAAACGCTTCTCGTCCTGAGTTTTATCCATTTTTTGTACTATTCGAAAATTGAACTCCAGGATTCCATTCATTTATTTATACTTTCCATGATTTACTTGTAGAAAATAGTGTAATAATAAATCCTTTTTTTTTTTACCCCGGTGATGTCTAAACTTTCCAGTTCTAGAAAGAAACAAGTTTGAAAACTCCAGCTCCTTAGTCAACCAAAAAAAAAACTAATTTGGGTCCCAAGAAGGCAAGAAAGGTAATTTATTGTTTTAAGAAATGAAACTAAACAAAGGTGAAAATTGAAAAATAAAGAAAGGACCCTATGAATTTTTGTACGGATACGGCGACCTTCACTAACAACTACTATCCGCCGGATCGTGCGGGATAAAATTTGTAAAATAGTATTAAAAAATTAATTTTATTTTAAATTATATTAATTTTACATTGATGATTTCAACTATATATTTATTTTATATCATATCGTTGTATTTATTGTGGATGATATTTTTAAAATTAATATTTGTTTTATTCATTTCAGAATTATGTAAATATCTAAAAATTATGACTTTGACCCTTCTTTATTTTATTGGTTTAGGTTGTAGTATAAAATTTTTAACATGTAAAATTTTTTATATTAATTCTGTAAAGAATTTTAGAAAATTCTAATCAATATTAATTATATACGAAATATAAAAAATTCCAAAATACATAATACTATACTAATTTATATATATACATAAATAATGGTGTAAGATAAAGCAAAAAAAAATAATAAGCAAAGAGAGATTTTAACACAAAAAAACAAAAACACATACTAAAAAAAACACGAAAGCAATTATATGTTTGGAAAGAAAACAATAAAATATTACCACCAAGAACCAACTACTTTGCTACTTTTTACCTATAAAAACACTATTTAACATTAGTAATCGAAAATTTAATATCTAAAAGTACAAAAAAAGGATTTATAGATGATGAACAATGCAAATACAAGCTGAAACTATTGTAGAAGATATCTAAACTATTAATAGATGATCATTGCTAAAATATGTCCAAATCCTATCGTGGTATTTACGATTTATGCCATTGGATTTGCTAAAACATTTTATGATTTTATTAAAGGTAATAATGACAAATTAAGCAAAGAAAACTCACGCCTAAACCATTTAAGTTCTATAGACTTGGACACACTTGATTACAGTTTCTCTTTCCTAGGTCAACCATAAGTTATCTCTTAGCCGACCATCATTTTGTAATTTCACATAAATTGAAGATGGTTTTATGATGCACCTGGATAACTGAAGGAGTCAGTCTTCGTGTGCAATGCTCTGTTCTCCACCAACTCTTATAAATTGATGATTAAAGAAGTTCCTGAACCATAATATAAGAATCACAAACTATCAACAACTATTATTTTCAGTTCATGAATTGAAAATGTTGAAGATACAAGATGACATCGTGGAGTTAAATCAGATCATCTATAAACTAAACTGAGCAATTCAAACGATCAGTAAACCAAACCGATATATACCTAAGTAAACCATTACTCATATCTCAATTTATTTATAGGTGTTATTTACTCATATCTCGATTTTTTTCAAGGTTCAAAAAATTTACAAAGATTTAGAGTAAATGTTAATACTCACGATTTGCTAAAATTAGTTGTACAACTACTATGAAATCATAACAAATCTCGGTGCAAATATAGCTAATTTGTGAAAACAAATATTCTCAAAATTGCTAAACATCTTAACTGCTCCGGAAAATTTAATTAAAAATATATTAATATCCTATATCTCCTATATTTTGATAAAATTTACTTAACCTCCAAGATTGCCTTCTAATCATATATTTTATCTAATTATTGTTGTATAAATAGATCATAATCTGCATCATAACAAAACCATAAAACTCAAAACTCTGCAATGCAGGTTTACATCGAATGCACCAGAAAATAGATGGCTGTTCCTTTTGGTTTCACATACCTTAATACAAGCTTCTTCCTCATCCTTGGAAGTAATACGCGGCAAAATCCAAGAAGCATCTATAGTTTATTTACAATCCTGCTTTATCTGAAGCATAAAATTTTCAGCAAAGGTTAGAATACTTCACAAATTTATTGTTAGTTAATGTATATTATATTGCATTTATTTATAATTGACAATCTTACTACACATCTTAATATTCAATTTTTTTTTAATGCAGCTAGGTTTCCACGCTATCATCTTTCTCTCATAATCTCATGTCTGATCTAAAGATGAAAAATGTGAATTGGCGTTAAAGCAAGAATAATGATTTTATTTTCCACAAAAAGGGAGATTGATCTACTGAATTCCAGTAAGGTAATGATCCATAATTTTCATCTATATTAGCAATCATCACTATTGAATCTCTTTGATATCATATATATTACTTATCTTTCATGACAGGTTGAGAAATGCATCATCATTTTCACAATCTAATGTTGTTGATATCAACTTCTCTAGAGCATGAGTTAAATGTCTCTTTAAAAGCATATTACAGTCCCAATAATAGCTTTTGAATTTCAGTAAGAACATTGACGCTAATAGGACTGAAGTTGATAGTAGTGCTTACAGAGTTTAACATTGATCTTCATTGTCACTAACTTGGTCCTTGGAATAGAAGCTGCAGGTTTGGGTTTGTTTATAACATTCACGTGAGGAGGTGCAGGAGAGGAAACGAACTTGGATTTTGGTAATCCTTGCCATTGAAGAGCTTCAGCAAAAAGATGTATAAAAGGAACCAATTTTCCAATTGCATTGCCCAAATGAAGTTTTTACAAAGATTAAAATTTGAAGAGAGAAACCAATTTCCATTTCTACCAAAAAAATATTTCACGATTTGAATACAATCTTCTTAGTCAAAAAGAAAAGCAAGATTTTTCATCATTTGAAAAGGAATCTAAAGATGATCTAAACAATTGTTCGTCAGAAAACCATTTCACTTAACTTTAGTATTTAGATCCACTCTTCCCTGAAATTGATTTAGCTGATGCTTGGGGGCGGGGAGGGGACTGAATTATTCTTCACGGGTGATGAATATTGAATCTTCTGATAAAGCTTTTGATATTGAAAGATAATAATTGAAATTTACAATTACACATCAATCGCGAGTTGTATGTGTATTTGTCCAGATTTCGACACTCTTTCATTGTTCGAACAAAATTTGTTGGGGGAAGGTGAAAGATAACAAAAAAAAAAAATCTTTTTGTTTAGTCGATTGGGCTTTTTGTCTGAGTCGATTAGACTTTTTGTCTGAGTTGATTGAGCTCAATTTTATAACTATGTAACTTTACATATTTTATTTTCTATTGGGTTAACAAACACAATTCCACTGCTACAGAATAAATTGACGAAGAAGACTCTGTCTCCATATATGATTAATTATATTTTAAATTGAAACAAAATGAACGACAAAATATTTTTAGAAAATTACTTCCGCGCATGGTGCGGATCCAACACCTAGTAGCTTTTTATTTATAGAGAAGAGAAAGTGTGCTAAACAATCTAGGTTTAGCCCAAAATTTAAAATTGCATAAATATGATATTAATTATTTAATTTTTGCTTTGTTTAGATAGTTTAGAATATCTTGTTAGGTTAGTTAAAAAAATTCAAAATTTTGATAAACTTATATATTAGTTTATTAAAGATATGTTCCGGGATGTTTAAATTGATTTGTTTATATATGAAATTATTGATGACTATTATTTTGAGATTTTTGTTTCTAAATACATCAATTTCCATCTGTAAATATCTATTATCATTTAAAGGTATTCAATTTTGGAAATAAGTTAAGTTATCAATTAATGGTATTCAATTTTGAATATTAATTGATTTATCAATTCGTGGTATTCAATTCCCAAATATTTCATGTTTAATATATATTAAATAATAATGTTTTAATTACAACATTACAAAATTAAATACCATTAATTGATACACCAAATAATTATTTTGAAAATGTTATACAAATAATAATACTTGTTAGAATATATTTTAATTTTTAAACTTTCAAATAGAAACATAATTATTAATAGTATAAATATATTTCGATTTTTAAACTTTCTATATAAAAATAAATTCAGTTTGTATTAACTTATTTTTTTAGTTTTTAAAATATTAAATGAAAAATATATATATATTTGTATCTATATTTTGAGACATCAAAATATTTTTTATAATAAATTCACATTATCTTTTTTTAAAATAGCTTTTCAAATTTATATATAAAAATAATTTGCAAGTTATTCTTTGTAAATTTGAGATTTTAATTTAAATATATGTTTAATATTAATATATATTAATATATGTATATATATATAAACGTTTGAAAACAAGAACATACTACAACAATTAAATGTTTAGTTAATTATTTAAAAAATTAAATTACTGAGAAGATAATATATGTTTAATATTCAGTTGTGAGTTAAAATAATGTTTGGTTATAAGAATAGCTGTAAATAAAAAGTAGAATTGAATTAAATTGAAAATAGTGAGAAAAATTGTGGGAGTAACATATGACCTAGAATATTTCCTCTTTAATATATAATTAGATTTCTTTAAAACACTGACAATTTTGTAAATATTCTACTACATTACGCCAATAATCTATTCCATCCGTCGATTTTCTTTTTGTCGGCATTCCATCCCTCGGTTTTTCAAATTAAAATATTTTTTTTGTTATTAAAAACATTTCCGTCAAATCTCATTGGATCAAAAAACCTTCAAAACACATGAACTATTTAAATTTTAGAAGAAAAATATACCAATTATCTGAGCTTCCCAAAACATACTTAAACTATATAAAAGATCCAGATTAATACACTAACTTTTAAATTTTAATTGGGTCAACACAAATTTAGTCAACTCCGTTCATCTGTTTAACAGAACCATATAAGTGCCGTTTAAACCTTAAAAAACGTAGGTTTTATTACAAGTGAAAAAACATGTTACTCCTTATACACATCTTTACCCAGATTTGATTTTCTTCTAAGAACCCTAAACGAAGAAATGAAAATGGTCTATGAGGAGATAAAATGTTGCTAAGGCGTATATGGAGATTAATCAGGTATTTAAAGCGGCAGAGGTCCAAATCACAGGACTCCACCTTCCAATTCGAATTCCAACAGCCCATGGCGGATGAATCCTTCTAAGACGACTCTGATGAATAAGCCCCAGAGGAGGCGATGATTCAACATAGCAATTGTATCTACACGCTTCGATAAAAGTGTACTTTTGTCTTGCATCATAGTCTGATTAATTATAAAACCATCCTTTCTCCTCGTCAGCATCTGATTCGCCTCCACACTTTGCTTTGCTGCGGCCGCTCGTGTTCTTCAATTCAAGATGATGGATTTTGTTTGATTGTTTGAAATTTGGGGAAGAAATAAAATCTGCGTAAAAAAATCTAAAAGGGTAACATAAGTTTTTTTAACAATATAAAACCCACATTTTTTAATTTAAACGTCGTCTAATCGGTTCTGTTAAACAAATGAATGCAGTTGACTAAATTTGCGTTGGCTCAATAAATTTTGAAAATTGGTGTATTAATCTGGATTTTTTAAATAGTCTAGATATGTTTTGGGGAGCTCAAAGAATTGGTGTATTTTTGTTCTAGATTTTAAATAAGTCATGTATTTTTAAGTTTTTTTCCCAATATTAATGCGTGGTTTAGTTAGTGTGACAGGATTCTCACTCTTCGTTTCCGGTTTCGTATCTATCTTCTATCATTTCCGGTTTACTTAATTCTCGGTTATATCTTTAATTTCGGTTATGTATGGTTTAAGGTCAAATGTTGACCGTTGTTGACTGTCACTCTATGTACTGCCGCCTTTGATCATCAGAGTTTCAATCTCTCTCTCTCGCTAGCGAGTTCTTCGATCTTTCTCTCTCTCTCGCTCATCGCCGCCTGCAAATTCATGTAAGTCGTGGCTTTTTGATCAATTTCTACTTAATACCTTTCTTAGAGGGGATTATCGATCTAAGCATATAAATACGGTCTCAATTAGGGTTTTTTTAATTCGATTCAGGAAACATGTCAGATCTTCAAGAATTTGTTCTTGATACTGAAATAGGCGGTGAAATCGAAAAAGCAATAATGAGATCGCAAGATGTTTGGCTTGATTTGGAAGATGTAGTAACGATCATGGCGGCTTCCGATGTACTTCCAATTTCTGATAAACCTTGTGTACCCGATCACGAAGGGCTCTATCTCTATCACAAAGAAGCACTTCTGGATAATCTACATTGGGATGAGTATGATAACGAGACAACAGCGTTCCAAGGAGCGATGATGTTGGTCCAGACTGTAAGTACGTTAGATCCAGATTTTATTCCCGATCAAGAAAAGATCAACTGGAGGAAAACCTACAACCATGAAGGGTAAGGGTAAAGCTTAATCTTGTTCAGTTTTGTTTTGTCTTTCTGTTCTGATTATTTCCTTTTTCTTTTTCAGCTTTCAATTCTGCTTAGTGCAGTACAAATTAAGCTACAATTATATCGATCAAGCTCAAAACGGAAATCATGAAGATGCAGAAGACAATCACAACCATCATCATGAAGAAGAAGAAGTAGATCATGAAGAAGGAGATATAAATCCATTTGATTTGGATGTTCACCTTTATAGGCAGCAGCAGCAAAATCAAGGGTCTAACCAGGTGGCTCCTCAGGCGGCGGCGGAGGTTAGTGACGAGAATTTCGGATTGAAGATGGAATTGGCTCTGATTGTGGATTTTGTTGGGAACCGGTTTAGAGAGATGGGTGTTGGAGTAGAATGGTTGATGAGGGAGAAAGATGATAGAGAGAGCGAGATTAGGCTTTTGAAAGGGGAAGCGAGCGAGGTTTTGAGTATGAGGGAACAGTTGAGGAAGGTCTGTGATGAGACGGACTCAATCAAGAACGGTTGTGAGGAGGCGCATCGATTGAAGGAGAGTGTGATTCCGTTGTTGGAGAAAGAATCCAATGTGGAGATAGTTGTCGGGAGATTGAGATCTGAAAATGATAGATTAGTGAAGGAGAAAGCTGATCTGGAGAAGACCATGGAAGAGAAGAAGGAAACAGATGGACTGAAGAGAGAAATCAATGTACTTTTGGGTGTTAAGAATGAGATGGATCTGCTAAGCCACTTAAAGCTTACGTAAGGAAGAGGAAGACAGATACAAGAGAAGAAACAGAGTCAAAAGAAGCAGAGTTTGTTAAAGAAGACAATTGACTTTGCTGACGTGGAAATGAACTTTTCTTTTATATTCAATTTGTATATAAGAAGTCGTATTACAATGTGGAAAGATTATCGAGAAACAGAACAGATTCACGAGAGATAAAGTCTCTGTGAAATTGGCAATCGTCAAGTGCCTGTACTTGCGATTGAGGTGATTGATCGTCATCATTCTTGTATTTCGTGTGTGAATTGAATAAACGAAGTACTTTTCTCTTATCAGGATCTTGTAACGATTGATCAAAGAGGGAAAATCGAGGAGTTGCAGAAAAAGTTAGACAAGATGGATGAGACTGTGCAGAGTTTGACAACGAAAGAGTTGGCTTTGCTGGATCTGGTTGTCGGACTGAAGAAGAATCTTGCTGAGTCTACAGAGAAACAGATAAATCAGAAAATTCCCAAGCCGCTTGTCCTGATTCATCAGAAAAACACCAGAAAGAATAATTAAGCTTTTATACGAGACTAACACTGACGCAACATAAGCTCAAAGCTGGATCTCGTCCTGACTCGCGAGGAGCTCAGTTACCAACTAGACGGGGGTGTTTGGCATAAATCCTAACGGAACTAAAATTAAACTACATCAAATGAAATCGCAGTTGTTCGGTTTAAGCTTGATCAGTTTCTATCAAAACTAGCCTAAAGCAAAGTCAGACTCTGTTCTAAACCAAAATGCCCATCCCTGAATCGGTAACATGTGCTCGTACTTATCCCTTGATGTGTGTAAGCTTGAAAGGCAATCTAAAAACATTACCGGAAGATAGTATTTGTACCTCTTAGGGTCCACAGTACATCTCACTGAGAGTACCCGAGGGTGTTGGCATGTTTGCAAAGCTGTCAAGTGGGAAATACATCATGTCTTGTTTTCTTTTATCTTCCTCTTCTACTTCTTCTTCTTCTCCTTCTTCTTCAACCCAATATGTTTCTAGAATCTTCACCGCCGTTTCGTAGATTTCATTGTTCTCATGAGATTGCAGGCTTTCGATTTTCTCCAGTCCCTCGGCCTCTTCTATCAGCTGAGCATGTGGGTTTACCTTTGTTTGAGGGCATTGGTAAATACCTTCAGCATGTCTTGTGTTGCAAACTTCTCCCACCTTCAGTATATTATCAAGTGCTTCTAAACAAAGCATGACGAGTTGAGCATCTGAGGATGTAAGAATATCGCACAAAGGTTTTATGCAGTTTTGCTTCACAAGAAACCTGACACATTAGCAGTTCGTGTGTGAGGTTTGGAAACAAAGAAACTGACCCACATACGCATGACAGACCAGGCATATTCAGACTACTGAATATGTTTTATTGTGTATATATAGTTCTCAGTTTTGTAAATAAGATTTCTTTCCGAATGGCCAACTGAACATCTAATGAAAAAATTAATAGTGAGAGAATGTACTGAGTTTTTATTCGACGTACAGGATTTGTTTGTAAGAGCCTCCGGCTATAGCGTTGCAGATGGCCCAAGCAGCTTCATTCTTGACATCGAACTCAGAGTTTTGGAGCAGATTAAAAAGTTCAGGACAGATATCAGCATCAAATACAGCCTACCAAACGAGATAAACAAAGTGCAGACATACATTGAGAGCAACATATTGATTATAAGCGGTTAAAAAGAGAAGTTCAGATATTATAATATTTGACTAACCTGAATCTGTGATTGACAACCAGCTGTGATATTAGAGACTGCCCAACAAGCTTCCTTCCTGATGGTCTTGTTATAGGATCCCCTTAGAAGAGTTAACAAGCATGGGAGCGCTTGAAGATCAATTATATGCTAAGAAAATCACAAAGAAAAAAACTTACATGATTCAAAACCAAATAGAAAAAAACCAGTAATAGTAGAATACTCAGCAAAACAATGAAAAAGAACATGGATAAAATAAGAGCAGTTCTAACAAAATTGCTATCTGTAGCTGCATATTTACCTGAGTTTGGCTATCATTTCCGGTTACAATATTGCCAATGGTGCGAAGAGCGGGAATGACAACTGAATGCGAACGATGGCTGTTCAGAAAGCAAAAAGCCATAAGAATCTATGACTCTCGATTTCTTGGTTAGCTAAAGTCTGCAACACTCACACCGAAAGACCAATAAGTCGAGCACAAACATTGGCTTCAATCACGGCTTGTATTTTTTCATTTGAACCATCAGAGAGATACACCAGCGCCCAGCACGTGTAAGCCAAGAGTTCCTTGTCATCTAACCGAATGAGATGTGCAAGAGCTGGTAATGCAGCACTCACCTGTGGTCATATGGTAATAAGTGAAATGTCTGAAAGGATACATCATTCATCAAATTCAATTACATAAATACACATCGAAAATAGTGCCCTTGGTTACAGTGATGATCATGACAAAAAAATTATCTTGGGGTTTGTCCTCCTCCAAGAACCAAACCTTGTTACTAGAATTTTCACAGTACTAAGTACTCCAATGATTTGGAATAGCAAAACTCAGTTTAGTTTAAAACTTACCTGATCAAATGGAGGCTGAGGCTTTCCTCTGCAAAAATTAGACAAAGTCCAAACGGCGTTTACAAGCATAGAAGGTTTGCCTTCAGGATTTAACTGCAACAGCAGAGAAGGTAGAGCTCCATGTCCAAGGACTATATCGCGGCATCTAGGAGAGTCTCCAGAAATATTTCCTAATGCCCAGACAACCTGATTGTCCAAGAATACAGCTTAGTTGCAATTGAAAAGTGGGAGAGGAACAAAAACCGCAACAAAACATATTAAACCTACATCTACATTACTTGTATCGTCTGTTCACAATGACTCTAGTCCAAAATTTATTGACCTTTGTCATTTTCTTTATCTTTTGTTAATTGCAGAAGCAACCACAGGCTTTAAGCAGCCATAAGCATTTGAGAACCACATAGCATTAGTGCGTGATGATCTATCACCACATTAATATACCTGCTCACGGACCCCATCGTATGGCGAGCTGATAAGTCTCACTAGTATTGCAACAGCTCCATGATCAATCACCACTTCAGTGTTCTCAGATGTTCCAGATGCAATATTTGTTAAAGCCCAAGCCGCTTCAAACTATAGAAAATTTTCCATGAAACGACCAAAACCATGGAGCTTGTGAGGCTAGAGATAAAACCGGATAGAATGTTCATGTGTATTCGAAGCTAACCTGAAGCTGGGGAAAGTCATCCCACGTAAGGAACTCCACAAATCGTGGAACCAGACCCGCCTGTATTACTTCTTCAACGCGTACATTAAACATTTCTACCAAAAGAACATGGATAACATTAGAAAGAGCGAGTACATTGCTACAGCTTTACTTTCATATTAAATTACATTGGTTTAGAGTCTTTAGACTCATGTAGCGATAACAACACGTATAAGCAAAGACATTGTCATAGCTTTTGAATCTCACTGCAGTCTAACATAAGAAATGGCAGTAATGTTGCTAGATGGTAATGTATCAGTGTCAAGACTCAGCATAAACAAAACATAACTCCAGAAGCTTGATTACGTTTTAGCAACCGAGGGAACAAAAGTGTTAGTAAATAAGTTAATGGGATGTCTCTCACCACCACAAAGTATCGTTCTGATTTGAGTAGTAGCGTCAATCAACTGATCCCTCTTGTCAGACCAAATACGGTTTATCAACTGTAACCAATCAAACATACAAACTACTCAAAAATAATACTAACAATCCAATATACAAAACGTACATTCCCATTCTGAGAAATTCAAACACCACAATCATACTCCAAAATATGCAAAAGAAAACTGCAGATGAAAACTAAATTTGGCAAGTCTTGAATAGCTGATCATACTGGAAAATTCCAAGCATTAGCAGATTTTCAGAGCAACAGAATTCAGGTCCCACCTACAAAAGCTATAGCTCATTCTGACAATTCTAGCACTACATACTCATACTTCAGAACATGCAAATTCTTCATACACCAAATCAGTCATGAAATTTGTAGTAGCTGACTCTGTGAAATTCAAAATGTCAAGATACAAATCCACAGTACAGCAATGATAATCGGAGAATTCAAACATCAAAGTTCACAACGCAGCATGACGGAACGCCCATCGTCCGACATTACGAACACCAAATTCGAATCACGAAAATCAGAGACACCAAAATCGATCGGGAATTGGATTAGATCATTCCACGAATCCTAACACCAGAAGCATGCATCTATGAATAACCACCAGTCATCTTTAACCAAGAGAAATTCGACCGCCAAACTTTTCAATCCCCGGATTTCGTAACAAGGAAATACAAAGGTTAAAATGCAAACCGACCTTCTGGTCAAGAGAAACGGCGGAGGGAGAATGAGAAAGAGCCTCGCGGCGCTTCTTAAGCAAGCTCTCCTCTCGCTTGGCTTTGCGGATCTCAACCATGTCGTCCTCTCTTCGCCGCCGTCCCCTAACTCCGTCAACGACCGCCTTGTACCCGCTCCTCCGTACTGACATCATCCAGCTCGTTGTTCCTCCTTTCATCTCCGATCTCGCTTCGCTACCTGATTTCGACGGTTGTGTGCGATAAAAAATTAAGTTTCTCAAGGAAATAGCAACGAGAGAGGCCCACGCCCATGCGCTGTATAAAAACAAATGTTAGTTTTTTGTTGGGTCAAAACAAACATTTAAAACATTTGGGGTATAAAATTCGAATTCGTAAAACAACTTGAGGAGAACAAAAGATCAAGGCGGCGCGTGCTGATTCGTTCCCGCCTAAATTTCGTTTTTGATATTAATATTTATATTTCACTAAATTATTTGTTGTGACATCGAATCGAATTTGATATGCATGTGTTTTTAACTACTGATTGAATCAATATTATAGAACAATAGTAATAAAGAGAGTAAAAATGGAATTTCAAACCTATTCCTCGTAATAATTATTACAGTTTACAACGACCAATTTTTGGGTTCATATATATGTATAGAAATACGTATTGCATGTGGCACACATTAAAAAGCTTTTAAATCCAACTATAAGGTACATAAACGCATTATCTTACATTTTATCGAATTATAGGAGTCTTGTGTACTTCCATGAATCCGTAGAAGTTTAAAAACCTGACTCTTCTGGATCTTACATAGCTACACCACCCGTAAACATTATAAATCTAATTGAGTACGTACCCTTCATGAAGATGGCGAAGGACTTCAATGACGTCATGCGTTTTTTGTTTTGTATAACTCTATGTAATATTTCAATTAACATGCACTGTGTTTTTTTAGTTATACGTACGAAACACACTAAATCTCAATCTTTACGACCATTCTTTTTTACTTTCAGAATAAATACGATTTAGTGTACGAGATATTTAGAGTGAATGGACCTAAAATCTCTGCAGAGTGCACATTATTATGTTGAGCCCTAACCAAAAAAAAAAAAAAAAAAAAAAAAATCACTTACGTAAGAAATAAAAAGAGACCATATCTATTTAAGGTGAAGACAATGGGTACTGTTTTTTATCCGCATTTCTCTAGTGTCTATTGTTCGTTGAAAGTTAAAATTTCTTTCTATTTTTGAAACGTTTTGTTGTAACGAGTTTTATTTTTTCCATTTTTTGACTTCCCACCACATATTGCCTCTCCTGAAATACAAGGTCTTAAATCAAAACACTATAGAGATTTCTAATTCAACGGAAATATAAAAACAGAAAATGGTAGAAAAAGCCAAAAAGGGAGAGACGAAACCGAGATGGAGGATTTCCAATCTCCTAAAATACGATCTTACAAATCGTATGAAGGAGATCGGAACCTCCAGCTGGTTGATCCTGCTGATTTAAAACCGGTTAGAGGAATCTACATTGTTCGAGAATCAAAGCGTAATCGCTCTATGGCGTCAGATCTATGGCGCAAGATCTCTTACAAAGACTTGCCTGTTCGACCCAGAAGATCTTCTTCTCATTCAACATCGTTAAAAGGTAATTTTCTTAACAAAAATGGATCATGTATTATCGCTACATTTACAAATAACGTTTCTAGAATTGTATAATATATAAACACGACGGCGTTTACGTTTAGAGTAATCGTTGCCCTTCTAGTATTGATTTAGAATGTCTCTAACATTACATATATGGTTATGTTTGTTTGTAAATGTAATAATCGGAGGATGGTGGAACAATCCTGAGATAAAGAGAAAGAGACGAGTGGCGACATACAAGATTTATTCAGCTGAGGGAAAGGTGAAGACATCTTTGAGAAAGAGTTACAAATGGATTAAAGTCCAATGCTCGAAGATTATTCATGGAATATAGCTCTCTACCGTGTATTTTTTGTTTAGTACTTGGATTTTGAGAAGAAAATAAATTCGTGTATTTATTTAACACAATTCAATTCAATTTATTTTATATATTCTGTTAACTGTGACCAATATTAAGTATTTTTATGACACTATATTCAGTTTAACTAGCAAATCCAATAAATAAATAGCATATGTATGTGTGCTATGTGTAAATATTTTTATTTATCAAATACAACAATTTGAAAAAGAACTTTTACAACACCACAAAAGCGTTTTTGAGGAAGGGTTAATCCAAAGTTAAGGAAGTAAGAACCATGCATTATAAAAGATTGAAGTGTATACTTTTTCAACAAAAAAAAAAAAAATTTGATATGTTAAGGTAAATGATATCTCGCTTTTTGTAAGAATATTGTAGTATGCAAAGAGAAACACGTTCAATAAAATAATTGTTAGATAGGGAATTGTCAAATTGAATTGGAATTAAAGAGTTGTGCCTAATTAAAGACTATCTATGTGAGAATGTAACGGCGACGTCGCCAATCTGGTATATAAATTAGAGTATGCATAATTAAACTACCTAATAAGTCAACAATATTTCAGTATAAATAGATTACAATCCCAATTGATTAGTATCACCCAAGTTTCTGCAAGCAGAAAGAAACAATAAATTAAGTGTAAGTAAAAAAAGAAAGCAAACGCTACAGAAATGGCAAAGGCACTCAATTCCATCTGCTTCACCACTCTTTTGCTCGTTGTCTTGCTAATTTCCTCCGGTAATTTCGATTTTAATATTTTCCAAAACTTTCATAAATGCATATGCACAAAATCATACATGTATAAACCAGTAAGCATGTTTCTATGATTATATATATTATCTTCTTTAGTCCCTAATATAATCAATGTTAGTGTATGTAAATATATATACCGTTATATATAAATGTATTAATTAGAATCGATGTTCGATATATACAGAAATTCCGAAGAGCGAGGCGACATGTAAGAAGTTTTTAGGTGAAGCCCCAGTGTACCCATGTAAGGAAAAAGCTTGTAAAGACGTATGCAAGGAACATTATTACGACTCGTGTAAAGGAGAGTGTGAGAGGCATGGTCACGAAGAGCACTGCCATTGCTACGGAAAATACTGAAATTTACAAATAAAGCCGCATCGAATAACAAAAGAATAAGAATATAAGATCTTAATTATATCTCTATAACGTAAGTGTGGTATGTTCGATCTAATTAATGAAGGGTATATGTATGTGTAAGTTGTTTACTTTAAAATAAAATAATGGGACAAAGCATGCTATTGTGTTGTATGCGCTGTTTCGTTTAAGATCATGTTGTATGCTGTTTTTCGTTTTAATAATAAACTTGCTTTTGTGTTTTGTCTACGTAAATATAATTTGTAAGTAGGCGATTTAGATTAAAACATGCATGCACTCGTTTTCTTGATGATTTCCGTTCATAATTAATATCGTTTTGTTCGCAATAGATATCATCTTATTCTTATCAATCAGGCATTCAGGCTCTTTATATGCATGTAGGTTAATGCCTTTTCTAAGAAAATCGTAATAACAAATACAGACAAATACGTTCGCCTAAAAAAAAACTGTTTGATAGGGAAATTATTAAATGGGCCTTAAAACAAGAGTATAGATTTAAATAGCTGGGCCTTAAAGGCCATCTATGTGAGAATGAAACGGCGACGTCGCGAATCTGATACATGTACATAGGATATAATATAAATAAACTGGTTTTAGAGTCAACGATATTTGATTATAAATTGGGTACAAGCCCCATTCATTAGTATCACCCTAGTTTCTGTAAGCAGAAAGAAGCAATTAACTAATTAAGAGTAAAAAGAAGAAGCAAAGCTACAAAAATGGCAAAGACTCTCAACTCCATCTGCTTCACCACTCTTCTGCTCGTTGTCTTGCTCATTTCCGCCGGTAATTTTGGTTCTAACCTTTTCAAGAAAATTCACATGCATGCATAAATTTATACATATATATATTCAAGAAACACGTGTCTTTGAACAAATATTAATTTGGATGAATGTTCGATGTGTGCGTGTATAGAAATCCCAAAGAACGAGGCGACATGTACAAAGTTTTTGGGCGAAGCCGCAGTGCCTTACCCATGCAAGGAAAGCGTTTGTGAAGCCAAATGCGCGGAGCATTACCACGAGTCATGCAGAGGAGAGTGTGAGGATCATGACCACGGCGTGCATTTAACAAATGACCACGACGAGCATTGCCACTGCTACGGTCGTCGTTGAACTACTAAAATCTCCAGACGAACTCGTATCGAATTTAAAAATCGAGAATGTAAGCGTGGTTCCGTTCGATTTAAGTGTATGTGCAAGAGTGTGATGAGAGTTGTTTTCTTTTAATTAAAATAAAGTAGTGACGAAGCTAATGACTGCTTCCCTCTACGTCTACTATAAGATTGCATGTTGTTTGCTATTTCGTTTTAATAATAATAAACTTGCTTGTGTGTTTTGTCAACGTATAATTTCTTTTATAAACCATTTAGATGAAAACATACAATCGTCATTTTGATAATTTCCGTACGTTCACAATATCAGTGTCAATTAGGCTCTAATTTCTATCTGGTGTAGGTTATTTCCGATAAGCACTGCTTGTTGTAAACATAATTAAGTTTCGCTTAAGAGAGATTGAGGTAACCATTCTAATCCACAAATATTTTTAATCTGCTAAACTACTACCATGCATTTGTGTTTGTTTTTCTACGCTATTTTCAGGAACTACCTTTATTAATTTTTATTTTTTAGGGTATCAAATTTCGGCAACAAGTATGTATGTAGGTTTCAGCCTAATGGGCATATATACACATTAAAAGTCCAAAATATTTTCTGTTCTTGTATATTTTTTATCCGCACTAGTGTTTTGTATTTTTTTCTTCCAAATATTAATCTTTATTATTATGAAGGCACAAAATGTTACACAAGAGACTACTTTTGAATTTTGATAAACGAAACAAATGGGGAGAAAAAAATGTGACTTTTGTGGGGAGTGGACCTTCCCTAAAAACCAAGTGGCCATATGGCCCGAGCTGTGAAGCTAGTAATGGGACCAAACGACCTTTATATTGATTCGGGGAATTATCCATAGGGAAATTTAAAGGATTGCTGAATTCACACCGTTGAATTTAAATGTATAAATCGAAAAGTTAGGACCAGGTTTATTTTATTTTAATTTTGGCCCTTTCCAACTCATACAGCCATACTCGTTAGTCATTAACATGAGGAAATGTACCCCCATCTTTACCATAATTATACAAAAATAAAACTACACGTTGTTTGTTAAATCCTCAAATCAACCTGAATCTATTTTAAAAAAAATCTAGAAAATGTTCTGGACCGAGAAATAAGTTTGACTTCCAGAGAGAGATTAAAGGCCTTTTGTTTTCTCAGTTCTCAGTTCTCACCAATCAAATTAAACCGGCGTTTAATAGAGATCAATTGAACCGGAGGAAGGTCGATAGTTCGGGTCTTGAAGATCTTAGTTAGGCTGGGTTTGAAAAAAAAAAAGAAGAGAGATGGGCCTGAAAGCCCATATTGGAGAATAAACGGCGACGTTGCGAAAATGGCGGGAAAACATAGCTTGAGGTTTTATTGCGCTCAAGTCTTAGCAGATTTTTATTTTTTTTCTAATTGCCGCCGGGAAAAAAATCGCTGCTTCCGTTGCCGGAGTTGAAAGCCGTTGTCTTTGAGGGTGATGCGCCACGATATCGAATTGGAGAAAGCTCGATTGCTTAGCCTAGCTACCAAAGTCGGATTCGATGAAGATTCTGCGAAGAAATGCTTGGACCGATTCGTCGCTCTCTACGGTACCAATTTCGGATTCGGATTTTAAGATTTGCTCTGATCGATTGGTATTACCAATGTTTTTCGATGCGGGTTAATTTTTTGTGCCTGGTCTTTATCTGAATATTGTTTGGAATTGGTTCAAAAAGGTGATGATGGTCGGAATTTCGTCACTGTTGAGTTGTGCGGGGATGATTTTCTCGCGGCGTTAGCTGATTTCGAGAAAGGAACCGAGGAATGGGATGACGTACAGGCTCTAGAGTCTGAAGCTCAAGGAACGTTGGCTGAAATGTTTTATAAAGCTAACCCTAGTGATACCGGACTTGAGACTGACGAAGACGACGATGATGATGATGATGATGATTCAAGAGTCGATGTTCATGTCATTGACGATTCTCCTGAGCCAAAGAAAACCCCGCGAGTTATGGATCTGGATTCTTTTATTGATTTAGAAGATGATGGTACAGAGTTCAGGGTTCCAAAGAGATCACATACAGGTTCCAGAAATCAGTCTTTGAGATCTATGGTAAGATTCAACATTGCATCTTCTGTTTCGTGGTTTTTGGAGAAAAAAAAATAAAAATCATAGATTATTGTTTGGTAAAGATCCTGAACCCCTGTGAATAAGATATTTTCATGGTAGGCTCAGTTTACTCACACTAAATTTGCCTTCGAGATAAGGATGTTGTTTAAGGTAGTATCACTGGTTGTGAATGCAAGCTGAAACTGAAAGTAAATTTGAATCTCTGAGGACAGTTTGCTTTTGTTTCTTTGAATATTAGAATATGGTCCTCATAAACAATTTTATGATGTGGATAAACAAAACATATGGTGGGAACTGGGAGGTTAATGGTTTGTGAAAGAACAGCTTTTTATCACAAAGACTCAGCTTTTCATTCATTTGGGTTTGGTGCCTATGATTAATTTCAAAGAGCTTCTTTATTTCGGGTGTCCCTTGACAGTCTATCTCTCGTCGCATCTTGAACTGGGTTTTCAGTAACGAATTTGTACTGTCTTTCTGAGAATGAAACTTATGAGTTGTTCTGCTTTGAAGGAATATTCCATGGAAGATTCAGTTTCAACAATTTCAGGCAGAAAACCTTGTGCACAGACTTCAGCCAAAGGCCATGAAACTCCAAGTTACGAAGAGTTGGAGGCATTGGATGATCTGGAATTCGCAAACTTGGTGATTTTTGGGAACAAGGCGTTTAGGCCCCTGCAGCATCAAGCATGTAGAGCATCTATGGAAAAGAAGGATTGCTTTGTTCTAATGCCGACGGGAGGGGGGAAAAGTTTGTGTTACCAGGTCATGATCCTTTACCTTTACATCTAGGCTCCTGAAGACGTGATTTGAATCCTGTTTAGTCCAAGAAATAGTAAATTCGTCTTTTTGTTTGTTTGTTTTACAGCTTCCTGCAACACTAAAAGCTGGAGTTACCATAGTCATATCTCCTCTGCTGTCCCTCATCCAGGATCAGATAGTTGCACTGAACCTTAAGTTCGGGGTACCAGCGACTTTTCTCAACTCTCAGCAAACATCTTCCCAAGCAGCAATTGTACTACAAGAGCTCAGGTGCCCATTTCTTTCATTTTCACAATATCCAAGTATCTCAGGCATTATCTATTTAACTATTTTCTCTAATGGAGATCCAATTATCTAAATGCTTTTTGTAAGCTTATATGTTCATTGGGGTTATGCTTGCAGAGGAGGTAATCCGTCATGTAAACTCTTATATGTGACACCTGAGAAAATCGCTGGAAGTTCATCCTTTTTGGAGACACTAAGATGCTTAGACCGCAAGGTAGCTTCTTGAGTTTTTCTTATTGTTGTTGCATAGTTGATTTCAAAAGGTTTCCATATATAAGAAGAATATTAAACATCTCCTCTATTAACAACAGGGCCTGCTGGCTGGTTTTGTGGTTGATGAGGCTCACTGCGTCAGGTACATTACCGTTCTACTCTTCTCTCACACATTATAATTTTGTGATCTACTACATGAGTGCTCTATATTATTCATCACCAACACGTTAACATCAAAATTACATTTCTTGCTTCTACATGAGGAAAATTTCCTTGAAGTTGAAATACATGTATATGGTAACCATGTTATAGTATTATGGTCGAGCATGATGGAATCTAGTGGGTGTCAGTTGTTTCAATTTAATGGCATAGGTCAATAAGCTTGATCAAAATGTTAAAACTTTCGGCTTCTGTGCTTTGCAGAAAAAGTGACTGTTCAATTTTGGGTGTCTGATTCTCAAACTCCCATTGGGTGGTCGTTTCTTTTGTACGGTTTGCATCTGAAAAATGCTACCTTTTTTCTTTGTTTCCAGCCAATGGGGACATGACTTCCGGCCAGACTACAGGGAACTGGGATGTCTTAAGCAGAACTTTCCCCGGGTTCCTGTGATGGCTCTTACAGCTACGGCAACTGAATCAGTCTGTCAGGTAACAACCATCACCATGACTAGATCCTCTTGAAATTCACTGGAACTGATTAAGAGCTTTGAGGGCTTTGAGGATTCCGGCTGCTTCAACCCTTAATTTGAAATTCAGAAAACATTCATACTTGCACAATTTTGTAACATATGTTTGGTTCATCATGACCTGAAGACTACTGGATCCCATTTTGAATTCTGTGTTTTTTTTTTATCCTGACGACAGGACGTACTAAAAAGTCTGAGAATCCCCAGTGCTCCGGTTCTTAAGATGAGCTTTGACAGAACCAATTTGAAGTACGAGGTGATCAACAAGACCAAGGAGCCACTGAAACAGCTCCAAGAGCTTCTGAGAGACCGGTTCAAGGATCAGTCTGGGATCGTTTACTGTCTCTCCAAAAGTGAATGCGTTGATGTTGCGAAGTTTCTGAACGAGAAATGCAAGGTGAAAACTGTTTATTACCACGCCGGTGTGCCCGCGAAACAGAGAGTTGATGTTCAGAGGAAATGGCAAACAGGGGAGGTCCGGATTGTTTGTGCAACCATCGCATTTGGGATGGGAATAGACAAAGCAGACGTAGTAAGTAAAGCCTGTTTATAGCTGCTGCAGCCTTTTTACTACCAATTTTCCTCTTAAGGGTTCTTAATCGGTTTTGGTGCAGCGTTTCGTTATACACAACACATTGTCGAAAGCGATAGAAAGCTACTACCAAGAGTCAGGGAGAGGAGGAAGGGACGGGCTTCAAGCGCAGTGCATTTGCTTGTACCAGAAGAAAGATTTTAGCAGAGTCGTCTGCATGCTGCGTAACGGACAAGGCAGAAACATGGATAGGTTCAAGTCAGCCATGGCTCAGGCCAAGAAGATGCAGCAATACTGTGAGCTCAAGGTAATACTAATACACTGAAAAGCAAACTCTGTTAAGTGAGCCTGTGTCTATCGTGGATGATATGTTCAAGATTACTTAACTATGTCTTACTTAATCTATGAATGTTTCAGACAGAATGCAGAAGACAGATGTTACTAGAGCACTTTGGAGAGTCGTTCGACCCAAGGATTTGTAAAAGCAGTTTAAATCCCTGTGATAACTGTGAAAAGAGCTAAAGTAATCTTAATCAAATCTTTTATGACTTTAACATGTTGTGGATGTATAGTTTTGTTCACGTGATTGTGCAAAATTTGCCTAAAATTCGAAAATCCATTAAAAAATGCCTAAAATTTAGTATGCTATTTTCTTAAATCCAATTCATTGATCCAAGATAAGGTCGGACATATTATGAAGTAGATTTTTTCGCGATACAGTAGCGTGTGATATAAATCTGTAAGCATTTTTTAAATCCCAAATTTAAAGAAGACTTTGATTTATCAAAAGGGAAGAGCCGAGTCAGCTTTGGTCGACCTGGATTCGTCTGCGTGCCAGAGGCAGCAATGGAGGCCGAGACAGAGTATGATCCAACGGTTATTTCCACTATCTCAAGTTTCCAATCGCCCTTAACGGTTCGTCTACTTAACTTGTTGATGCTGCAGTTTCAAGTGAACTTAGGATTTAAGTTTTTTTTTATGGGTTAAGAAGTTTACTTAGTATTTTTAGGATCCCTTTGTTTGTAGTTAACATTCTAAGAATTTACAGTACGTCACTTGTTTATGATCATATATAGAGATATCATACATCAACTGGTCTGGTGAAGGGAAATTTGGATTCCTTTGTATTATATTGTTTACTTACTTGGGTTCCAAGAATCTAACATTCGTTGGCTTTTCTTGTAGATTGCTCTTGAAGTAGCAGGAAAAGTAGCATCAGTTGAAGCTCCTACTGTCGCTTTTGATGCTAATTCTCTGGCTAGATCTGACCTCGAACCCCCTAAGAACCCTAATAAGAGAAAACACCCTGAGCCTTCAACAGAATCAAGGGTTCAGCACGATCAAACTGAGGCCACAACAGAAGATAAGACTGATGTATCAAACCTTGCAACTTATTTTGGCGATAAACCATTTGTGTACGAGCAGACACCGGTCGGGGTCACTATGGGGCTAGCTAGGACGACGCCCACAGATGGCTTAGCATGGTACTTGAAGGCAACCCTTGTCAAGGAAGGTGAAGGCATAGGCTGCTTCAATGTAATTGGCCAGGTTGGGATAGATACGTACAGAAGCGGTTGTGTCGCTTACAAAGTCGCCCACCAAATCCTGCGCCGGAAACAACCCGACAACAATTTCTTCACCAAGTCCGTTGTTCATCTACATTTTCCTAAAGCTGGTGGTCAAAGCGCAGGCTGCACCATGAGCACTTCCTTGCTATCATTTGCCATGAACAAACCTGTTAGGAAGAATCTTGCAATGACCGGAGAAATCACTTTAACCGGTGGAATTCTTCCAGTTGCCTACGTAAGTCACATAATACACTACAACTTCTTTTTTTTTTTCTTGTGCAAGTTACTACAATTTCTATTAAGTTCATTGTGTAATACACAATTTTTTTTTCTCCTTTTCAGGTGAAGGAGAAGACCATAGGTGCGAGACGGAGTCAGGTCAAGACGATAATATTTCCAGAGGGTAACCGTAAAGACTTTGATGAGCTGCCGGAAAACCTGAAAGAAGGGCTCGATGTTCATTTCGTCGATGACTACGAGCAGATTTTCGAGCTAGCATTCAACTATGACCATTAGTATATTCAAAGGTTTATATTTGTTGGATAATAAAATCATTCAAAGGTTTATATTTGTTCGATGGGCCTCACCGCACAATGCGCACAAATCAATAACACACGCTTCGGAAATTAAACCTGGTTGTGCTATATAACTCAGCTTCAATCTATTATATCAACGCCTTGTTCATGATGAATAAAATTAGAATGAAACCCATCTTTTTTTTTGTATATTAAATTTAAGGGAACTGCGTTTACAACCAGAAGTAGAGAAATGATTATGCACACCGGAGACGCAGTAATGCTAAAAAGAAACGCAGGCCAAACTAAATCTGACTCAAGACACCGGAGACAAATAAGTTGTTGGGAAAAAACAGTTTTGATGGTTTAAACTTCTTGTAACCGCATAGTAAAAGTGGGTCTACAAAAATCTTCTGCTAGCGTTGGGAGCAAAGCGATGGACAAAGTCGTATTTTAATGGACAGCTGAACTACATCTAAAAAGACTGGTTTCACAACAACATGAACACTACTTGATCGAAAGCATTTAGTCTTTACTCTTTCCCTTCTCTTCTTTTTCGTTTTTCACCCGTTTTCGCATCTTCTTGTGGGTCCTGCTGCGATGTGCCTTGCGTTCCAAGCAACTGATTCTGGCTGTTGTCTTCCACCGGTGGGTTTTCTTCGAAGAAGAGCGAGCCGGGTAATGATGGGAATTGGACTTCCAAAGTTCTGGACCAGAAGCTGTCAGCTATTATCTTGTTGTAGTTCGTCTTTAAAACTCCCGGATCAAAATATAGCTTATGTCTCCTGAATATATAAGATGAAGGTTTGAATCATTTCAAAAAATTTAGTAACACAAAGCAAATAGAAGGAACACATGGTAAGCAAAACAAAACCTGCAAACAGAAGACGGGTGATTTGGGGAAAAATGGTCCACACGTTCCCATCTTAGCGCCTGCCTTGGAGCACACTCTTTCAGGAAGGACGGTGGTTTGCTCAACTGCAGAAACGTCACACCATGCATTAGGGTTCATGACTTGAAACATGTGTGAGAAATTTATAGTATACATACCTCGATTTCAAGGCATCCGGTTCGATCATTCGCTTGAAGTGACAAGACATCGCCCCAGTTAATCTCCATTTTCTTCGTCTGTTTCTTTGTTCCAGTTTCTGTTTGCTCCTCGTCCCTAATCTCCCACACAAACTGCTTCTTTACGAAATAGCACCTAGCCAACAGATCCGGGGAGTGGACAGCAGTTTGGGTCCAATGCCCGATCGAAATCTTGTTCATTTGAAAGTTAATAGCTCTCGGTGGCGTACGCGAGTTTTGAGATGAACTTGGAACCTGAATTCACACGTTTAACGAAACCTAAGACATTGTTGTGTGGAAAGTGGTAAATAGAATTTTAAAGTCTCAGAACTAACAAAATCTAAGAGATAAGCCATCTTTTAACAGCCATGTGATTCCAAATGTTCAACAACAGTTTCTTAATTCTCTGGTACGAACTAGATCCTATGGAAGAAACTAAAAGAACAAAACAGAGACTGCAATGGCACAAAGAACAGAGGAAGTTGAGTCAGAGTGAGAACCTGCGATCCCGAAGCAACGACCAGAGGATCTCCGCCAGGTTGGCCCAACGAAAGATCATCGCCAAGAGACGCAGCGGCTGAGGTTATCGATAAACCCAATGAACGATTCACGCCACCCGTTGAACTCGACGACCCGAGCGGAAGAGCCGCGCCTGTGATGAGTCCTAAACCCAATGACAGATTCACGTTGGGAGGCGGAGAAGCGACGGTGGAACTCGAATGAACGACCGGAATATCTGGGCCGAGAGGTAGAGAAGCCGTCGTGGAGCTTGTAAGAAGATTCAAGGCGGTGGAGCTTGACGGATCGACCGGGAGATTTTGGCCGAGAGGCGGAGACGCGACGGTGGAACTCGACTGATCCGGGGATAAATTCGAGCGCAGAGTCTGAGGCATCGAGGGAACTTGTTTCGTCGGAGATCCCTCGTGATCTTGTTGATTCACCATTCTTGAAGGAGAAGAAGAAGAGAGCAAGATGAAAAGAATGAAGTGTCAGTTAGTTGCTCGTAACTACTTTACTTATATAGTATACAATATCGGTTGCCACGTGGCATAACGAAGTTTCTTACTTTCTTTTTAGTAAGATAAAAAAATCAATTCGAAGGAATTAATGCGAAAATTACAGAGACGGATCGCATAATGAAGCTTAATGATAGTATCATTCAAAGGTTAATATTTGTTCTATGGGCCTCACCGCACAATGCGCACAAGTAAAAGCCCATTCTTCTTTTCCTAGCCAGTTTTTAACATATAAGCATGAGAGGTTTAGAAAAGATCAAACCGACAAAAAAAGAAAAAGAAAAGAAGAAAAGATTTGTGAATTTTTTACACATAAAAGATATTGTCGTGTGGGTTACTGAGGTGATGATTACGTTCAGTACTTGTTAGATGTTAGAATGTTTCCAACAGAAGATAAATTTCTTTTGGTCACTAGTGATAATGACTCGATTGGTATTTAACAATATTGTCCATTTATAGTATTTTTATTTTGTTTTAGGAGTAGTCTACATTTCGTTAGCGCAATTGGTTAATTCCAAATAAAAAAAGAATATCAAACTCTAATTGGATTTCTCTTAACAACATAACATTTAAAACTTGTACGAATCTCTAAGTGTAAACCAATAAAAATTCATCATATTAGCAAAAAGTCTCCTTTTTTACAGAAAATAATGTCACATTTATTTACAGAGATGGAGAGAGAGATTGGAAAACTCAAAGTCTCTCTCTCCTCTTATCACATCAATTCACATTCTACATCTATTTTTTTTTTTAAAAGCGCTCTCTCCGCTGCTTCTTTTTTAGGTTTCTCTACTCTCAAACCCAAATCCCAAAATTCCTAATTCCAAATCCTAAATCGAATCCGTTTTCTTCATCACCACTCTTTACCGTACCTGTCCCTCTAACCCATTTCTTAAAAAGCTCATTTCTTTCGTTTTTTCCACTGATTTGTTTTTCTCGACGTGGTCTTTTTTTACCCTGTTGGATTCTTGTAAGTCTGAGAAACACATAAATACCCAGTTAGAGAGAGAGAGAACAAAAATGAAAGGCTTTCATTGATTGTATAGGGTTTCAATCTTCAGCATCAAAGATTTTGCTCATCACGCTTGAATTTTGGCTCAATTTTGTTCGACACTTGTGGGTTTTCGTCTCTGTGCCTACATATTCTCGTGAACGTTTAGAATATATCGAATTCAGTACTATTCTATTCATTTCTGAATTTTTTAGGGTCTGATGAATCATTTGATTTGTCTGTATTCCTGTTTTATCCTGTTACTGATCCAAAGTTTGGCCCTTTTGTCATTATGACTAAGTCAAAATCCGATGTCATGTATGATAGTTATGCATTCCGTACTAAGTAATTCAATTGCTGTGATCTGTAGATGATAGAAACGGAGGCTGTTGAAGGGAAACGATCAAGAGGAGGGTTTCTACATCTGTTTGATTGGCCTGGTAAATCCCGGAAGAAGCTCTTCTCCTCTACCACCACCTCGGAACTCTCCGGTAATGTCTGCAAAACAAAAAATACTCCATGAGGTCCTTAACAAATGTCTGGTTTAAGTTTTAAAAAATGGTTCTTGTCCTGTAGTCTTGGTTGATTTCTCGTTATGCTTTTGGATTTTTTGTGGATGACTTGAAGACGAATGCTTTTCTTCTTTGGCTTCTTGTTCAATGGACTCAAAAGTCTTGTCCTTTTTGTTTGTACCAGGAGCATCAAAGCAAGAGAAACAAAATGCTCAAAACCTCTTAAAGTCATGGCCCTCTCTGGTAAGGCTTCTTAATACCATTATTGTTTTGTTTTTTTTTTCCATGTTCTTGATGAATGACAGAAACCAATAGTCTTTGATCTGATATTTTTCAACAGATTGATGGTGATGAGATTGGAAAGAATTCGACTTACAATCTGAGAAGCGACTCAAGTTGTTCGACATCCACTGTTACTAGTGATGACGGACAAGTGTCAAGATCCCCGAGTGTGGTCGCGAGGCTCATGGGTTTGGAGTCCCTACCTCGGTCTAGTTCCGAACTTGAGCCATTCTTTCACAGATCTTCATGCAAGACAAGCACATGGGACGCATATGAGAATTTGGGTTATGTAAATCTCTGCACTGACTATGATGGCATTTCTTGGGACCATTTGGATTCGAGAATGAATCTTGAGCGTAACCGGCCTCCTATTAACCGCTTCCAAACCGAAACATTGCCTCCAAGGTCAACTAAACCAATATCTGTAACTCACAATAGGCTCTTGTCACCCATCCGGAGTCCTGGGTTTGTTCAGTCCAGGAACCCTGCTTATGTAATGGAAGCAGCTTCTAGAATGATTGAACCAAGTCCTCGCGTAGCTGCTAAAGCACGGTTTTCATCGTCTGATTCTTCTTCATCACTTCCTATGAGTATCAGAGACTTGAAAGAGAAGCTCGAAGCTTCACCGAAAAGACCAACCCCTCAGATCTCTAATGGTACCTGCAACAATAAGAATTCAAGAGGGAAGCACGATGAGAAGAGAACTACATCATCAGTCAAGACTCAAGAGACAAATAAGTTATTGGGTAAAACCAGTTTTGATGGTTTGAAGGGTAAAGTGAAGCCTCCTTCTCACGCAAGAGCCAATACTATTCACAAGCAATCAATGCCCACAAGTGGCAACAGAGGCACTAAGGAGACGATGGAAACTAAGAACAGTGTGATGAAAAATAGTCTCAAAGAGTCTTCTGCTAGCACTGGGAAAACTGTGGCTAAGCCAAATAACCAGAAACAGAACCAGTTCGCTGTGACGTCTGTTTCAAACCAGAAAGGTGGCAAATTGATGAACAAAGTTGTAAACAAGGTTTTGGTGGAGAGCGGAACCACATCTAAAAAGCCTGGTTTTACAGCAACATCGGTTGAAAAGAACACTACTTTATCTTTGCCCCGCAAAAAGATTCTTCCCCGCAACAAAAAACCGCAAAATGGTGGGATGCAAGAACCTGGAATGAGCAGTGATAAACGGATCAAAAGGGGTGAACAGTCGATAAAATGTAACATCACAGTTGATGGCAGTTTTAAGACAGGGGAAGATGATCGAAAGAAGGACATGGATGTGATTTTGTTCACTTTCTCATCTCCGATCAAGGGTATATCATCCGGTTCACGATACTCCACTGAAAAGACCAATCAAGATAGATAGTTTGGACTTAGTTTCAGTGCGATCGACGACGACTCTCTAAATATTCTGTTGGAGCAAAAGCTCAGGGAGCTAACCTCTAAGATCGAGTCATCTTGCAGTAGCCTTACCCAAGAAGAAGAATCCTCAGGTTCCATTTCAAAGGATTGGGTGAATGGGACGATATCATTGCCATCAGATGATCTGGATAAAGTTCCATCAGAGAGCGAATCTGTTTCTGACTCTACCTCATTCTACAATAACCAAATATTCCAGGTTAGTCGCATGGCTTATGCCTCTCTTTGCACAAATGATAGATTTACTTTCAGTAGCTTACCACTGTTTCTTCCGAGTTACTGATCATTGGAAATTTCATATTTCCTATGATTCAGGGGGAAGAGCAGGAAGTTAACAGCTTCAGCACTGTAACAGAAGCGGATGATGATCTCCAAATCTACTACAGCAAGAGTTTCTCAAATCCACACAATGAATCTCGCCATGAGAATGAAGAAACAGAGTTCTCAGGATCCATTGCTTTAGCAGAAGCTGAAGAAGGCCATGATTGGGAGCTCGAGTACATAACCGAGATCATAGCCTCCGGCCAACTGGTGGTTAAAGAATTCTCCTTGGGGATGGCTACTGAGGTTGTACCTTTGAGCCTTTTCGATGAAATTGAAGGTAAGAGAGATGCACAGGACAAGATCGAGAGAAAGATGCTGTTTGACTTTGTGAATCAGTGCTTAACACTCAAATGCGAGAAGATGTTCATGGGAAGCTGCAGGGGATTGTTGGAGAAAGAAGGGGTTTTGTTTGAGAGGAAAAAGATGTTAGCTGAAGAAGTGAAGAGAGAGATTGAGGGATTGAAGAAGAGGAAGATAAGAAAGATGATGATGGATGAGCTCGTTGACAATGACATGAATAGTTTTAAAGGGAGCTGGCTTGATTACAAGAGAGAGACATACGAAGAAGGAGTTGAGATTGAAGAAAAGATTGTTTCTGAATTAGTTGATGACTTAGTTAATGATCTTCTCCTAAGTTTCTTCTGACAAAGACTTGGTGCTCTTGCAGAAACAAATTTCCTCTGTTTTCTCCAATTTGATTGACAATGAGAATTGTAAAAATACATTAGGCTGAATAGCATTTCTCTATTTATCTCTGAACTGGCAAATAGTATGTGACATTTCATTGCGGAGGATAAGAAACGGCGTGGAGTCCTAGTCCATGATGTGAAACGGTAGGACGTTTTTGTGTGGATGCGTGATTTAGAAAATAACATAGAACGGGGCGTTCCGAGAATCGAACTCGGGACCTCTCGCACCCGAAGCGAGAATCATACCACTAGACCAAACGCCCTAATCGGTTAAGTAACAGCATTTAAATTATTTCGATCTTCTTTTGTGCGGACTATTCCTATTATTGTTGTCCTTTGTTTGTTCATCGAAGACTAACAATTCGAATCATCACTATATTTCCTCTCTTTGCTGAACCCTTTCAGCTATCTCTCCTCCAATGGATTCTAGCAACAGCGTAAGCATACGCTAGTCTCTCTCTCTCTCTCACTCTATGCTTTGGGCCAGGGTACGATATGACACTGAGTTTGCTTCGTGTTCGATTTTGTAGACGAATACGGTTGGGGTTGATAATACGTTCAGGAAGAAGTTCGATACGGAAGAGTATCGGGAACGAGCACGTGAACGCGAAAGGAAGGTTGGGTTCTCCCGAATTTCCTAAATTTCAATCTCTGATCTTGTAAAATTTTCAATTTTGAAAGCTTAATCATGCGGGGTTTACTTCTCGATGCAGGAGTCGGATCGGTCTAAATCTCGGCGTAGGGTTACTTCTCTGATTCAGTTTATGAAAAGACTTTTACTTTTCAAACCTTGATGACACTAATTAGGTTTGCTTTTGCAGCCAAAGGCCCTCCTGTGCAAAGAGCCCCTTTGAAGCATAGAGATTATCATGTAGACCTTGAATCTCGTCTTGGCAAGACGCAGGTGACTTTATCTCTCTTGACCCATTTTGTTTTGTGGTATTCGTATTTTGATTGAATAGAAATTTGCAAGCTTAGCTTTTGTTTATCCGTAAGACAAAGAATTTGTGAAAGTAAGTTGTGCCTATTACTCAGCTGAGTCGCGGATGAGTCTCTTTTACACGAGGAGTCAGCTTAGAAGCTTGCACAGTTGGTTTTGATTTGAAATGTGTTAAATTTACTCAATTCGAGTATCAATCCTTCTTGAGAGTAGTTGATAATATATATAGTAGCTGGTGTCTTAGTGGGTAACGTTTTGTAGCTCCGTTGTTGTATTCCCTGACTAAAAGATGAAGGTTTGTGAATGAATTACACCACTATCTTGTTACTGTCATAGGGACGGCATTGATGTTTGCTGTGGTGTTTGCACAATTGTTTTCATATATGAGCTGAATCAAAATTAATTGGGTTGACATGAATTGTATTCTTCTGATATGGAAATTTCTCAACTTGATAATCTAATGTTCTTGTTGATATTTACCAGGTTGTTACACCGGTTGCGCCTCTAAGTCAGCAGGTAATGTCTGTTTCTAGCTTTACTCGCAGATATGACCGTAAGGAAAAAAACTTGTATGTATCTGCTAATGATCTTTGTCTTCCCACAGGCCGGTTATTTCTGTCGCGTTTGTGATTGTGTTGTTAAAGATTCGGCAAACTACTTGGATCACATAAATGGGAAAAAACGTACGTGGCGACTCTTTGATCTCTGCTCTTTAGTAAAGAAATCAGATTCATTTTTCGAAGCCATTAAATTGTTGGATGGAGTATTCAGTTTGTCTGTGTCTTTATGTTGTAACGTTTTTGATCCAAAGTTTGATACTTTGTAATCTATGATCACATAGAAGACATCTATCTATTCAGTTTGTTTGCATTTTATAATGAACTAGGCGAAATTGTTTATGTTTCCCACAGATCAAAGGGCGTTGGGAATGTCTATGCGGGTGGAAAGATCGTCTCTTGAACAAGTAAACTTTTTTTTTCTCTCCCAGTCATATATACTTAAATGCTTTAATGGGGTTTTGCATATGACTGAATCTGAGACAAAAGTGCTTCTGCTTTGAATGCATTAGGTCCAGGAGCGGTTCGAGGTGTTAAAGAAGCGGAAAACGCCAGGAACTTTCACAGAACAAGGTAAGACCTCTGAGAGCACCCATCTCAAGTTACGTAGTCTGATGTTTCTTTCAGAAAACAGGAACTATTCTGTAATGCATAGTAGATTTGGGATAACTGAGTTTGATCATGATCTGGGAATAGACCTGGACGAACGCATCCGGAAACAGCAAGAAGAAGAGGAAGAGCTAAAACGGCAGAGGCGGGAGAAAAAGAAAGAGAAGAAGGCAAGTCTCCACAGATCTTGAGCTCATTTTTTTTGTTGTTTCTTCTTTGATTGGTTTTCATGATTGGCTTTTGGAAATCTGACATGGGGTTTTCCAAAATTTCTGGATTCAGAAAGGGAAGGCGATGGAAGAGGAGCCTGAGATGGATCCTGAGGTTGCAGAGATGATGGGATTTGGGGGCTTTGGGTCTTCGAAGAAATCATGAGGATCATCATTTGATCATTTGTGTCTTTGTGTTGTAACGTTTTTGATCCAAAGTTTGATACTTTGTAATGATCACATAGTGATATCGCTTCATTGTGCCAAACAAGATGAAACTGTGTCTTTTTTAGCTGCTTCTTTTTATATAACCTTTGACAAGTTTAACTCTTTGTAATCTCAGATCAATTCGAATATCAAATCTTCCCCTCAAAGCAGAAAAAATACAAGTACTTATTTTGCCAACAACATGCAATGCAATATAAATCCGAAGTTGCAGCTATAGTCAATACTCACTCAAGCCATTGCCTCCTAGATCACACCGTACGTTTATATACTACAGAAAACTTTCACCAACCCTTTATCAGGATTCTCTCTCTCCCCTTATTGAATCGCCTCCTGTGTTTCGAACTTGTTCCATGCCTTGTGCCCCAAGAACCTCCTCACTCCTATTGTCATCAGCGATTACGCCCATGTGCCTCCCATCACCATCCCGTGTATCTGTTTTAGTGCTATCTCCCACTTCCACGCGACCAGATCCTATCAAAGTAGTGGGTTAATGTTCTTATTTAAAATACACTCGCGCATTTGAATCAGGTTCATACTTAAAGTACCTTGAGAATCGCTGTTGTTGTTACTGCTGTTTCCATAGCCAGTCATCAAGTTTGTTTGTGTCCCAAGGAACTCCCCTGTGTTTCTCATGTGGCTCCTGCCTCCGAACAAGCGATTATTGTTGTTGCTGTTTCCATCGCCAATGTCGAAGTAAAGAGATTGTGGTAGAGTTGGGAACTTGACTTTGGCGAGATCTGACCAGAAGCTATCGCCGGACACAAGCTTCTCCAAGTTCTTTTGCAAAACTCCAGGAGCAAAATAAAGTGTATGTCTCCTGATATGTATATATGTAAATGTGAGGCTTTGTGTCACTTGAAACAAAGCAAAAAGGAGGATCAAAGATAGAGAATGAAACCTGCATCTAGAAGCAGACTGGTCTTGGGTGAAATCTTGCTCCATCTGTTTCCACTTAGTGTGTTTTCCTGCCTGTGGATTAGTCTCTATGAAGAACGTTGGACGTTTTCCCAACTGCAAAAAAACATCTCGCAGTCATTATTAGGCTCAAGATTTCTCAACAAAATGTTTAAAACATATGATATACAAGTTACCTCCACTTCGAACGTTCCGGTTTTATCATGTGGATGAAAAGTTGCTCTAAAAGACAAGACATCATCCCATTGGATCTCGATCTTTCTCTTCAGCTTCGCGACATGTGTTTCTGTTCTAGTTTCTACACTGTCGAGAATCTCCCACATAAGTTGCTTCCTTGCAAAATAGAACTTGGCCACAAGATCATCCGGGTAGACCATCACGCTGGTCCATTCACCAATGGTGATCTTGGAGATTGGGAAGTTCATAGCCTTTGGTTTCTCAACAGTCTTAGTTGCTTCGGGAGGCGTCAAGGTATTTGTGTTCACCGTGAAATCAGGCGTTTTTCGTTGATTGGGACATGGATAGTCTTGCTTAATGATGTCTGCAATCTTTTTGAGAAATTCCGGAGTTTTGGTTAGAGGCAAGTTTAGTCGAAATGGATCCTGAAAACAAAATAAAAGAATTAGAGAGTAAATCATAAACTTATACATTGCTTTCCTACTTTAACTATGCATTCCATAAATTACAAATATATGATTAAGAACAGAATAAAATTGCATAACTAACATTATCTGAGAGATAAACAACAAGAGAAAATCCTTCTTCGAAGAAGAAACAACTTTTCTGTGAATTATTGGAGAACAATTTATAATAACTTGAAACCTAATCCCTAGTTGTTCTCCAGATCAGGAAAGCTATAACTATCTGAAAACGTTAAACAAAAACAGATGTTGAAACAGAACAAATAACAGAGTACGAAACATAACATATCAGAAAACAGAGCAAGTGGAAACAGAGGAAACGCCGAGAAACAAAGAGAACAGAGCAAAGAATGCAGAGAAAGAGAGATAATAGAGAAAAGAAGAGATCTTTCCTACTTTAACTATGCATTCCATAAAATACGAATATATGATTAAAAACAAAACAAAACCAAAAAAGAGTTTGAAATTGCATAACTAACAATATCTGAGAGATAACAGTCAGAGACAAATCTTTTTCAGAAGAAGAAACAATGTTTCTGTGAATTCTCCGGAGAACAATTTATAGTAACTAGTTACATAAACCCTAGTTGTTCTCCAGATCAGAAAAAGACAAACAGTTTCTTTATTTTTAAAATTTTCTGATAAGTAAACAGACGCACCTGCGAACGAGCATCCGAGACTGCAGAGCCGGGAGGCGATGACGCGGCGGCGCCGGAGACAGTTGCGTTAGGCTGACCCAACGAGAGATCTGCGCCCATAGGCGGGGACGTCGCATTGGCCACTGGGAGAGATTGTTGCGTCGGAGAAGAATCTTTAACTGGAGTAGAAGATGAAGAAAGGGAACTCGCTCCCAGTTTCACCGTCGACTGTAACTTCCTTGCAGAAGAACCCGCAGAAGAACCCGCCTCCAATTTCTGTAATTTCCGACTTAATGCTTATGTACAGGTTAAAACAAAGAACAGAGAGCAACAAAGAAGAAATAACAACCTGGGATTTTGGCGGCGGATCCAGTGAGTGATCGAGAGGCGAGGACCTGGCGATGCCGGAGACGGTTGAGTTAGGCGGAGCCAAAGAAAGTTCAGAGCCGCGGGGCGGAGGCTCGGCATTGCCGGAGACGGTGGCGTCAGGGGTAACCGCCGGGAGATTTTGCTGCGTCGGAGGAAGTTCGCGTTCTTGAACTGGAGAAGAAGATGAAGAAAGGGAGGGAGAGGAAGAAGAAGTCTCCTTCATTTTCATCAACTGTAACTTCCTCTCGTTAGTCGTTACGACTTATATATACAGTAGTGTATGCAGTTGCCACGTTGGCAAAAGATCCCACAAGTTCTCTTTTGTACCCCTAACCTTTTAAATATTCGGTTTAGCCCCAAAGTAAAAATTGGGTTTTTTCTTTCGTTAACTCTGGTGGAAAAAATTGATTTTTCCGTAGTAGCATCGAAATCGAAGAAGTCGATGAGGACGAGCTGGATGATGTCGGTACGGAGGAGCGGGTGGTTGACGAAGTTGGGAGACGACGGCGGCGAAGAGAGGACGACATGGTTGAGACCCGCAAAGCGAAGAGAGAGGAGAGCTTGCTTCCTCATTCCCCCTCCGCCGTTTCTCTTGACCTGAAGGTCGGTTTTCATATTTAGCCTTTGTTACGAAATCTGGAGATTGATAGGCAAAAGGGGGTTCTGATGAGTGATTCATAGATGCATGCTTTTGTTGTTAAGATTCGTGAAATGATCTGATGCGTTGTGAAATTTGCCTTTTATGTTTGAATTTCTCTGAGCCCAGCTACTAAAATTTCATGATAAGTTTTGGTTTCTGAAGAATGATGAGTTTTTTACATTAGTAGCTTTTGCACTTGGGACTTAACTTCTGAAGGATCTTTCTTGCTCTGAAAATCTATTGATGCTTGAAGATTTTTTTTTTTTTTTTTTTTGCATATTTTGGAATACAATAATGGTGTTTAAAATTCCCAGAATGGAAATTTACATTTTGCTTATCGGATTATTATTTTATTTGTGTCTAGTTTGTATGTTTGATATGTTACAGTTGATAAACCGTATTTGGTCTGACAAGAGGGATCAGTTGAACAATCAGAACGTTACTTTGTGTTTGTGGTGGTGAGAGACATCCCATTAACATACTAAGCTTTTGGAGCCATATTTTGTTGATGTCAAGTGTTGACATAATGACATTGATATTTCTATTGTTAGGCTAACAATGAGCGTCTGATGTTCAGATAATGTATTTGTTATCGCTTCATGAGGCTAAAGCAATGTACTTTAATATGAAAGTAAAGCTATAGCAATGTATTCCCTCTTTCTAATGTTATCCATGTTCTTTTGGTAGAAATGTTTTATGTACGCGTTGAAGAAGTAAAGCTAATGCTTGGAATTTTCCAGTATGATCAGCTATTCAAGACTTGCCAAATTTAGTTTTCATCTGCAGTTTTTCTTTTGCATATTCTGGAGTATGATTGTGGTGTTTGAATTTCTCAGAATGGGAATGTACGTTTTGTATATTGGATTGTTAGTATTATTTTTGAGTAGTTTGTATGTTTGATTGGTTACAGTTGATAAACCGTATTTGGTCTGACAAGAGGGATCAGTTGATTGAGGCTACTACTCAGATCAGAACGATTCTTTGTGGTGGAGACATCCCATTAACTTATTTACTAACACTTTTTTTCCCTCGGTTTGCTAAAACGTAATCCATGTTTTGTTTACATTGATACATGATCCTCTACCAACATTATTGCCATTTCTAATGCTAGGTTAATAATGAGAGTCAGAAGTTATGATAATGTAAAGCAATGTAGTTTGATGTGAAAGTAAAGCTATAGTATTCTCTCTTTCTAATGCTCTACATGTTCTTCTGGTAGAAATGTTAATTGTACGTGTTGAAGAGGTTGTACAGGCTGGTTTGCTTCCACGCTTTGTGGAGTTCCTTACGTGCCATGTCTTTCCCCAGCTTCAGGTTAGCTTCGATGCCCATGTACATTCCATCTGGTTTATCACTAGCCTCACAAGCTCCATGTCGTTCTTTCGTTTCATGGAACAGTTTCTATGCTTTGCATCTGGAATATCTGAGAACACTGAAGTGGTGACTGATCATGGAGCTGTTGCAATACTAGTGAGACTTCTCAGCTCGCCAAAAGATGGGGTCCCTGAGCAGGTATACTAATGTGGTGATAGATCATCACGTACTAATGCTATGTGCTTCTTAAATGCTTATGACTGGTTGGAGCCTGTGGTTGCTTCTGCAACTGATAAGTATAAACCTTAAAGAAAAGGCATAAAGATCAATAAACGAAAATTATATATAGAAAAACATAATGTTGAACCGAGGAAACAAGATTGGACTAATGTTTTAATACGTTTTGTTGAGTTTGTTTTTGTTCTCCCACTTTTCAGTTGCCATTAAGCTTTATTCTTCTTTATTCTCGGACAATCAGCTGGTCTGGGCATTAGGAAATATTTCATGGAGATTTTACCTTCTCTGTTGTTGCATTTAAACCATGGAGCCAAACTTTCTATGCTTGTGCTTGGACTTTGTCTACTCTTTGCAAACCCCAAGGAACTTTCACCCAACAATGTAAGGGGGTGGGGGTGTGAATATTTTATTTTTGTTTTGTTTTGCAAATTAACTTCATTGTTAGATTGGGATAAGGATTCGAAACAAAAAAAAACAAAAAGATTAGCAAGATAAGGACAGAATGTTCTGATTTGTCGTTAGGTTTTGAGTTATTATTTTATTTTTTGTCAACAACATACAATATGCAATATACATCTCAAAATAACCATAATTAAAGAAGGCTATATGATCTATTAACAGGGAAACAAGGTTTAAAAGCAGAGACGGAGTCAGCTCACCGTGTTGAAGCAGAGATACAATAGTTGGGTCGACAATGGAGGCCGATACAGAGACTGATCCAGCGGTTAACCCAAGTTTCCAGTCTCCCTTACTGGTTAGTCTACGCTACTTATTTGAGTGATGGAAAAGAGTTTTGATGATCACAGAGATATCAATTGGACTGGTGGAGGAAATTCCTACACTTTGGTGAGATTTTTCTTTTTTGGGGTACCCTTTCCAAACTGGTGTGATTGGTACTGTGTACTTGTGTCCCAAGAATCTAAAAAAGCATTGACCTTTCTGGCAGATTGCTCTTGGACTACCAGGAAAAGGAGCATCCATTGAGGCGCCTGCCGTTGAATTTTGTGCTAGATCTTTGGCCAAAACTGGCTCAGAATCCCCAGAGAACCCTCATGACCCGGAGGATTCAAAGGCTCATTTGAAACATGGCCAAGAGGATCAGAGAGGATTCAGAGCAGAAGTTGAAACAGTGGTGTCTGATGAATCAAACCTTGTAAGTTACCGGTCGGGGTTGCTATAGGTCTAGCTAAGACGTCCATAGATGGCTTAGCATGGTATGTGAAGACAACATTTGTCCAGGAAGGTGATGAAAGAGGCTGTTTCAGTGTAAAAGGCCAGGTTGATGAAGATGCTTCCAGAAGCGGTCGTATCGCTTACATTGTCGCTCGACAAACTCTGCTCGAGAAACAACCGGACAACACATTTTTGATGGTGCCAAGCTTTGTTCAGTTTTTCCTGTAATTAACGGTTCCAAGCGCGGGCTGCACCCTGACCACTTCCTTGCTATCACTTGCCATGAAGAAACGTGTGAGGAAGGATCTTGCAATGACTGGAGAAATTACTCCGACCGGTAGGATTCTTGTGATTGGCAGCGTAAGTCACACACAAACTACAATTACTCTGTTTCAGTTTTTATTTAGTCGCCAAATATCTATTAAATTCTTCTCTTTCTCTCTCTCAGCTGAAGGAGAAGACAATAGGTGCAAGACTGGGTCAAGTGAAGACGATAATATTTCCAGAGGCTAATCGTAAAGACTTTGATGAGCTTCCGGAAAACCTAAAAGAAGGGCTCGATGTTCATTTCGTCGATGAATATCATCAGATTTTCGAGCTAGCATTCAACTATGAACCATTAGAAGACGACCAAACAAGTAAAATATGACCCATTCACACATTTCATCCGTTCTTTAATTCTTTCTTGTTTTTTTTTTTCCATTCTTAGATAAAAACAACTATGGATTTGTATATTAGTCATTTTAGATTCTAACAAAATTAAAAGTATAAGATCGTATTAAACTCCTCTCTGTATTTCCATCCGATTGAACTATCTTTTAACAAACTATCTTTTAACAAGTACCAAACCAAGAAAGATCTCCCCAAATTTAGGGTTTTGTAAGACAAAAGGAAAAAAAATACATTATCCGAGAAAAAGCACCATAAAATCAAAGGTCGACAAAGAACAATCTCCCCAGTTTTTGGGTTTAAATTTGTAAGAAACAGGAACCTAAAACTTAAGTGAGATATAAAATTATATCTAGAAATCAGGAGGCATTGAATCATTGTTGTTGCTGGTCTGAAAGTCACCATCCTGATCCAGATGTGTGTGTTCCATGTTCGGGGTCTCACCTGCGTCAGCTAAGAGGTCTTTTATATACTGTCCAAGCGGATATATCGTCGAGTTGCTTGTTGTCTCGAGTGATGGTTGTGAATATGCTTGACTTCCACGCAACTCCCCTGTGTTCGTTGTCTCTCCTGCTTGAGCTAGGACGCCTTCAGGATACGGTCCAGTCGGATATATCATCGAGTTAATTGGTCTCTCGGGTAATGGTTGTGCATATGCTTGACTTCCACGCAACTCCCCAGTGTTCGTTGTCTCTCCTGCTTGAGCTAAGACGCCTTCAGGATACGGTCCAGTCGGATATATCATCGAGTTAGTTGGTCTCTCGGGTACTGGTTGTGCATATGCTTGACTTCCACGCAACTCACCTGTGTTTCTCATTTGGCGCTCTTCTTGGATCATTGGATTATTAAACTGTGACCCGCCAAAGTACCTTCCTGTGCTGATCAGCTGAGAGGATGATTGGATAACTTGCGTCTCAGGTAACTGATTCATAGCTTTGTTCTGGCGATTGTCTTGAACAAATGAGTTCATGTGCCTCCCGTTATTAGCGCAGAACTGAGTTGCCATGTCAAAATTTACTTCCCCCAGTTGCACATGACCAAATCCTATCAAAATAAATGTCTTCTTTTAATACAGATTGACATATAAAACGACTTGCGTTAGGTTCAAAGTTAAGTACCTTGAGGATGGTGATGAAGAAGGCCATTGTTTGCGTTGAAGCTAAGTGTCTGGCCGTGGCCGTAGGGAGACGAACTGTTGCTATTATTGTTGTTGCTGTTCCCATAGCCAATATCGAAGTAAATCGATTGTGGTAGAGTTGGGAAAGTGACTTTGGCGAGGTTTGACCAGAAGCTATCGCCAGACACAAGCTTCTCCAAGTTCTTTTGCAGAACTCCAGGAGCAAAATGAAGTGTATGTCTCCTGATGTATATATGTAAATGTGAGGCTTTGAATAACTTTCAATGGTACTAAAAAAAGAAAAAGGAGGATCAGAGATAGAGAATGAAACCTGCATCTAGAAGCAGACTGGTCTTGGGTGAAATCTTGATCCATCTGTTTCCATTGAGTGTGCTTTCCTGCTTGTGGATTCGTCTCCATGAAGAACGTTGGACGTTTCCCCAACTGCAAGAAAACATCTCGCAGTCATTATTAGGCTCAAAATTTGCAACAATGTTTTTTGAAAAACATATAATATATATACAAGTTACCTCGACTTCGAGCGTTCCGGTTTCATCATGTGAATGAAAAGTTGCTCTAAAAGACAAGACATCAGTCCATAGGATCTCGATCTTTCTCTTCAGCTTCGCCACATGTGTTTCTGTTTCTACACTGTCGAGAACCTCCCACATAAGTTTCTTCTTTGCAAAATAGAACTTGGCCTTAAGATCATCCGGGAAGATCATCACGCTCGTCCATTCACCAATGGTGATCTTGGAGATTGGGAAGTTCATAGCCTTTGGTTTCTCAAGAGTCTTAGGTGTTTCAGGAGGCGTTAGGGCCTTTGTGTTCTCCGTGAAATCAGGCATCTTTGGTTGATTAGGACATGGATAGTCTTGCTTAATGATGTCTGCAATCTTTTTGAGAAATTCCGGAGTTTTGGTTAGAGGCAAGTTTAATTGAAATGGAACCTGAAAAAATAAATAAAAGAATTAGAGATTAAATCATAAACTTATATATTGCTTTCCTACTTTAAGTATGCATTCCATAAAATACGAATATATTGATTAAGAACAAAACAAAAAGAGTTTAAAATTGCATAACTAACAATATCTGAGAGATAACAACAAGAGACAAATCCTTCTTCGAAGAAGACACACACAGTTTTTCTATGAATTATTAGAGAAAAATTTATAATAACTTGAAACCTAAACCCTAGTTGTTCTCCAGATCAGGAAAGCTATGACTATCTATAAAACGTTAAACAAAAACAGAAGTTGAAACAGAATAAAGAACAGAGTACATGACATAACAGATCAGAAAACAGAGCAAGTGGAAACAGAGGAAACGCCGAGAAACAAAGAGAACAGAGGAAAGTAGAAACAGAGTACAATGCAGAGAAAGAGAGATAATAGAGAAAAGTAGAAACCTCATCTTCTCGCGATCTTTTCATCGAATATCAAACACTCTCTGGTTTTGTTTTGGCTTTTGCTTTTGTTGCCTTAGCTTTCCTTAATCACACAGCGAATTCAGATTTGCCTCGCTAAGAGAATAAATATATATATATATATATATACCACGTTTAAAAATATATAATTATTTTAAATTACGGCAATTTTGTCAGGTTTTGTATTCTGGGTGCAATTAGGATCCATACAGAGAATAATCAAATCCGCTCAGTTATATCTTTTGTTTTATTAATTAAATATATATGATAAACATGCAATCAAACATGGATATGCTTAAAACAGAAGTGAAATTTTTATTTTTTAATTATCAATTTTCTCATTGATAAGATTACTAACGAAGAAAACGTGATATATATATATCGTTTTTTAGTTAGTTAAAGAAAACATAATGTACTGTATCTATCACAAAAAAAATAGATATTTATTCGTGTTAAATTATATTAGAAACTTCTATTAATTTTTTTATTAAAAATATATTTTTTGTCTAAACTGTTTACAACAAACTCAAGTTAAATCTAATTTTTGATTTTCATTACTTATCGTAAGAATATAAAAATAAATAAAAGTAAAAGTTTATTGATTTTCTTATAGCTAAAATGATAATTTGAACGATTTACAAGTCTGCAAGACTACAACCAATAACTTATAAGCCGTCAACACGCGTGCATCATGTAGATTTCTAACTTTTTGTATTTTGTTGTAAAAAGCATCACCAGATCATTATATGTTTATTTTAATATATGATTGTCTAATTGCATATATACACATATTTTTGATGGCTTATTCATCCATGAGTCCAAAAGGAAAATGAAAGACTCCATCATCAACGTCAGACTGTCACATCTTTTGGCTTGTTAGGCATTTCACACATTATGATGAGTTGGTAAAGTTTATAATTAATATGCACACTCTTGCTCTATATATGTCATATGTACTTTATAAAACACAAATTCACACGGGATTTTCTCTAATCTATCTATAATACACATAGATATCACATTATATAATCAAAAAAACTAACTATAATGATGAGGCAAGCATATACAGCATGTGTGTGCTTGAAATCTTTGTAGGGCACGGTCTATATTGCCTTTTTCGTGGCTTTCCATATATGGGGATATTAAATAATTGAGACTCTGTCATGTTACAGATTACTTTTTGTTCTTAATTATGATCCATATTGGTTATGATTCATGCATCTCTAGATTCTCTACCGTACCGCAAGATATATCTATCATTCTTCTTCGGCTACAGCTCAAAAGGGTTTGATGACGAATTAAGAATAGCAAATACTATAAGAAGATGTATATTTTATAATTGATTGATTTTAAGATGGCGCGGAGCTTTAATTTTTGTCTCATTATTAGATTTTGTGTGTGTTTTATGGATTTCGATAATAAAGTAGTCGAAAGATCTGTAACCCCAAAATATGTAAATCGAAAGATGGAAAATCTCAATATGCTCCAAAGTCTGCTTTTCTCCATTTGATGTCACATCAAAAAGATTTCACAAAACCACACCGTAAAAGCGAAGCAAAACAGGTTGATTTCACAAAATATACATTATGAAGAAACTCCGAAAGGCCAATTCAAAATGCTAATAAGCTAAGCTACCTTATCGATCTCATCTAGACTAGAGAATGAAGAATCAATGATAATATTATTGAAAACAACGAATGAAGAAACCCCAAGTGAGACTTGTCAGTTTACTTTTTAGTATTCAAAACAGGAGATCCCATATGATACCCAAAGGCTATCTCGAATATCTGCTCATATTCATCAACGAAATGAACACTGAGCCCCTGTTTCAGGTTTTCCGGGAGCTCATCAAAATCTTTACGGTTAGCCTCGGGAAATATTATCGTCTTGACCTGACTCCGTCTCGCAGCTAAAGACTTCTCCTTAACCTGTGAGAGAGCTTTTGCGTATTATTACAATAAAAAGTTAAAAGAAAGCCAAAACAGAGTAATTTGTAAAGTGTGTGATTGCTTACGCCGCCTATTGGAAGAATTCTACCGGTTAGGGTGACTTCCCCGGTCATTGCAAGATCCTTCTTTACTGGCTTCTTCATGGCAAGTGATAGCAATGAAGTGATCATTGTGCAGCCTGCGCTTGGGCCGTCTTTTGGTGTGGCCCCTGCAGGAACATGTAGATGAAGCTTGGAATCCGCAAAGAAGCGGTTCTCTGGTTCTTTCTCCAGCATGATTCTTCTGGCGACCGTGTGAGCGATCTCTGCGCTTTCTTTCATTACATCCCCGAGCTGACCCGTTATATGCAGACCACCTTTGCCTTGTCCTTCTTCTACAGAGGCCGTCTCTATGTACAACGTTGAGCCGCCCATGGATGTCCAAGCTAGACCCATTACAACTCCGACTGGTGTCTGTTCATAGATCTTCTCTGTGCGGAACACTGGTTTGCCTACGTAATCCGCAAGGTTTGATTCATCTATCATAACCTTTTCAACCATTTTAGCTACTACCTCTCCGCTCTGCTTAGCCTTCGATTCTGTTGAACCACCGGTTGCTGATTCGAGTATCTTCATAATATCAGCCAGTTTCATTCTTTCAACCTCCGAATTGGTCTTGGCCAAAGATTTCGTATCTTCAGTGTCAGTAATATCCGAGGATGCTCCTTGGCGTACTAGTTTAAGAGCAATCTGCCAACAAAAGTCCGATAATTTTAGATTCTTGAGACTCAAGTAAACAGTTCGGAGGAATGTTGAGTGAAGTTGTAAACATACCTTACGATAAATCTTCTCAATATGTTTCTGCAGATTTCGAACTCCAGCTTCTCTGCAGTAATTCTCTATCAACGAAAGAAGAGCTGCATCGCTCAGATCAACCTGGCAAGAGTAGAAACAAGTTGAGTAAAATCTCTCATAAGAAGCTAAAAAAAAAATGAGAGGAGAATACTATGCTCGTAACTAGGACCTGTTGAGACTTGATCCCACAATCTCTGCATGTGGTTTTCAACAAATGGTCTCTAGCAATATGCAATTTCTCATCACTAGTATACCCTGCGATACTAATCACCTCCATTCTGTCTAGCAGAGGACCCGGAATCGCATCTATCTCATTTGCTGTGCATACAAATAAAACCTGCGATAAAATTTAGTTGAAGACCTCAAACACAACAATGCAAAGATTAGAAAATTATAAAACGTCATGCCAAAAGAGTAGAAAACAAACCTTTGATAAGTCAATAGTAACATTAAGAAAGTGGTCTAGAAAATTTGCATTCTGCTCTGGATCCATAACTTCCAACAAGGCACTGGCTGGGTCGCCCTCGCGGCACCGTCCAAGCTGCCAAGGCTCCTCCGTTAGTACATTTTGAATACAAACTCCAAAAGCCTAATTCCAAATACTAACTACAATTGCTAAGAAGCTACCTTATCAATCTCATCTATAAGAATAAGAGGATTTTCTGTCCCCACAGTCTTTAGACACTGCACCATCTTTCCAGGCATTGCACCCACATATGTTTGACAATGCCCCTAAACAATGTTTAAGAGAAGAGATTAATATCTATAAAATATCTGAATTTTCCAGTTATGTCATCTAGTAGTAGTATTTACACCTTAATCTCAGCAACATCAGATAGTCCTCCAACAGATAACCGGAAGAACTTGCGGCCAAGAGCACGTGCAATAGAACGCCCAATGCTCGTTTTACCTACTCCAGGAGGCCCTGAGAGGCATATGATCTTCCCTGTTTTGAAAACATTTTGAGGATATGAAACATTTGTAGCAAACAAGAGTGAAATCAGAAAGGCAAAAGAAGTGACCTTGTGAAGTGCCTCTAAGTCTTGCCACAGCAATAAACTCTAGAATTCTTTCTTTCACATCAGACAATCCGTAATGGTCCTTGTCAAGAATCTCTTTTGCCCTTTGGGCATCAAAATTGTCGTAACTGCAAACCAAATTAATACGATTATAAATGAGACTGTGCAATCAAGGTGGTATAACTCTCGTCAAGAAGTAGAGATGAGCATGACGCAAGTGGCAAACCTGAGCTTTCCCCAAGGCAACAAGGTCAACCAATCAAGGTGGTTATGAGTCACATCGAAATCGCTTGACCATGAGCTCAAGGTCTCCAGTTTTGTGAGCTCTTCTTCTACGACTTTTAATACATGTTTTGGGATTTTTTCTTTCATAAAGCTGTACCTCCCTCTAATCTTTTCTGCAGAAAAGAAGAGACTTTATTAAGCTTCACGTTGTTCTACAGTCATCAACGTCTAAGTTCTATCTCTTGGAACTACAGAAAGTTAGGCGTCATGAATCAGTGGTGCAGTCTGAAAGTTAGAATCCATTCCCATAGTAGTACTAACCAGAAAGTAAAGATTCGTCGTCCGTCTTCTGCATTGGAACATTTAATAGTCATCATCAACCAATGATACTAAATATATAAAACAAAATCATTTACAAAACAAAAATCTTGTACTATTGAACCTTGTTAATTTCCACTTGTTTTTTCACCAATTCCAGCGTCAACTCCAGACGTTTGTGAACCTGTTTCGAAAATCCCAATATGAGAATAGCTGACTAAGAATGGAATTAGCATCCTGTTTTGAGGTAATCTCAGAATCAAAACGTAACAGTATTAATAGACTACTACTTACTTACATCCAGTTCTTCAAGAACCCCCTGGTTCTGTTGTTTGTTAGCGCCAGAGATCCCGGCTCCAAAGTCGGCTAAATGTTGATAATTGAACTCACCTATATGCTATAGAAATTTGAAAAACAGATCTAGTATGATACTGATATTCTGATATAGTTTGCAATCGCAAGCAGTGCCAAGTATGAAGAGAACATGCCTGGGTATATGTCTGAACTTGATCTCTCCAGAGTGAAGTTGTCTGTAAGACATCCTTAAGCGTTGAAATAACTTCAAAGAATGTTGCCTTGATAACATCACCTTCCTTGTCATATGGCTTATCCTGCAAAGACACACATGACAAAGGGTTATAGATTCCACAACTTGTAAAGGATATATATAGAAAGAAAGCACATGTCATACAAGGAATCACACCTTTAGATGTTCAACTGTGACGGTTAGAGGATCTTTACTCACCTGTATATAGCAAAAGCAAAGCACATAGAACTCTAAAAAGCTCTACTTTTAAGCAATAGAGAAATATTGAAGCCAAGTTTGTCCATAGAGTTACCATCTCTGTTATTCGAAGTCGTCTGCGACCAATAAGGATGACTTGCTCACCTTGGATACTTGAAATCTAAAAAAAAGACTGGCCAATGGTTAAAGTCCTTCAGACAGAGACAAAGGGAGAAGAGAATGGTAACGTGGTGTACCTGAGCAAGTGTGCCAACTTGGTGAATACGGTGAAGCAAGTCTTTGCCTTTCAACTTTTTTCCTTTCTTTTTGGATGTTGTTCCTTTGCATCTCAACTTGTCTAGAATGTTCTCTGTTTCAAAGGTAGAAGAAAACGAATCAGTTGAAACGTCATCCTTCAAAAGGAAAGCCCCTGCATATGGAGATCTGATCTCTTGTAAAGCTGCAAGTAACTTAGGATCCTGCACAAAAGAACAAAGCTCATAGAGGTCAGAGACAACAAACATCATCAAATGTAGGTTTGAAGTAACATACCTTGACAGTGATTGGCATGTAAAACCCAGGAATAAGAGGCTTGTTGGGCAACGGCAATGCTATAACCTGAAATTAAACAGAGTGAATAACAAAAATAATGTATTTTTATCAAATTTTCACAAACCAATAGAGCAGCAGCGGAACGTAATTCAAAAGCATTGTGTATCTTAGAACAAGATTTTAACTTTCCCATCATTTAATTGAATTCTCTGTGAAAAATGCAGCACTTCAATCGATTCTCGAATCCAACATTGTGGATTGAAATGTATCTAGAACCCACCATGGTCATAAATAATAAAAAGTGAGCTTGATAAAAATTCCGACCAACCGTTAGACAATCTTCGAGGTTAGTGGTTTCTGAGACAATCGCTGGCGAGGATTTCGGGTCGGAATCCGACCCAACTGCATTGCAGAAGAAATCAGTGCCGTCACTGCGACCAAATTCGTGAGAACTCCGGTTCCATCCGGTTAGCTGGAAGAGTGGACTCTTAAACCGGGTTGACCCGACCCGAATTTCCGGAGTCGCGAGCTGGGCCCCGTAAAAAGATCTTGAGTAGGAAATTCGGGAATTTAGGGTTACGCTTTGCCTAAGAGGCAAGAAATCGTAGGAAGGTGAAGAATGTAGAAGACCAAGACTGGTCACAAATCCCTTCTTAAACCCTTACCAAGAAAAAGAAAAGAAAAAGCTAAGGTTCACAAAAGTTGATCTGAAAGATAAGTAAGAGTTTTGTATATACATAACTAAATTTGTCACGTAAAGTCGAGTACAGATCAGAATTGATATAATGAATTTTCTGTAATCAGTACAACTGTTGGCAAAACAAATGGGAATAAAAGTGTGTTTACACAATTATCTAAGGATAAGTGTTTTACCTCCTCCCTTCATCGTAATAGAGAAGTTGTTTTTAGGAGTTTAATTAGGTTTCTCCTCTTACGTGAACGTGATGATGCATTATAAAGACAAAAGTGTTTTATATTTTTATATAGGAGGAAGAGAGACCAAGTTAATGTTCAAAGAAAAAAAGAGAAAGACCAAGTTCTTTTTTATATTTTTTTAAATAGTAACTTCCAATAAAATAAAAGAAAAGGATAACTATAAAACTGCATGATATAAGGTAAAGTAAATATTCCCTATCAGAATAATACTCTAAATTTGTCACCAAAATGTGATAAACTTTGTAAGTCCATATAATAATAAAACTAATAATCTATTTAATGATTAATAATACATCCAAGTTATTGTTCTTGTTTCGCATGCAATGTACAGCACTACAGCTCTCATAAGTCATATATGAAACTTCTAAATAACATTTATAATACTGTGTACACTTCTCAGGTGGCGTTGGAGTTTCATTTGTCTCATGGTTTTATAGTTTGTTACGGATCGATTTCTATTCTAAAATAGTCTAAACATATAAACCATTTTAATATACTCCAAAATTAAATTACCCTAATAAATAGAAAATAGTTATTTCTGAAAATATTTGGATTTAAAAAAAAAAGTTATTACAGAATCTCTGGCTCCTATTACATTTCATCTTGTTTTAAGGAAGAGTTGGACGAAGATGAGCCTAAGAATTAAGATTCAATGATATATATTACTGAAAACAACGAATGAGGAAACCCCAAGTGAGACTTGTCAGATTGCATTTTATATTCGACATAGGAGATCCCAAGGGATACCCAAAAGCTATCTCGAAAATCTGATCGTATTCATCGACGAAATGAACATCGAGCCCTTCTTTCAAGTTTTCCGGCAGCTCATCAAAGTCTTTACGGTTATCCTCCGGAAATATTATCGTCTTGACCTGACTCCGTCTCGCACCTATGGTCTTCTCTTTAACCTGTGAGAGATTTTGCGTATTATTATAAAAATCAAGATATAACCAAAACAGAGTAATTTGTAAAGTGTGTGATTCTTACGCCGCCTATTGGAAGGATTCTACCGGTAAGAGAGACTTCTCCGGTCATTGCAAGATCCTTCTTTACAGGCTGCTTCATGGCAAGTGATAGCAAAGAAGTGATCATGGTGCAGCCTGTGCTTGGACCATCTTTTGGTGTGGCTCCTTCAGGAACATGTAGATGAAGCTCGGAATCCGCAAAGAAGTGGTTCTCGGGTTCTTTCTCGAGCATGATTCTTCTGGCGACCGTGTGAGCGATCTCCGCGCTTTCTTTCATCACATCCCCAAGCTGACCCGTTACATAAAGGTCACCTTTGCCTTGTCCTTCTTCTACAGAGGCTGTCTCTATGTACAACGTTGAGCCGCCCATGGATGTCCAAGCTAGACCCATTACAACCCCGACTGGTGTCTGTTCATAGATCTTCTCTGCGCGGAACACTGGTTTGCCTACGTAATCCGCTAGGTTTGATTCATCTATCGTAACCTTTTCGAACCATGCAGCAGGCGCTCCCGCGGATGCTCCTTGGCGTACTAGACTAAGAGCAATCTGCCAAAAATGTCAAAAAGATTTTAGATTTCTTGGGACTCAAGTAATTAACGTTGAGTGAAGTCGAAAACATACCTTACGATAAAGCTTCTCAATATGCTTCTGCAGATTTCGAACTCCTGCTTCTCTGCAGTAATTCTCTATCAACGCAAAAAGAGCTGCATCGGTCACATCAACCTGAGAAGAGTAGAAACAAGTTGAGAAAACATGAACAAAACGGCATCGAGATGTCAGGAGAGAATGCTCGTAATAAATTAATCACCTGTTGAGGCTTGATCCCGCAAGCTCTGCATGTGGTTATCAACAAATGGTCTCTAGCAATATGCATTTTCTCATCAGTGATATACCCTGCGATACTAATCACCTCCATTCTATCTAGCAGAGGACCTGGAATCTTATCTATCTCATTTGCTGTGCATACAAATAAAACCTGCGATTATAAAAAAAATTTTAAAAAAAATTAGTGAAGACCTTATTTCAAACACCCTAGTACGCAAATCAATACATATAAATGGAATCTAGAGTAGGAAGAAACCTTGGATAAGTCAATAGTAACATCGAGATAGTGGTCGAGAAAATTTGCATTCTGCTCTGGATCCAAAACCTCCAACAACGCACTGGCTGGGTCGCCATCTTGGCCCCGTCTTCCAAGCTGCCAGAGGAAAATAGACAGAGTTATTGCAGAGACTCTCAAGCTGATCAATACAAAACTCCAAAAAGATGCAATTTCATATGCTAACATACCTTATCAATCTCATCAATAAGAATCACAGGATTAAATGTTCCCACGCTCTTTAGACATTGCACCAGCTTTCCAGGTAAGCAAAGATTGTATGATCGATGAACCCCCTAAGCAATGTTCAAGAGGATACACCATTGTTTATTGGATTCATTAACAAGTTTTGAGTTAATAACATTTTCATGTAGTGTATATTTATACCTTGATCACGTCAACATCATGTAGTCCTCCAACAGATAACCGGAAGAACTTGCGGCCAAGAGCACGCGCAATAGAACGCACAATGCTCGTTTTACCTACTCCAGGAGGCCTTGAGAGACATATGATCTTCCCTGTTTTGAATAACATTTTTTTTACAAAATTTCAGTTTCACAACACACTTGTAATTAAAAATATTTTTAGCATTGAAATGTGTGAACCAGAAAGGCAAAAGATATATATATGCGACCTTGTGGAGTGCCTCTAAGTCCTGCCACGGCAAGAAACTCTAGAATTCTTTCTTTTACATCAGATAGTCCGTAATGATCCTCGTTAAGAATCTTTTCTGCTCTTAGCACATCAAAATTGTCATCACTGCAAAACCAAATTTATATATCAGACTTCGCAATCAGTGGACAACACACACACACACATATATATAACCAAAAGGCAAACCTGAAATTTTCCCAAGGCAACACGGTCAACCAATCAAGGTACTCATAACACTCATAAGTTTTATCCAAATCGCATGAATAGGCTTCTAACATCTTCAGATCTGTAAGCTCTTCTTCTATGACTTTTAGTACATGTTTTGGAATCTTTTCTTTAGTTGATTCAATCCTTTCCCTAATCTTTTCTGCAGAAAACAAGAATGACAAACAAAATTTAGGCGATCATCGTCAGTCCTGCTGCAATCTGAAAGCTTAAATCTCTCTGAACAACAGAGAATCCAAAAAATTCATATACTAGTACTAACCAGAAAGTGAATTATTTACTTCAGTCTCGTTAATTTCCACTTGTTTTTTCACCAATTCCAGTGTCGCCTCCAGACGTTTATGGACCTGTTTCGAAGAAGCCAATATCAGAATAGCTGACTAAGGATGGAATCTCAGAATCAAAACGTAACAGTATGATAGAATCTAGTTATACTACTTACATCCACTTCCTGATGTTTATGTTTGTTAACTCCATAATCGTCTAGAACCATTTTTGCACGTGTGACATCAAAATTCTCACAGCTGCAAACCAAAATTAATAAGATTTATAAGTCATTTCCCAAAAAAAAAAAAGGGTCAGTTAAACTCTCCCCAAGACGTGAGCGTGAAGCAAACTGCAAACCTGAAACTTTCCCAAGGCAACACGGTTAACCAATCAAGGTAGTTATAGGTCGAATCAATATCGCCTGAACCGAGTTCTGAACGCTGCAGTTTTGTAAGCTCTTCTTCTATGAGTTGTAATACATGTTCTGGAATTTTGTCTTTAATTGTGTCGACCCTTTCCCTAAACTTATCTGCACAAAATTGAAACAAACCTTATAAGTTGCGTTTTACATTCTCTAGGAACTCAAGTCGTCATAGAAGATTAATCGTTAAACTTAAGCATCCTGCTTTCTGGATTCTTAATCAATATGGACCAAGTCTTAATTAATAATAATCACAGAGGACAATGAGTCGAATATGTTACCTTCATTCATCGTAGCGGACTAGTTTAGGTTTCTCTGAAGTTCTTAAATTACATACAAAACTGTTTTTTATATGCCTTGTGTATATCATGGATTAAACGAATCTATTTATAAGTTATAACCTGGACATGCGTTTAAGTTTCCTTTTTTTTATCATAATTATAATTTAAGGAAATATTCCCTTACACTCTTGCAGTATAGTAATCTGAATTTTTTCCCCAAAAAAAAGGAAAATTTTAAGAAAAGGATATCAAAGCGTGTCTGACGCGGCAAAAACCCTAATCTGCCTTTTTCAATATACTCCGAACTCCCAAGTGTTTTTTTTTTTTAATGGTAAAATTCTCAAAGATTTCACAATAAGCTCGTGGTAAAGTTGGAAAATGGATTTTGAATCTTTGATCTACCAACAAAATGTTTCATGATAAGGGTTTTGATTTCTACTCAAAGAAATCCAATCTCGATAATAAAATTACTCTAATTAGTATAAAATATTACAAAATTCCCTGGCTCTTTGTTACGTTTCGTCTTTTAGTAAGAAGAAGAGTTAATAAAGAAGAATTACGTATCAATGACATATAGTTAACACAACAACAAGAGAGGAAGATCTTAAGCGAGTGAGACTTGTCAGATTTCTTCTTCTACTGGTCATTCAGACCCAAAGGCTAGCTCGAAAATCTGCTCATATTCACCGGCGAAATGAACATGGAGCCCTTCTTTCAGGTTCTCCGGGAGCTCATCAAAATCTTTACGGTTACCCTCGGGAAATATTATCGTCTTCACTAGACTCCGTCTCGCAGCTATAGTCTTCTCCTTAACCTGTCAGAGATTTTGTGTATTACTTTAGAGAAACTGAGAGAAACTACGAGGCTAAAACAGAGTAATTGTAAAGTGTGTGATACTTACGCCGCCTATTGGAAGAATTCTACCGGTCAGAGTGACTTCTCCGGTCATTGCAAGATCCTTCTTTACTGGCTTCTTCATGGCAAGTGATAGCAAGGAAGTGATCATGGTGCAGCCTGCGCTTGGACCGTCTTTTGGTGTGGCCCCTGCAGGAACATGTAGATGAAGCTTGGAATTCGCAAAGAAGAGGTTCTCTGGTTCTTTCTCGAGCATGATTCTTCTGGCGACCGTGTGAGCTATCTGCGCGCTTTCTTTCATCACGTCCCCGAGCTGACCCGTTATACGAAGCCGACCTTTGCGTTCTACTTCTTCCACAAAGCTTGTCTCTATGTACAACGTTGAGCCGCCCATGGATGTCCAAGCCAGACCCATTACAACCCCGACTGGTGTCTGTTCGTAGATCTTCTCTGCGTGGAACACCGGTTTGCCAACATAATCCGCAAGGTTTGATTCTTCAATCATAATCTTTTCAACCGTTTCAGCTACCTCTTCGCTCTGCTCAGTCTTTGATTCTGTTGATTCCCCAGTTGCTGACTCATCTGTCAACACATCAACACATCCTTCTACAAATGTCTCTGAGGATTCAGAATCGTTCTTGGCCGAAGAGTTAGTATCTTCAGTGTCAGTCACATCAACCGAATCTGCAGACGCTTCCGCGGATGCTCCTTGGCGTACTAGTTTAAGAGCAATCTGCCAAAAAAAAATGTCAAATGATTTTAGATTCTTGGGACTCAAGTAACCAGTTTGGAGGAGAAATAACGTTGAGTGAAGTTGAAAACATACCTTGCGATAAATCTTCTCAATATGCTTCTGCAGATTTCTAACTCCAGCTTCTCTGCAGTAATTCTCTATCAACAAAAAAAGAGCTGCATCGCTCACATCGACCTGAGAAGAGTACAAACAAGTTGAGAAAAATCTCTCATAAACATGAACAAATATGGCATCAGAGATGACTGGAGAATGAGGATCAATGGTTGCGAGCGAGACCTGTTCAGGCTTAATGCCACAGTCTCTTCCTGTGGTTTTCATTAAATGATCTCTAGCGATATGCACTTTCTCATCCGTAATATACCCTGCGAGACTAATCACCTCCATTCTATCTAGCAGAAGACTCGGAATCATATCTGTTACATTTGCTGTGCATACAAATAGAACCTGCAAGAAAATAGTTTAGATCTAACGTTAAACACAAAACTGACTACTATAAAATATATAATTTGCCTATTATGATAAAACCTGCAAGATTCAGTTTTTCTTAAATTTGATGGAACACAGAGAGAGAGAACAAAGCATATGTAGTGGTCTAGAAAATTAGCATTCTGCTCTGGATCCAGAAGCTCCAATAACGCACTGGCTGGGTCGCCAGCGCGGCTCTTTCCAAGCTGCCAAGGAACAACATACAATTATTGCAGAGAGTTTCAAGAAGGCAATACATTTTTGAATAAAATCTCCAAAAGGCCCATTCAAAATGCTAACAAGCAAAGCTACCTTATCAATCTCATCGATCAGAACAAGAGGGTTTTCTGTCCCAACATTCTTTAGGCATTGCACCATCTTTCCAGGCATTGCACCCACATATGTTCGACGATGCCCCTAAGCAGTGTATAAGAGAATCGATTATTATTATTTATAAGTTTATGCTTAACAGATTTGAGCTATAGTTTTTTTCAGGTAGTATACCTTAATCTCGCCAACATCAGTTAATCCTCCAACAGAGAACCGGAAGAACTTGCGGCCAAGAGCACCCGCAATAGACCGCCCAATGCTCGTTTTACCTACTCCAGGAGGCCCTGCGAGACAAATGATCTTCCCTGTTTTGACACATTTTACAAACTTTCAGTTTCACAACACACTTGTACATCTTTTCAGCAAACGAGAGTGAAATCAGAAAGGCAAAGATGTGACCTTGTGAACAGCCTCTAAGTCTCCCCACAGCAATAAACTCTAGAATTCTTTCTTTTACATCAGACAATCCGTAATGATCCTCGTCAAGAATCTTTTCTGCCCGTAAGACATCAGAATTCTCATCACTGCAAAACCAAATTAATATGAATCATAACTGAGACTTCTCAAAGACTCAATCATTTCAATGACAAATGGTGTCCTCAAGATATAAGTACGAAGCAAATGGCAAACCTGAGCTTTCCCCATGGCAACACGGTCAACCAATCAAGGTGGTTATAGGTCACATCGAATTCGCTTGAAGTGGTTTCTAAGAACTGCAGTTTTGCAAGCTCTTCCTCTATGACTTTCAATACATTTTCTGGAATTTTGTCCTTAATAGGGTCAACCCTTTCCCTAAACTTTTCTGCAGTAAAGAAAAGACTTTATAAGCTTCATGAATTCACACTGATGCAATTAATATCTGAAAGTTTGAATCTCTGTGGATAAAATATAATAAAAACATAGAATCGAAAATATTCTTATAGTAGTACTAACCAAAAAATGCAGATTTGTCGTCTGTCTCCCCACAAAGCTCCTGCATTGGGACACTTAATAGTCACCAACCAATGACAGTATACATCATAAATTGAGAAGCGAGCATAAAACCTTTTTTATAGCCTTGAGCTGCTCCTTTAGCAAGATACGTCGTCGCTCTCCACTAAATTTTTCTTCAACAGTTTTTGCTATGGATGCCTAAACACAATTCAAAAAATATAAGGATTCATTTACCAAAAATCCAGTAGCACGTGTCAGCTGGAAATGTGCAGAAAAGTAAAGGCATGGAGTACCTGAATCTTGTTAATTTCCACTTCTTTTTTCAACAAATCCAGTGTCAACTCCATACGTTTATGAATCTGGATCGAAGATACCAATATGAGAAGCAGACTAAGAATGGAATATCATCCTGTTTGTGGTAACCTCACTAACTGTAGTAGACCAATTGTTAAACTACTTACATCCAGTTCTTCAAGAACCCCCTGATTCTGTTGTTTGTTAGCGCCAGAGATCCCGGCTCCAAAGTCGGCCAAATGTGGATACTTGAAGTCACTCATATGCTATAGAGATTCAAAAGAAATCTACTAAGATGCTGATATTCTGACGTGTATTGCACGCGCAAACAGTGTCAAGTATGAAGAGAACATGCCTGGGTATATTTCTGAACTTGATCTCTCCACAGTGAAGTTGTCCTTAATACATCCGTCAGCGTCGACATAACTTCAAAGTATGTTGCCTTGATGACATCATCGTCCTTGTCATATGGCTTATCCTGCAAAGAAATAACAAAGACTCCATAATTTCAAAAGGAAATAGAAACCACACTTGTATCATAAAAGGAAAGGCTTCAAACAGAAACACACCTTTAGATGGTCAACTTTGACAGATAAAGGATCTTCACTCACCTGTACAAAAACAAAGCACATGGTTTTCTCACTCGAGAGCTTATGAACTCTAAAATCTTTACAATCTCTACTTTTCATGAAATCTAAGCCATTTAAAAGAGAGATATTGAAGCCTGTTTTCTCTATAGACTTACCATCTCTGTTATACGAACTCGTCTGCGACCAATAAGGATAACTTGCTCACCTTGGATACTTGAAATCTGGAAAATTGGCAATGGTTAAAGTCTATCAGACAGAGACAAGGTAAAAAACACAGTGCTTACGTGCGGCAAGAGGGTACCTGAGCAAGTGTGCCAACTTCGTGAATCCGGCTAAGCAACTCTTTGCCTTTCAACTTCTCTAGGACATTCTCTGTTTCAGAGGTAGAAGATGAATCAGCCGAAGCGTCATCCTTCAAAAGGAAAGCCCCCGCGTATGGAGCTTGCCGTCTTCTGCTCTCTTGTAAAGCTGCGAGTAATTTAGGATCCTACACAAATAAAAGCTCATACAGTGTCACAGAGAAACGCAGAGCTGAGACAACAGACATAAAATGGATAGCAGAAAGTGGTATTTGTTGTGTCCGGAAATAGGTTGAAGTACTAACATACCTTGACATAGATTGGCATGTAAAACCCAGGAATAAGAGGCTTGTTGGGCAACGGCAATGCTATAACCTGAAATTAAACAACAGAAATCTCAGTGAAAAGAATCGAACCGAAGCCGAGGGAATGGTAATGCTATAAAAGGTTCAACCTTTGCCTGACTATGAAATTAGGAATGGTCAAATCCAGTTTCCGTACATCAAAGATACTAAATTTAGTCGGTATTTTGTGAATTTTCCCAACAATAGAGCAAAAAGTATCTCTCTAACCCTAAGCATTAGGTGCTCATCGTTTACCAACACACACAACACTGAAATGTTAACTCTCCCATCGCTAGAACCATATGAAATTTTTGCCAATTGAAATGAATTCTCTATGATCTATGGAAATATACAGCGCATTAAAGAAAAAAATGCAGCAGCTAAGTTTAATACATTTCAATCGATTCTGGAATCCTACATTGTGGATATAGAAAAAAAAACCATGCTCATAAAATTCCCCAAGGGTCATAAAAAAGTAAACTTTAAGAAAATTTCTACAAACCGTTAGACAGTCTTCGAGTTTAGGGATAGCTGAGACAATCGCTGATGACGCTATCGTGTCCGAACCGGGTTCCGACTCAGCTACCTTGGAATCGGAGCAGAAAGCACGAAGACCCAATTCGTGGGAACTCCGGTTCCACCCGGTTAGCTGACTCAGTGCCTTAAACAGTGGACTCTTAACCGAGCTTGACCCGACCCGAATAGCCGGATTCAAGTGATGGGCACCGTAAGCGGTCGAAGCAAGAAGCTTCAGCATGACGAGAGAGGAAGATCTTGAGGAGCAGATTCGGGAATTTAGGGCTAGGTTTTGCCTGAGAAGCAAGAAACCGTACGAATGTGATGTCTGAAAAGACGAAGAAGACTGGTGTTTCAAAGCCCTTCATAAACCCTTCCAAAGAATTAAAAAATGGAAATTTTGAAAAACTCTGGGAAAATCCAAAAGAGGAAAGAAATACCCAGTGCCCAGACGACGTCGTTTCGGAGCTAAAGTTTGGGCCAATACAGTAGTAACTACATTTATCCTGGGCTTTATGTTGAAATTTATTTCCAAGAAACCTGTATATTAAACATTCTAGTTTTGTCTTAACAACACAGATTCTTTCTGGCCCAACAATGAACAAACAAGCAGTCGGTCTTCTGATTATTATTAATCTCTAAAATTAAGCATCCTGCTTTGATTAGATATATACAGTAAATCGTTGACAAACAAAAAAATTACTAGAAAAATTGGAAGGTAAAAAAGCGTTGTGTATATGCATAATTCGTACTCCAAATGTGGACTAACAGAATAATTTATTGAGTGAATCTTCTAGTAATCTATATAAATGTTGACAAAGAAAATTACTATAAAAAATGATATTTTAAAACAACGGTGTGTTTGTGTACATACATAGTTAGTAGTTTAGTACTCTAGATTTGACACTAATGTGACAAAATTTATATAATTTGAGTAACGAAATTATTGATTTAAACAATTGAGTTATTGTTATTTGCTTCGCATAGCTGCATTACACGGCTTGCTTAATATATCGTTTACTTTGGGTTTAAAGAATCTGAAACAACTACCCAAATACTAGTAACATTATTTAGAAAGATTTGTCTTTAATAGAGGAACAAAAAAAAAAAAAAAATTAAGAGCAGACGACCAGTATTTTTTGTTATGAAACAAATCATTGTCAGCATTATTAATATTATTTGTCTTGAATGGGGATAACAAATAATCAATGAGGATAACAACTAATCATTTGATTTGGGAATAATAAACAAACAAAAAAGGAAAAATTAAGAAGAGTATATCAAAGCGTGTCTGACGCAAGGAGGCAAATCTCTCTGTCATGACTCACGTTTATTGCTAAATACCCCACATTTACTTTGTTTTTCTTCGCAGATTAGATACTTGTGCTTCTTAATTTTCATTTATTTAACAGCTTAAATTACATACATCTTTTCACAAATATCACCATACGTTCAGCCTAAGTTCGACAAAGCTAAGTTATCCTTACAAGGTCTTCTTAGTTTTTTTTTTAATGGTTTTTAATCTAATGTTATATCATCTTCCAAACAATCGCGAGTACGTTGCATTGCACACTGAAAAGACACCAACAAAAAAATTACTAGCCTTAAAGTGTACAATGAAATTAAATGGTAGTCAGATATTGCAATCCGGAAAAAAGTTAAGTCGACTGAGTAGAAAAGTTACTTAACTAATGGAAGTGAAATATCTGTCTTTTGAAGAAAAAAAACTCTTTGTGTGTGATATAGATTATGCTTTTTATTCTTGCTAACTTGAAGAAATTCAAACAAATGTTTTTTACGAATTTGAGAGTTTCCCAACCCACTCTCCAAAATTAAAAGTTTGATGGATTACTAATAACTTCTTGATATGAAATATAATTAATATACATTTTAAGAATAAAACAAAATTATTTAGGCATATATATGATTTGTCTTTCTACTTATATAAAACTGATTGACAAGAGTAATCCAAAACCTAATTTCATGCTTTTCGAAAAAATCAACGTAATCAAATTATTATTTTCCAAAAGGAGGAAAAGTAGAAAGAACATGTTACATGTTTCACAAAACACCAAACATTGAAAAAATCAATTTACAAAATATAGAGAAATCGTGAGCGAAAAATCGTGGATGAAAAATAGCCACAATACTAACTAAAGCCTAAGGTCATGAAAGAAAAACACAATCACATGCATCTTCCCCTTTTTCCTATTCTTTTCCTATTTTTTTGTTCCTTCTTTAAAAAACTCATTAGTTTTTTTGTTTCTTTATGTTAAATTTTGTTTTATAGCTATTTGTTCTATCTATTAGTTATATTGCCACCAATCATTGCTCTCCACATTATTACATCAAACTCCACTCCATCGCCAATTTTGTTCTTTTTATGACTAAAAAAAATCTACAAATCAAATAAATCCACGTCAAAAACACAAATTTACGCCGCTCACCATCACAAACATAGTTATGTAAAAAGTTTCAGTTTTAGTGTATGTGTAAAAATATCTATTAAAATATCTACTATCCCAACGACGATAGATATTTTTGTTCGGCGTCAAACCAAAAAAAAAAAATATATTACTTGTGTTTCTTTAATTATGTTTTCAAATAACCGCCAAAAAGAAAAAAAAAATATATATATATATATATATTGTTTTCCAACCAAATATGCGTTAGTTTTGGTATACGAAACTGATTTTTTTCATTCACCGAGTCAATCATAATTGGCCAACGTGGATTTAGACGTAAGAAAAAGAAATCTAAATTATGGTTTTTTTAATTCGAAAAAGACAAGAAAAATAAACAAATAAAATATATAAATAATTGCATTAAGGATGGCCTCTCCCAAATGTTTATATATAGAGTTCCCTTCAATTACTCTGAATTATTATCAAAATAAGAAAGAGTCCGACTTGTTTCTCCGACGATTCGATAAAATCAAATTTCTTTTAGAATTTCCTAAGAGAACCCAAAAAAAAAAAAAGACAACCGTTTAAAAAAAAAAGTTTGTGAATGTCTTCTGAACAGGGAAATGGATCGAATCCAACGACGTCGGTAGAGGTAGAAGGGACTGAAACGATCCCTTTTGGTCGGAGATTACAAAGAGGGCAAAGAGTTTTCGCTTCAAAGCTATTGGAGGCTCTCCGTCGATCACGGAGAAGTTCGGAAGCTCCCGCGAGTCATCTTAGTCGGAGATGGAGAGCCACGGCGGCGCAGAAGGTTTATTCCTTAAAGCTATACGACGCTCTCCAGCGATCGCGACGGAGCACAACGGTCCGGGATACGGCCGACAAAGTACTCGCGGCTACGGCTCGTGGTACGACTCGGTGGAGCCGAGCCATTTTGGTAAGTCGACTCGGGACCAGTCTAAGCCGTCACAGGAATACAAAGCCGGCGTCGGCGGTTAGAGGATGTGGTGGGAGGAGGAAGTTGTCTGCGGTGGGAAATCGGGTCCGGGTTTTGAGTGGGTTGGTGCCGGGTTGCCGGAGAACAGCGTTACCGGAGCTTTTGGATGAGACGGCCGATTATATAGCGGCGCTGGAAATGCAAGTCCGAGCCATGACGGCTCTATCGAAGATTCTGGCTGAGTTACAGCCGTCCGATAAACTCGGATCGGCTTTATAGCCGAGTGTATAAGCCGATGGTGTGTTATATTTGTTTTGACTAATTCTTTCACGATTTTATTATCCGAATGTCTTATTGTGTTTAATGAATTGTTTGCATGGGAACATTGTCAAAAAGTTATCACGAGTTTGGACGGGAAAATGAGTTCTTATGTTGTTCGAAGTGTTTTGGTGTCATTTCATAAATTTGAGTTATATTTTTGGACATCATAAATATTTCAAATATTAGTAGAAAAGTTATACTCGGAAAATAAACTGTAAAATCCAACCATCTGTTTCAATGCTTATTTTATAAAAAAACAAAACGGGTTTTTAATCCACAGATTTGCTTATGGTCATGACAACTTTGTACGTAAGTCAACACTTTCCATCGTAAATTTTGAATTCGAGAGTGAAAACTCAATACCACAAGAATGCTCCGATGCTCGACCAGTTAAAAAGACATTAAATGATAAATATTCTCAAATTTTTTCAAGAGGTCATATATTTTTCTCTAAAATTGTATCTACTATATATGTCCGACATCTAAATCGGAGTTTAAAAACCAATGGCTCATTCACCTAACATTTTGTCGATATATTTATTTATTAAAAAAAACTAATTCGATATTTATAAGCTATATGCCAAAAAATTTGAAAACAAAATAAATTATAAATATATACGAGAAGGCATGTGCATGAAGACCCTACGGTCCGACTCTTTTGCTCAAAGTGCGTCGCATGTGAGACCTCTTTATCTGAATTTAGTTTCTTCTCGAACAGATTTTTTTTTATATTTGCTCTTTTGTAACATAATTAAATGCATATCAAATGATAATAAGTTAAAACGACTTTCGTATGTCCTACATTTTAAACAACTTTGTGAAACAAAATGAGTGCATATATCATACTTTGTCCTTATACATATATGTATTTGGATCATCTTATATATGTTTTAACTAAATTTGTAAATGATAAAGTATATTTAGACCAAAGCCAATTGGTTTATTATCATGAATGTGGTTGGTTCTGCAGACTGGAGAATTTTTTTTTTCAGTTTTGATGGTATGAAACGCATTTTTACTTACTTATAAAAGTACACCCAATCAAAGTTAAATTACGAACTTTACCAAACTTAAAAAATCATTACTCTAACACCTGATTTGGATATTGAATCAGTTTGATTGTCCACTTATTAATAATAGTGAACAATGTGATATCTTTTACCAAATCCCGAACAAGATCATGTGATATTTACTGGCCTATATATGAATGCTAACAAGATTAGGTTAAATAGGTACAAATACAGTAATCATGAAAATCAGCTTGTAGTTGTAGCTACCTCCAAATACCGATGACACGGGCGTCGGAGAGCAAGAATTTAATTTAGTCAAGTGGTTGATCATTCACGATGCAAGAGATCGATCGAGTCTTATCCATTTGCTTCCATGTTAACCACTGAAAACACTTTTTAATGGAAAAATGCGACTTTATACACACTTCAAAATGATTATGGTGCATGGTATAAAAACATATCTAATATTAATTATAGGATCTTAATTAAGAATCGAATGCAATGAAAAAAAATCACTCTAAGTGATGCTAGATCAACCCTTTACGAGTTAGAATTATGTTTCATGAAAATGATTGACGTTAAAACCGTACGTAAATATTAATTATATACATGGCTCAGAAACCGGGAATATATGTATATATATATCACTGAATACAAAAAACAATTGAAAGATGAGAGATTTTGCCATTAAAGAGGTGACACGTTTGAAGAGTAAAGCCTCAAGAAGAGAAAAGAGATGACAACGAAAAGGGATGGAGACGTGAGAGAGAAGGTGGCATAATAATTGGGGTCAAGTGTGAGATGTCTTCTTTGATTCCTTCAAGGCTCAAGGACCACCCACCACTTTCTCACTTCTTCCTAATCTTTTTTTTTTTTTTAAATATAATGATCCTTTGTGCTTCCATATATAACCTTATAAATAATGATTATCCAGCTTCTAATCCGAGTTGCTACGATACATGCAACTCAAGCCACCATTGACAACGCAAAAACCAAAGCACTTCACTTGCTTGCATATTGTTGATATATGTCTCGGGTGAATCTTAGGGATGTCAACTGGCTCTGCTTCGGTCTCAATCTTAATAGCTCCAAAAAACTATTTGTAGCCTTTGTTCGGTCTTGTCCAAAAGCAAAAGATCAGAATCCAAAAAGTTGATATTTATCTTCGATTGTAAAAAAACTTTTTATATATTTATATGTTTGAAAACTTTGATAGTCTTATTAATTCAATGTGTGTTTTTCAGATAATGTTATTATGTGAACTTTAAGTTAATTCCGTCATAATATGGATGAAATAAAACTTACATACAAAAAAAAAAACAATATTACAAAAAAATTTCGTTTCACATGCAGATTTCATCGTAGTACAAAATTGATTTATGTTTCCACGAGGCAACATGATAAGAGTACTTGGCCGAAAAACAATACTACAAAAAAAAAAACACTATTTCACAATTTTTTTGCACACAAAAAAATTGTTTCAATTCTGTTGTTTTTTGGGTTAATTTGCAATCTAACCATATTTGTGAAATAATACAAGAATATAGTCATGCTATTCAAAAAATATGAAAAATAACCATACCCCACATTAAAAAGACCAAAAACTCCTTTTGTTTTATACCGAGAACATATATAGAAAATAGTTTTGATTATAGCAAATGATTTTTTTCTGGACTATACTATAATATATGGTTTTACACGATAAAATTAATATAGTATAGTACTTGAGATTTTAATTATATTTACTATACTATATTAAAGAAAGGAAAAAAGAAAAGACATCGAGAAAGAGGAGGGGAGGAGGCGAGGAGGGGGGAAGAGAAGGAGGAGAGATGGAATGAGTGGAGATGTACAGAGGAGAAGTGAGGGGAAAAGGATGAAAGGAAAAAAGAAGATCAAAGAAGAAAGAAAAACAAACAAAGACAATTTTGTATATATTATAAAATATACAAAAAATATAATAACTTCTATATTAGTATGATTATTTTCTGAATTATAGGCATTGATATGGTTATATGAGTCAATTCACCTTGTTTTTCTCGAATATCGGACTTTACCGGTTGCTAAATTGGTCCTTGAGATTTTGCCATATATGGGGATCCCTTTTGTAATAACAACTATCATGTATTAATACCAAAAATAGCCCCTACGTTGTGGAGGAGTGGTCATTTTCTAATAGCATCGGCGAAGTAAGTGTCATTCTCAGTGTATAAACGTTGACCCTTAAAAATCGACCCATCAAGTAACTTGTGGACATGATCTGATATTTGTCTCTTTGTTAACACTGGACCCCAGATTCTGCCGACCAGACCGGTGACGGCTTTTGCCTTTTAGGGTTTTAGGAGTCCGACCATGTTTTTCAACTAAGACAAATATACCAGCTTCTCTCTACAGTCAAAATTGTTGACTAATCAAGTTCTTCTACCCAAAAGTCAAATATCTATATATGCAGCTAAAGGCCATGACTTGATGGGGAAACTTTTCTTCACATATTCATGACTCTGTGTCTCTATCAAAACCCACCCGCCATTTTAGTCTTCGTGAGTGATTCTGTATATCCAACTAGTAAGGGAAATTAAATGGAAACTCAAAGGCGAGTTTTCATATATATGGAGAAAAGTTACTTCCTCAAGGAGAGGGACACTTATTTCTAAAAGAGTACAGAAAACAGTTACATCAACTACGAAAAGATGGATGGAACTTCAATGAACTGCCACAACCATTGAACTTACATTACTACTCTGTCTAGATTGTCCAATACTGAAGTTGAGTTTGAGAATGAGCCTTTGGAGTACAACTCATTTCAGTACACTTACTTTCTACAAGAGTAGTGAAAACAGTTACATGAACTACGAAATGATGGGATGGGATTTCAATGAACCAATAAACTTAACATTCATACTACTCTGTCTAGATTATCCAATAGTGAAGCGAGAGTTTGAGAATGATCATCTTTTGGAGTACAACTCATTTCAGTAGTAAAGCCCAGCATGAGAGAGACTCACATAGTGACTCGATCAGGTCTTGATAGCGTCAACTCTAGGTTTCCATAGCCCTAGCCTGTATTTCTGGCCATACTTGAGTATGAGTTTTCTCTGCAAAACCAAAATTCAGAACTGTGAAACCCATGCAAGTAATCAAACAGGAGAGCTGTATAACTGAGCAAACATATATGGATTTGAACCTATCCATGTATATATATTCATGCTTTTTGGACTAAAAGAGTGAAGCTTTACGAGAACAAGCTGAGTTATCTCACAGGGTCAGGAAAATAAGAAGATAGATATTCATAAAAACAGAGACTTTTGGTGAGTTACATGTTTGGTAGGGACGCCAAGCTTCTTGAGTCGGAGGGTACGCGTCACAAGCAGCTTATGAAGATCGCCGATCTCAGTCTCAATCTTGGCAATGTGGGTCTCAGCTCCTCCGCCAATCCCGCCCAGGAACTCTGGAATCCCAACCTTCACTGCAACACCATATACAATAAAATCAAACCGAATCTCCAAGGATGCATCGTTTTTGTGAGGAGAATCAGAATCCAAAACTCTTGCAAACTAGAGTAGCAGCACATGAGTAGTAACAAACAATAAACACGATACCACAACATTCCACCACTAATTGGCTTGCTGTGAGAATTGAATCTGGTAAATGCTAAAGTTCTATCCTTTGGATGAAGAAGAATCAAAATCCAAACCGTACGGTACGAATCAAGACCACATACCGAAATAATTGGCTGGTTTGGAGTAGAATCTAGGGAGGCCAGGAGCAGGACACGAGTGTGTCGTCCCAACAGCTGCTCTCGCGCTCTGAATCAATCGTGTCCACGCCATCGATGCTGCTCTTCTTCCTCACGAGCCTCTCTTTTCCTCCTCGTCTGAGCGAAACCTGGATTTGGCCGTTTAGGTGGAGGCTGTTCAGAACGACGTCGTTCCGCGTGTGCAAAATAATTCTCTCAATATGAATGGGCCCAGAGCCATTAATCCAATATTTTAGGTCTTAGTAATCTATTGCATATGACCCATTATCATAAATCCATGAAACTGAGAGAGTGAAAGCTAAATCTGGGCCGCTTAGGTGGAGAGAGTGAAAGCTAAATTTGGGCCGCTTAGGTGGAGGCTCTTCCGAAACGAAGTCGTTCCGGTGTGAAAAATCACCCTCTCAATATGAATGGGCCCAGAGCCATTAATCCAATATTTTGGGTCTTAGTAATCTATTGAATATGACCCATTACCATGAATCCATGAGACTGAGAAGAGTGAGTGCTAATTTTTGATGCTCGACAAAAAGTCTCGGCTCCTCCTGTGTGGGATTCAGTGTGAACGCTTTGTTTAGGAGAATGGTGGCTGAATCTGCGGTTGTGGTTGTGGCGTTCACTGCACATTCTGGCCGAAAAGATTGGTAAGTGAACCTTTAAAGTCGAATATAAAACGGCTTCCGAGAGTTTGAGTCTATTGATTGTTTTGCTTTTGGGTTATTCAATTTCAAGTATTGGTATTTAGATGGTTATGTAAGTTCTTCGTGATACTCGAGCTAATAATAGAATAAAAGGCTTTCACTTTCATCTGCCAAGAAAGAAAGAGAGAGAATTGTAAAAAAAGTTCTTACTATTTGTAGAAAAGTAGTACTACTAGGACAAACCACTGATTTTCTTCAAATATATACACACACATACACATATGATTTCTACTATTACTTTGGTTAACCTGTGTAACATTTTGTTGCAACAGGAACGTTTGTACATGGAGACAAAGCCAAATTTAAATAAGAATCTGAGACTTTGCTGCTGCCCTAGAGCATCTTTTCCGGCCTGAGTTGGATAAAACGCAGACGCAAGTCTCTAGAAGCTCAAGATCCTCTTCCCAGAACAAGGAAGATGCCATCTCAGGGTTCCGCAGAAGCTGCTTTGAAGTCAAGAAACCAGCGATTGTCCATGTCTGGTAAAGCCTAGACTTTTTCCCTATGAACTTGCCGTCTCTTGTGTCGTAGTACTCAGGCCACTTGTCAGCTTGGAGCCTCTTCTCTGCCAAGGTCACTGCTTTCTCTGCTAATTCTGGTCTGCCCATCTTGATGCATGCCAATGTGAACTGACAACAATTCATATACAATATGTGAATAATGTGTAGATTCCCTAGCAAACTATATATATAATTATACTAAGAATCTATGTATATGCTTACTTGCCAGAGAAGCGTTGGCCATGACCCGCCATTATGGTAAGACCAAGGCCTATACAGAACATGCAAAGAATATCCGGATGAAGTCTGGTCAATCATTCAAATGCATATAATAAGAGGAAGAGAGGAGAAGAACTAACGTGTTCTTTGGGTCACTCCCAGTGATGATATGCCACTCTGAAGATTCCAAAGCCGGGTAGCATATCTTGAGTGGCATGTGGCCAATGAGATCATCCCATTTCTCTTCAATCAGATTCAGTATAGCTTGGTTCTGTCTTGGTGTCGCTAAAGAAGATACGATCGACCAGATGTTTCCAAGAGTGAAGAACCTGAAGTCCATGTGAGCAGGCTGGAGGTTTCCTACAAGAAACCCACATCTAGGGCTTTCAGGGATCCAGTCCATCAGCCACGGTGAAACCTGGTCCGGGTAGATGTTGAACTTGTTTGTGGCATCCGTTGAGTACTCCTCTGTTTTATAACGGTATATCTCGTTGATTTTGGTCTTGTCAACCCAATAGTTTTCCCTAATGTGGAACGATATTGCGCTGAGCCTGTTGCTAATGGTCCTGGCCAGGTTCTTGGAGCTCTCATTTACAGTCAGCATCTCACGAGAAGACCGTAGAGCGGAATAGAACAAGGCCTGTGTCATCATCATAACCATCATATGGCTCATTAATTATTCAAGCTTTTTCTTTTTGAGGAGATTTTCAAAATCAGTGAAAAGTAAAAAAAAAATATTACTTGGATCTCAAGAGGGTGACCGTGGATACCCATACGCCGGTCTATCATGCAAGAGCCATCAGTGACTAACAACGTGGGGAACATATCGAAACCATCAGCTAAGCAAAGGTTTGCAATCATCTTTATCCCTGTCTGCACATCAACCCTCTCTTGCAGCGAGTAATCCCCTGTGATCTTCCCGTATGCTCTCAACAGTATTATCCACCATAGACCTGAGATTTTTCTATTTAGACCAACAGTACTGTGTGAATCAATACGTGGATCAACAGTGACGCTGTTCTTAGCTGCCGCGTATCAACAATATAGTCGTTTCTTAATCTGTTTAACGTGAAAACGCAGATGGAAGATGCAAGAAAGTACTGACCAGAATCAACGGGAGCAACACGACCTATAGCTGATTCACCAAAATCGGGATCCAGAACCTCTTCGAACTTGCTCTCTTCAAGAGGTAAAGTTCTGACTTTGAAACTCGCAGGCATTAATCCTTGTCCTGGACTATAACAGTCAACTGTTTTCTCCCAACTCTGTAAACACAACACAATTAACAACATCACTAAGGTTTACATAAACACAACACAATGCTTGTCCTGGATTATAACAACTAACAGCTGGAGCAAGCATTCATACCTGCAACTGCAGCGTGTGAAGAAGGAAGTTTCGAACAATTTCGCTTTCTCCTTTCATCAGAAAAGCCAGAGCCGAAGGTATGAAATCCCTAATAAAGACCTGATCGTAGTTTAATGGAGTTGTGTCGGTTGGATCATTAGCAGCCATCGTTCCTACTGGAGAATCGCAGTACGTCACTACTGATTGCCTCAGCAATCTCCAAGCCTCTTCCTCGATCTCGTTTCTTTTGATACCCTCTCTATCTATGATTTTCTCATCTCCATTGATCACCTCTTCACCTTTCTTTTCTCCTTTTAACCCCTCGACGTTTAAAGGTTTCACATTTACGCCGTTCTTGGCGATTATTTGATTCAATGCCGTGTCCTTTGCGCAAGTCGTGGATGCAGAGAGGCTTCTTGCCTCAGAAACAGCCTGAGCTGTAACAGAGCTTGGCCTGTCCGTACAAAATGGCACAGCATTTGTCGGTTTGTTGATTCTATTTAAATATGGAGTGTTGATGTTTTGGTTTACGCAGCTCGAAAATGGAGAAGGATGCGATTGAAACGCAGTGTCTCGAGATGGAGATAATCTTGTAATCGCACGGAGGATGCATTTTGAGGGTCTCATCATTGAGTTTCCAAGCAAGGCGATGGCATTCATCATCAGAATCCAACATCCAGATTGCAAAAGAGACAAGTTTGAAAAAGTAAAAAAAACTTTCGTTGTGTTCTTTATATATATCTGAAAATTGTGAATCCTGAAATGGGAGAGATCTGTATTAGGAAGAGAATGTTTTGTGGATATTGAAACTAGTTTGCGGCTAATTTGATCGCATCACGGTTTCTATTAATACACCAAACTTCATTTTCTGAAAATTCCTCCTTGGCTTGTTTCCGACATTTCATCTATTTCGGTAATATTTAAAATTTGTGTGTCAATTATAAAGAAACATGAGAGTGAAGTTTGGTGTATTAATAGAAAATGAAGTTTGATGTATTAATAGAAACAAAAAGCCAAACCTGGTAGACCACTTGAAAAAGCACATGAGAGTCCGAACCTAAAAGGAGTTTCCTCTCCCACCTTCTCTCTGGTCTTAGCTCTGCCAAATTCTATAATTAACTTAATTTACAATAATTTTTACCAAAATAATAAATCTAAACGTATTTTGTCACCATCTGTTTTGTCACATTTTCCATAGTTAGTAACGCTCTGTTTCTGTATATTATTTTTAATTTTTAAATGATGTAAGAATGCATATAGATTAAATCAGATGCTATTAGTATTTGGATAAGCCCATCGTGATCAAATTCAGATACATATGATACGGATAATCGTTGTCTAATTGATACTAATAAGGAGCGAGCTCGTGGGTTTGTGTTTGCCGAGGATTTTGGAGGGAAAGTTTGATTTTTTGAACTTCAAAAGTTCCTTTTCTGGTTTTCATCTTCTCTCTCTCCACAAGAATCTCTCTCTCTCTCTCTCCAATTCATTTATTCTGATCTTATTGGCTGTTCCATCTCTTTCCTTTCTCTCTCCCCTCTGCTTTGTTAGATGTTAGAGAAAGTGAGAAATTGTTAGATTCATTCCAAAATCAAAGAGATCTGGTTTTCTCCGAGGATTTTGAAAAACTTCAAGTCACATCCCCTTTCTCTCACAGCTCATGTAAAGGCACGATCTTTGTATACTATTATTTATTATTATAATTTTGAAATGTTAAAGACTCTTCATTTAATTTCTTTAGTAATAATGGTCAACTGCCATGTTCACATGCAGCAAAAACTAAAAATTTTCCAACTTCTTCTTTCAGAGTTCTGAGATTTGTGATTCAGTGCATGCAAGAGCTGAACAAATCATCAAGACGCAGCCATTAGATGATAAATTAATCGAATTTCAGATGTCTTGTTCTGTGAAAACGACGGTGGATCCACTTCTGAAAGATTTGGATGAGAAGAAAGAGAGTTTCCGGCGGAACGTGGTTTCTCTGGCGTCGGAGCTGAAGCAAGTGAGGGGCCGTTTGATTTCTCAAGAACAATCCTTTCTTAAGGAAACCCAAACTAGAAAAGTAAGTCCTTTCTTTTTAATTTATTTATTTTTCTGATTGATTCTTCTTCCTTTTGTTGGTGATATAGTGGTGGGGTCAAATCTTATTTGCTTGAATTTTAAAATAACTGAATCAGATAGAAATGATTTGGCTTCTTTTTTGTTGTTTGTTCAGGAAGCAGAGAAAAGGGGAAAGAACATGGAAATGGAGATGTGTAAATTGCAGAAAAGATTGGAAGAAAGGAGTTGCCAGCTTGAAGCTTCTGCATCTGCTGCTGACAAGGTTTATACCACAAACCCATTTTGCCTCTCATGTTACATCTTAAAAGGTTTCATCTTTTATGGTCTTTGTGTTCTTTTCTTGAGTCGCTCTAAAATCCTAGCTAAATCATGAGATAAATATAGTTCTTCAAAAAAAATTTGGAACTCAATTGAACTAGATTATATTTTGAATCTGAAATGAGCAATTGGTATATTGTGTTGAAAGCAGTTAAATTTCAGTTATTGACTAAATAGGCCTTGCTCCATGTCACTCCAATACTATCACTTCCTTAAGCACTCAACTATTTCTCTTTGTGTTTTTGTTCCTTAGTTGATGGCCCTGCATAGCCATTTACTTTGACTCTTGATTTAAAATAGTTGAAACATAAAATGGTTTGCGATCGAGGCAACTTAAGCTGTGTGATTCATTGAGGTACTAGCATTAGCAATCTAAGCTTAATTGTTTATAAGTCCTACTTTCCGGTAGAAATGCATTGTTGTTCGTCACAAACTCGTTTGCAGTTATGCTCTTTTAAAGAAATACTGTTTGGTTATGCTTTTTAATTTTATGATCTTTGTTTTGAGAGAACAGTTTATCAAAGAATTGGAGGAATTCAGATCACAGCTCAATGCGACCAAGCAAACCGCAGAGGCAAGTGCTGATTCTGCTCAGTCTACGCAGATCCAATGCTCAATGCTGAAGAAACAACTCGACGACAAAACACGTTCTCTCAGAGAACACGAAGACCGTGTGACTCAGCTAGGTTATCAGCTTGATAATCTACAGAGAGATATGAGCCTTAGAGAGTGCTCAGAAAAGCAGCTAAGGGAGGAACTCACGAGGATTGAGCGCGATATAACAGACGCCATTGCAAAGGTTGGGATAGGTAGCACGGACGGTGCGCTCCAGAAGCTTCTAGAAGACGTTTCTCCAATGAGTTTCGAGAGGATGAATAGGCTAGTTGAAGTGAAGGACGAAGAGATTACGAAACTAAAAGATGAGATAAGGTTAATGTCAGGCCACTGGAAACATAAGACTAAGGAACTCGAATCTCAGGTGAATCCATCTTTTTCCTGTTACTCTCTGTCTTTGTTTGTTTAACTCTCAGTGACAATTACAATCTTTTGAATATTTGGAAACAGCTGTTTAAATTCCAAGTGAAAGCTTGATCTTTTGAAGATTTGGCATTAGCTGTTTAAATTCTCATTGAAAGTTTCAATCTTTTGACTGAAAAAATACAGCTGGAGAAACAGAGAAGAACGGATCAAGATTTGAAGAAGAAGATACTGAAACTAGAGTTCTGTCTTCAAGAAACTAGAAGCCAGACGAGAAAGCTGCAGAGGGTAAGTATAAGTGCATAACTCTTTCATTCGTGTAGCTTCTTGCTTGGATCAAAAGGGTTCATAATTCCTTTTTGTTGTTGTTGTGTGATGAATGGAACACAGAGAGGGGAAAGGAGAGACATGGAGATCAAAGAGATAAGAGATTTGATGTCGGAGAAACAACAACGTAATGAAGAATCTTGGGAGAAAGAGAAGTTCTGGGACAATTCAGGGTTCAAGATCGTTGTTTCAATGTCGATGTTGATGTTAGTGGTAGTCTCCAAGAGATGAGTTTTTATTTTTCTTGTATAAAATGTAGTTCTTGGCTCTTGCAGATTGAGGAAAGTCATATATATATAACTTTTAGAACGGCCTCCGTTTAACTCAATGGTCATTGCTCTTAGGTACCTCTGTCCCGCTATCTTGTAAATGTTATAATCGTTTGTCTTTAAATTTTGGATTAATTAAAAAGTGAGCAAAAGTTATTTCAGGTTGGTCCCGTAGCTCAGTTGGTTAGAGCGTTGGTCTTATGAGCCGAAGGTCGCGGGTTCAAGCCCCGCCGGGACCACACTTCCCGCCTAATTCATTAATTTTTTAGGCCCATTACGAAGCCCAGTTCAAACACGTTTACGTTTTCTTCTCGGTATATAGATGTTTCGCATTCTATGATTGTCGCCGCTGAAAATTTTGAATTTGTTTTTATTGTACAGTGTATTTTGCCTCTCCGACACGTTGGACACGTGGCCCCGGTTCAGCCTGTAGACTCTTTGGAATATTCCGATAAATCCATATATGCGTATATAGAGGAAAATACATAATTACCCCTACTTTGTCGCTATCTTACCGACCCCACCACCCAGCTTTGTCCAAATTTTCAAAATGTCCCCATCCTTTTTAATTATTATTATTCGGTTCGTCGATTAATTTAAGAACTAACTATATAAAAAAAAATTATACACTTGGCTGGAAATGTCATTATATTTATGGCTGTTGGTTGTTGAACTAGATACTCAAAATTTTATAGCAGACAATTGTATGACATTTAGGAAGTAATTATTGGACCTCTGTATTTTTTTTTAAAAAAGGAAAATCAGAAAAGAGATAAATAAATATATGCATGAAATTAAATAGTGCAGTTTAGTCCATTTGGCTTAGCAACTTTGACATTAGGAGTTTGACTCCTTTTTTAAAGTTGGAACAAAAGTGGTTCTCAGAATGGAGCTACTAAAAAGAACCAATGATAAATTGTTATATAATAAAATCAATTATGTATGTTCCATTAATTATATGCAAAATGAATTAGTTAAATGTAAAATTAGAAGCAGCATTGCTGTGAGATCATTTTTGATAATATGTTTGTCCAAACAATCACAAACCTGAATTCAAAAAAAAAAAAAGACAGTGAAGATCAACGTTTTAGTTGGTTGTATTAATATAAAATAGAGGTGTTAGAGTGGGGGCAAAAGTTTGAATGGTCAAAACTCAAAAAGAGGAAAAACCAAACCCAATGTACTTTCAAACTCCAATTTACTAACTCCGAAGACCATCTTTTTATTTTTATTTTGAGATTTTGATTTCATTTTACGATATGACTGTCACCAGCGCATTATAGCGTACGCCCCTCATCAAAAAGCCCAGCCACAGAGCTTCATTTTATTCTTACAAACTATTATTCATTCAGACCAAAATTAAAAAGAAGATAGAGAGAGAGAGATAGAGAGAGAGAGAGAGAGGGCTTCATCATCAAACGATCTCCCTCATTTCCTATGGATCTACTCACATCTTGATTCTTCCTCCAATTTTTCCGATCTCAAATTTATTGGGTTTCCCCGGTATGTTTGAAAATCTTTTTTTTTTCTTCTTTCCTCATTTGATTAGTTTTCTCATCTTAAATTGTGGGTTTTTAAAGTTTCGAAATTTCCAGTTTTCTTTCCCCAAAAAAGTTGATCTTTTTCATAGCTTCATCTCAGATTTTAAGGGATATAGATCGGTAGAGATTTATTAATTGGCCAAGATGAATTGGATTTCCTTTGTCTGCGTTTTACATCGCTTTAATTTTGTTGTTTGAGTTGAAACTTGCTGTCTTTTTTGGTATGTTTATCGATTATCCCTTTTCCATGAATTTTTTTCTTCCTATGAGGCCACTATAATTTGTTTATCTTTTGCTACATCCTGCTTTTTTTGGTGATAGTTGTTTCCAATGTCTCGTTAAAATTCAAACTTTGCATGTTAATAGCTTCCAGGTGAGTCTTGATATTAGCTTTGTTGAGTATGCTCTTCCCTGTCTTGTGATTGAGTTGTTCATTCAAATTAAACATTTGGATATGGTTTACTAAATCATATGCTAACGATCACTTAACCATTTGGTTATTTGCTGCAGGGTTGAGTCTTTGATCTGATCTAGACTTGAAGAGTGACAGAAGAAGAATCATTTTTTTCACAAATTCTTCTGTGTTTTTTTTTGTATCACGGAATGGCCTCGGTGGGCATAGAGCCAAGTGCCGCGGTTAGAGATTCTACCGGAAACGCTACTGATGTTGATAGATTACCTGAGGAGATGAATGACATGAAAATTCAAGATGATAAAGTATGGCTTTTTTCGTTTTGATGCTGTTTCAGATCGTGTTCTTTTTTTTTTCGCCGCTTCAATGGTTTTTTTTCTTTCTTTCTACTGACTTGATTGATGAATGATGATCACTAGGAAATGGAAGCTACAATTGTAAACGGCAACGTGACGGAGACTGGACATATAATAGTAACTACTATAGGCGGAAGAAACGGCCAACCAAAACAGGTTTGTGTTGCGCAAAATCGATCGTTCTTGATTTTTTTAATTAGCTGATTCGATTGCTAAGTTAATAATCTCCTTGGATGTTAAATTGCAGACAATCAGTTACATGGCAGAGCGAGTTGTTGGACATGGCTCCTTTGGTGTTGTGTTCCAAGTGAGTTTTGAGTTTTTGATTCTTCCTCGAGTCGCTTTTTTTCTCTATGAATGAAAACTATGTGTCTTTTCCACTGACTGACACACATCATATGTTTGTTTTGTTTATTTAAGGCGAAATGTTTAGAAACAGGAGAAACAGTTGCGATAAAGAAAGTTTTGCAAGATCGGAGGTACAAGAACCGTGAGCTTCAAACAATGAGGCTGCTTGACCATCCAAATGTGGTGTCTTTGAAACATTGCTTCTTCTCAACAACCGAAAAAGACGAGCTTTACCTCAACTTGGTTCTTGAATACGTTCCAGAGACAGTACACCGCGTTATCAAACACTACAACAAACTTAACCAACGAATGCCTCTCGTTTACGTCAAACTTTACACTTATCAGGTAGATTATTAATCTCCGAGAGTTGTTGTTCATTATAATTCTGTATCTCTTATTGGAGTTTTTTTTTTGTTTATAATTAAAAGAGTCTTGTATATGTTTTGGCAGATTTTTAGGTCCTTATCCTACATTCACCGTTGTATCGGCGTGTGCCATCGCGACATAAAACCTCAAAACTTGTTGGTAAATCCACACACTCATCAAGTGAAGCTATGCGATTTTGGAAGTGCGAAAGTATTGGTGAGTTTGATGATTCGCTTAGCTCATTACGAAGCAGATAAACTCAAAAACCCATTTATTGATCAGTGCTTGGTTCTGTAAACAGGTGAAAGGAGAGCCAAACATTTCGTACATTTGTTCGAGGTATTACAGAGCACCCGAGCTTATTTTTGGAGCAACCGAGTATACTACAGCCATTGATGTCTGGTCTGCAGGGTGTGTTCTCGCCGAGCTTCTTCTTGGGCAGGTAAAAAACTTTTGTGACATCTCAAAATCAAAAAAAACATCTTTTGGGTCTGTTTCAAAATCGTGGTTTCGTAATTGACCAATCTCTTCTTTTGTTCATACCAGCCATTGTTCCCTGGTGAGAGCGGAGTTGATCAACTTGTAGAGATTATAAAGGTACTACCTTTGTACCGACTTCACTTTAAGTGCATTACCGGTATTAACTGATTCTCAAAGTGTAATAATGATATACTTTCTATGGCTTTTGTGTAGGTTTTAGGAACACCAACAAGGGAAGAAATCAAATGCATGAACCCCAACTACACAGAGTTCAAATTTCCTCAGATTAAAGCTCATCCATGGCATAAGGTTATTTGGATTTTAAACATACAAGTTCAGTGTCTTCTCTAATTTTAGCTGTTAACTGAAAACAAATTTTTACATTAAAAATCCAGATTTTCCACAAGCGAATGCCTCCAGAAGCTGTCGATCTAGTCTCAAGGCTTCTTCAGTACTCTCCAAATCTCCGTTGCGCTGCTGTGAGTATTGGCAACTTCTCTCACTATACTTCATTCTGCAAAATCTCTCTCGTCTCTTTTGGCTGATTTTTGTTGAATTGTGTGATCTTGCCATATAGCTGGATTCATTGGTCCACCCGTTCTTTGACGAGCTTAGAGATCCGAATGCGCGATTACCCAATGGACGTTTCCTTCCACCGCTCTTCAACTTTAAGCCTCATGGTACTTAAAAGCTGCAATTTTTTCTTGGTTTTTGCTATATACAGCTCAAAAGTATTATAAGAAAAGTGTCTTTAAACTCATGCTTTTTCTTCTTTTAATGTCTTGTGTGAAAGCAGAGCTTAAAGGTGTGGCTGTGGAGATGGTGGCTAAGTTAGTACCTGAACATGCGAGGAAGCAGTGTCCGTGGCTCGGTTTGTGATCTATCTGCTGTTACCTGCAAACACGAGAAACTAGAGCAAGCAGTCTGAGAAATTCATTCTCTTAATCTCTTCTTCCCCTGCATTATTACTATTATAAAAATCTCAGTCTGATGGTTTTGTAACCCTCTCTGTTTGTTTTTATGAGTAGAGAAAGAGTGAATCATTGTAAGGGTTATGATCTTGTAAAAGTCAACAAAGATTCTTATTTGTTTTAAAGAGAGTTTGGTGTTTTCTTTGTCACTCGCGTAAACTGAAACCCACAAAAAGTGAAAATCGATGTGAATAAAAGGACGCTAATTTAAAATTGAGATTACAAACGGCTAGTGAATGGTACAGCGGAAGAATATAACGACTAGTAAGAAAAGGAGTCATATGATCATTGTAGCTCCGCAAGAATAAAGTTAAACTTCCTTCAACCTGAAGATAGAAACCAAAACCTGTATGTAGTGTGAGATAATATATTGTATTTTCATTTTTGTGTTTCTTCTCTATCCTTACATAATTGAGAATTTTGATTGATTTAAATTAAAATCCCATAAGATAGTAACAAGCCTCCTTTCTTACAGATTGTATCACTATAAAAAGTTGATGAAAGTTAAAAAAGAAAAAAAGAAGTTAATAACAAAAAAAAAAAACAAATTGGAGAGCAATAAAAGAAAAAACTAGCATTCAAGAAGATAATCTTTACAAGTTGACTTGTTGTGGCCAAGTCCCTTGCACCTACTACATTGCAGCTGCCGCTTCATCACCTCTTCAGCCGGTGTTTTCTTCTTCGGCGGCCTCCCCGGTGGTCGCCGCGTTGGTGGTGGCGTTACCGTTACCGTCACCGCCGAACCCCCGGAGCTCTCTCTACACATCTCTCCTTCTAACAACGGAACCGGATTGATCAACATCGAGTATGTGAGCCTGTAGTTCTCAACACTGAAATATCTAACACAGAAGTCGTAAGGGCTACGTCCGTTACAGCTGAGAACTGCAACCGCGTGGTGACACGGTAGACCCGTTAACTGCCAGCCTTTGCAGCTACAGTCCCACTGCGTCATGTTCACCAGCTCGTACGTCTCTCCACGGACTTGAAACAGATTATTATCCGCGGATGCCGCTACGTGAAGTGTTTGCGCTTTCACGCACTCCTTCTCTAGCTTTATCTCCATGGAAGGAGTCAATCTTCCATTAGCCTCCGCGGCTTTTATCCGTCTCGCGTGGATCAGTCCCATGATCTTCCCGCGGATCACATCCACCATTTGTGTTATCGGTAGGTCGTTGGCGTCGGAAGCCCAGCTGAAGAAAGGTTCACCTGAGTTTGAAGTCATGTGGTTGTACCGGGAACCGGGAAAGTAAGCGTTGGCCCAGTGATCGGGCTGGCTATTTTGCACGATCCAATTGTAAGCCTCCGGCGAGAGACCTTTGATGTTCTCCACATGTCTCTCGAATGAATCCGCTCTCGGGGCGTAAGCTGCCGAGTAAAAGTCATCGACGATTAACCGCTTGATCTCGTGAGAGAAGGGTCCTTTCAAGTCTCTGATGAGCTCTTCCGTCAGATACCGCAAGCAATACGCGTGATACGAGTGTGCAAACACTTTCGGGATCGACTCCTGCAGATTCTTCTGTCTATCCGCGACGAAAGTGATCGGGCAAGACTCATGCAGATCCTTCTGTTGATCCGCGACGAAATTTATCGGGCAAGTCTCATGCAGATCCTTCTGTTCATCCCCAACGAAGTTTATAGGGGAAGGCGTGATGAGAGCAGATCTCAGCTGAAGCAAGAACCATTCCCAGTTATCATCCGTCTCCGCGTCCACCACAGCGAAAGCCAGAGGGAACACTTCGTCGTCCCCATCCACAGAAGTTGCGGCTAACAAAGTCCCCTGATACTTTGATTTCAACGGCATGCTGTCAAGAAACACGAGCGGTCGACATGCCTCGAGGAAACCGTAAACCGAGGCGTGGAACGATACGAAAACACGGTGAAAGCTTGAATCTTCCTTGGTCGTGAACGTAGCGAGGCTTCCCGGATTCGTCTCCATTATCTTCTCGCAGAACAAGGGAAGCTGCTTGTAACCGTCCTTGTATGATCCTTGAAGCTGCTCTCTCGCGATTTCTTTCCCGCGCCAAGCCTGAAAGTAGTTCAGCTGAATCCCATACTCTTCCTTGATGTCGTTGACGATATCTTTCGGTTTATAGTTTGGAAACACTTTCAGCTTCTCTTTTATAATGCTAGCAACCCAGCTCCTACTCGTCTGAAGACCGTTGATGCCTCCCGCACCTTCACAAGTATGTGATGGGTTCATTTTCTTGATACAGATCAGCTGAGTGGTCGATAGCCTCGAAGCATGGATCCTCCAAGGACAACCTTCAGCTTTACATTTAACCGTCACTCGGTGACTATCGTTCTTCTTGTACCGGAATCCAAACTGGTTCGCGATCGCGTACTTGCGCAGCGCTTCACGGAACTCGCCGACGTTTTTAAACCTCTGTCCAACACCTGTAATCGTGTTCTGCCACTGCTGTGTTCTCGCCTTTGTGAGAATATCTCCTTTCGGATTCGGAGCTTCAAGAATCGATGACATTATATCGGGTGGGTTAGTAACAATCTGTGCATCTGCAGCTCGGTTCACGACCTGCTCCATAGTTACATCAGGAGGAGCTGAGACTGAGAGAGAGAGGAGGGGATCTTCTGGTCCCGTTGTGTCGTCTATCATGTCGTCCATTGGAACTGGAGGGATCGTTTCAGACAATGTCGTTCTGCTTGATCTGGAAAACAAAAAGGAACTTTAGAAAAAAAAACAGAGAAAGGAACTGGAGTAATGATTCATGTAGCGGCTTTGCTTACCTGCTCGCTGGCATGTTTGAAATGTCGGGAGCAGCTTCTTCGGGTATGAGATAGACGTCTGCGGAGTTTGAGTTCTCGTGAAACTTGATCATCCGTTGCAAATCTTTATCGTTAGAGATGGAGATGAGAGTCTTCTTGTTGTCGGGGAGAAAGTATTTGAGACAAACCGTCGCGGCGTCGCAATTAAACACATCCCCAATTTCTGAGATAAAGTCTTTGAATTTCATCTGATCGTCCACGTCTATTGCGTGAGCCTCGCCGCCTTTGTAAGACAGCACTCCGCCTTTCTCTGTCTGAAACTCCCCACCAGATATACATATTGCTATGACCCGTTTCCCTGACATGCCCTGCAACAAGCAGAACAAGAAAACAAAGCCACAAACCAAAACTATCAGAACTCTCTAGCCCAATGCAATTGCGTGGTTCCAAAAGAAACTCTGTAACACCTAAACATAACGGAAGCAAGCAATCTAAGCTCTCAGCTTCTGATTTAACGGCTATTACAGGGTTGTGGATGTAACAGAAGATGTCACACAATCACTAGGAAACTATTAATTCGCTAAGTGAATCAATGCAAAACAATGTCGTCTCAATGATGAAGGCACATTCCGATCAAAAAAAAATAATGAAACTTTCAGATTCCAACTCAACAAATCAAGCATTTGGCTCCAGAAACTGCAATCCACTACTCAGGGAAACCACTATAATCATCAAACTGCAATATGGAAACCACAATCTTCATCAAATTGCAATCCACTACTCCTGAAAATCATAATCTTAATCAAATTGCAATGAATAAACAATCGGAATTGATTCAAAATGGGGGAAATTCAGGATAAAAAGGAGGCAAAGCTTTCGACTTTATGGTCCAATCCAAATTCCAGAATAGCTAATTCCTCGTAAACCCTAAGATTGATAAGCTCGGCTCCTCGACAAAAGGTAGAATCTGCCAGCAAACCGAAACAGCAACACTAGCTAACGCTAACAAGTAACATTGCATCCGAATAGAAGACAACGACGTTGAATACCTCAGGGAGAATCACAGAATCTGGGCAAAAGTTTCAAATTTGAGAATTGGGGTAACCCTAGAACCACGGTTTTTTTTTACATATATAGCTTGCAAGAGAATGAGCGATTGAATTACCTCAAAATTGCGGAAACCCTAATCCGATATTGAAGTTCTATGATCGAATTCTCAAAAGTAGCACGAGAAAGAAGAGGGAAGAGCCTGACGACCCTCAGAATTTTTATTTATTTTCGTCTTTGAAATTATCTTTTTCTTGGAAATTAAAATAAGTGTAGTTGAGCACAAATTCGTTTTTTTTATTTCATTATAAACGGAAAAACCCCGGAAATGAAAAATTAAAAGGCAAAAAAAAAAACCTAATGGATGATGATGATGGATACGAAAAAAAAATACAAACACAAAAGTTGGTTGAAGCCCAAAAAGAAAAATAGTTAAAATACAAATAAAAATTTCGGTTCATTTATGTAACATCGATATTAGTCATGACGTCATGACCATCTCGGTCAGCAATGCCATGGTGTTTTGCAGACTGCTCTTACATGAACAGCATGCCGAATCGCTTAAATCATTCGAAACATCGTGCCGTCTAAAGCTAAATAACGTATCTCCTCCTATGTATGCTACGCAAAACGAATGGTTCACGATTTCATCAAAAAGAAAAAAACGCCAGAATCAGACCAGAAAGCGATATGTTGTGGAATATGGATTCTTTTTTGGTGTATAATTTATGCTATGGATTCGTTTCGTTTAAGACAGAAAAATTACTAATGATAATCATTGTAATCGATTACAGCTAATACTCATATATATATATATATAATCGTAAACGAACCAAAGCGACGAACCAATAACAAAGACAACAATTACAAAAAGGAAAATAAATAAAATGATTCTACAACAAGTTGGAGCTTTATCAATATTGTTGGCTATCGCTCGAGTACGTTGTTTAAATTGGTTTACGTTGATAAAAAAAAAAAAAGTTGAGTGGAGAATTTTTACTCTCGAACACATGTTAACTTTTATATCTTTATATCGAATCTAGAAATTTCATCATGTCTTTCTGATCTTAATTTAACGATTGATTTAAGTTTTTTTTTGTTTTGAAAAAAGACTTAAGTTCGCTAACTTATTTGATTACTCGTCACCATTCACCAACACCAGTAGCCAATCAGATTCTTTCGAGTTCGAGGTAAAGTATTATTTAGTTGTTACTGCAAAGAGTGAAAGATAAATCATCATCACATATTCACATGCAAGATTACTGTCAGTATACCGAATACGTACGAGGGTTGGTCCTTTTTCAGTTTTTTGTATGCTAACAAAATCATGTAAAAAACTCTGATTGTCAATATTTTTTTATGACAAACCAGAACATTACTCCGATTTTTTTTGTTAATCTTTCTTTCTCCATCTCATTTTGTAAAAAATAATGCTAATTATGTTTGTTATCTTCTAGACCTACTGATTACTTCTATTCCTATTACAAAATTCGAGATCAGGACGAACATATACATATATATTTTTAAAAAAAATTGTTGATGAAGGATTACTTCTAAAATTGTACTTTCCTGGTCAAACTGGGAGATGAGTTCTGGTGGAGGTGTATCAGTACTTAGCTCTGGTTACAGCTAAAAAAATTGTAGTTTATAGGTGAAAGATTACCAAAGAAGATTAAGATATATTCTTATGAAAAGAGGCCTACTATTAGTTTCTGATTTTATAGCTTGCAGTTGTTTATTTTTTATATATATAGCTTGTAGTTGTTGGATATATTCCACAATAAGCAAGAAGAACTCTCATTGCCTCATTAAAATATTGAGTCTTTTTATTCCCCAATAGATTCTTTTTCACTTCTCTTTTTGACTGTGTCCTCTTCAGTCTTCTCTTCTCCACCTTTTTTGGTTTAATTTTATATAATAAGAAAAATGCTGCATCCATCCACACCAAAGTATAGACATTTTTATGCTTAGTCTATATAGTAATTCATTTTGGCCCTGTCTATGCAATCACTGTAGTCATCTTTATGCTAATGGTGCTAATGTGAAACTGATTAGTAGTTCCCCACTTACGTTCAATATAGTATATGTTATACAAAGCACAAACCCAACTCTTTTTTCTTTCCCCACGAAACTATAGAAAAGCCATGCGTATTTACGTAATAGAAATTGCTATTGGAGTTTGGATTAAAAACTGTAATAAATAATTCTTCAAATGCTTATAAGCGTAAATATGAAATTTAGATTTACATGAAATTTTAGATTGGTAATAGCTTTACTTTTATATATTCAAATCTAAGATATAATATAGTAGCTGTAATTTTACGTTTTTGCTGAAGTTACATACATAATCTAGATTTAACAACTGTAGCTACATATTGAATCTATATTTGACCGATTATATATTTAAAGATAGAGTCAGTCAAATCTAGATATAACCGATTATATATTCATAGATAATTACTATATATTTATGTATTATTAGATTTGATCGATTATATATTTACAGATAAAGTCAGTCAAATCTGAAATATAATGTAGTAGCTGTAGTTTTACGTTTTTGCTGAAGCTACATACTGAATCTAGATTTAACAACTGTAACTACATACTTAATCTAAATTTGACCGATTATATATTCACAGAAGAGTCAGTCAAATCTAGATTTGACCGATTATGTATTCACATATAATCACTATATATTCACATACTACTATATACTGAATCTAGATTTGACCGATTATATATTTACAGATAGAATCAGTCAAATCCAAAATGTAATGTAGTTCTTATTGAAATTAATTTATTTACCCCATAAGAGTTTGGGAAAGTGCAATGAAAATAAACAAACTACGAGAGATTCTGCAAATTATTTATTTGGTTGAGAAATTTTTATTTTCTTAGAAGAGAGTCTTTGTTGGGAAAAAATTTCAAACGTGGACAATTGAAGGAAAATCACGTGGTGTATTAAAATTATCTTCCAAACGTTATAGGGTTCAAATTATAATTATCTTCCTAACGGGTATTCTCATTCTAAAATATTATTGACCGCTCATATTTTAGAATATGAGAAAGTGTTTACGAAAATAATGAAAAGTGGCCGTAGTTAGGCAAGAGTTGCTAAGATATGGTGGTGAAAGGAAAGAAAGAGAAGAAAGTACGTAAGAGTATGTTTGAGTTTAATAACAATAAAAGAAAATTCCAATTTAACTAAAAACTAATAATAAAACAATTACTTAAAAGATCTTCTGGTTCCAAAAAGAATACTATAAAAGAAAAAAGAGGTTGAAGAAAGTGTAGAGAAAAGACCAAACAAAACAGAGAACTTGGATGCCTAACCAATGCTTTTGTTTTGGGGTCGATCACACTACATGAGATTTTACAAGATCTCCACCACCATCTGATTGTTTTACTATCACGTGTCTCCATCCCTTGCCGTTCGATCTCTCTTAAAAATTTCCCAAATTACAACATTCCGATTAATATGATTGCAAAACTTATATTTGAATTTATTTAATGAAATTGACATTGTTTCTTGAACCGATATAAAAGACCCAGAAAAAAAAATGCAAACAACTGAGGAAATTTGGTGGTAAAACATTTAGAAATCCCAAATTCTTGATATACTTTTCAGCAAAAGATGCATTATTTGGTTCGAGCTACACTACACCAATATCTAAAGCGAACCGAACTTTAATTTTTCATATCAAACTTTTTAATACAAAACCACTCACGTGAATTAAAACAGACGTAAAGAAATTATCGAAGGGTTTAAAAGAAAAAAAAAATCTCATACATATCAATTGAAAAAAAAAATCTGAGTACGAGGCTTGTGTTCCTGCATGCGAGAAACAAACGTAAAGATATAATATAATCTCAATTTGAATACGTACGTATACTTCTGATATTCAACATTTTTGGATCGGTTAAAATATTATATTATTGTCTCTCTCACTCGTTAATGTTTTGGTGAGCCACATACTCCTTATAAATACATGCGCAAACCCACATCTCCACTTAAGGCACCAACACATCAAAACAACTTCTAATTAAAAACCTCTCTCTTTATCTTTCGTGTCTCTTCTTGTTCTCGTTTTGTTCTGTTCCAGAACCAGTAAAAAAACTCAAGAACAAGTACTAATGGGAGGAAACAGATCACACAGTAGCAAGAGGTTCTCTCTCTTCAGCTTCTTTAAAACACGAAGATCTTATAGAGTGGAAGCAGATGCCTCTTGGGACGACGTCGTTTACACTCGCAAAGCAATGGCTAGTGACGAAGACAAGCGTTACTGGGTGGCAGAGCCAGGCATCGACCGCAAAGCTTCTGCCTTTATCGCCAAGTTTCATGCGACTCGTGTCTCTGAGTCCGAGCGCCAAACTCTCTCTCCTTACCAATCCGACAAGGCATGATGATGGGCGATGAATATGATGATCAAGTTCTGATTTGATTCTAATGTAAATTGGTTTTTATTTATTTGATGCGTCCTTATAATAATTTATATTGATTGTGTCTTGATTGTAGTTAAGAATCGATCTTTCTTTACAACTCTCTTCTTCTAGCTTCTCAATCTTTTTTTTCGTCCCTTTCATCGTCTAGCTAGTTAAATAATTTAACTTGACTCATATGGACTGTTTTTTTGTTGTTCTGTCGGTTCATTAATAAACCAATTCAAATAACCAGAGACTACTTTGCATAGTTCTTGTTCCTCGTAAAATCGTCATAATATTTAAAGATGAACAGAAGGGAATAAAGAGTAATGAATTATATAAAACAAAGTTTGGTTAACTTTACGAGTAATAAAGCCTTTTCGAAAGATCCGAACTTATCACCAGCATTCTTACATTTCATTTTTACCAGAATGATATAAAAGTTGGAATATCAAGATTTGATGAAACTCCAAAACATCCAAACTTAGGATGTAGCTAGCTTATATCTCACATGGGTTATATAAGTTAGACCATAAACTTACAAAAAAATTAATTTAGAGACCAAGTTATTCATCAAATTGGAAAACCATGAGTTTTGACAGAGCTACATATACGGTTTTCAACTAATTGTTGTGGTTAAAAAATTATATATCATAGTAATTTTTGAGCAGTAAAGATCGATCATATACTGAGATCCATTTAAAATAAAAATAACCAAAAGACAAAGATTTGGAGCCAGCTGTAGAATCAAAAGCTTTATATGATTGATATTATTTGCATGGAGGGGAGGTCCCTGTTTAGTTCTTCCCCTCACATAATGCTGCAGTTCTTTGTACAAAAGGTACATTTTAAGAGTACTTTGATTCCTCTCCTTCTTTTTTGCTTCGCTTTGAGACTTTTCTTGGTTCCTACACTCTTACTTTTACTGCCAATTATTACCCAATAATATTCTCTTTTTACTTTTATTTAAATGGTTGTAAGTTTAATGATCTCGTAGTGGTGGTGTCTTTATATAACTCATGATTTGTGAGTATGTCAATTTACATGATTCGATCACCACCAAAAAAAAAAAAAGTAACAATAATCACTCACAAATCATGAAAAGGTCATTTGGCGTACTAAGTAGAATCCAGACTCCTTAGTGGAATCTTGGAATGTTTCCAAAATATTTTATCGGTCTCTATTAATTGACTAATTTTGAGAGTAATGCGTACCATCTATCTGCACCCAATATGCTTCCTCTTTACTAACTAAAAAATATATAAATAAACGGATAATAAAACTGAAACTTTATATATTAAAAAAAAATGCAATACAAAGCTGACATTTTATCAAATCAAATTCTAAAACAACAACACTTATTATGAAAGAGAGAAAGAGAATGAATTAAAATATCCGCAAACAAAACACTACGGAACTCAAGTTCCATGAAATGCAAAAGGCAATACATATCAAACCAAAGACGACATGTTACCGATAATTAATATTCATCAGAACAAACGTCGTCGATAGAGATGCTTTAGGGCTGGTGGTGGTAGTAACGGTTGTTGTCATCCATCATAGGAAAACACATTTGCTCAGGATGGTTCAACATCTGATTCTGAGCAACCAACCATCCTTCCTCCTGAAGATTGTGACTTTGACTCGGATTGTAAATTCCATCTTGACTCACCATTGGACATCCAAACTGCTGCTGGTCGTAAACACCGACATGATTTGGATGATGGTCGTAAACACCGACATGATTCATCATTTGATAGTAACCTTGTTGGTCATTGACGGCAGGAAGAAACTGATCATCTCCAAAAGTACTAACCTCTTCTTGTTTCTGATGGTTCGAAGAGATTACGGGCCTCAAGGAGGCCCATAACTCATTGACTAGTTGAGGAGAGTTGAAAACGTCGTGATTTGGAAAAGCCGAGGAACCCACGTTAGCAGCTGAAGAAGATTCTCCATATTCAAGATGCGATTGACTCAGGGTTTGGTTCCTGTGGTGATAAAGCTCCTTAAGGTATTGATCAATGTACTTACACAGATCCTGACGATCTATATCAGTCAGCTTAAGCAGCTCTCCTTTCCCACTAAGACACTGGAACATGGCCTCCTTCATCGTCCTCTCCTTGTTTTCCTTCATCTTCTTGTTGCTACTCTCCATGGTTTTTGCGATGCTTTGTCTGAGAAAACCTTCGTGGTTCACCATTTTCTTCTCTTTCTCCATCCCTGGCAGCGCCTCGAACTTCTCCACTATCTTCTTCACTCCCGAGTTCGATGGCCACACCTCCGGGCTTGCGTTGTACGGACTGTAGATCACCGCACATGCTTCGATACCGCAGAGAACGGAGAGCTCGTGGATCTTTTTGATAAACCCTTTCTTCCTCTTGTTGAATGTTGATTTCCTCATCGAATCATTGGCGATGTAAGCTAGGTTTAGCTTCTTCCTCGTCATGATGATGATGACCACACGATAATGCTTTTTGTTTTGTTTGTGTCTAGTGTTTTTTGTATGTTGCCTAGCTTTTGTTTTTTCTTCTTCATGAGATTGTTTATATTATAAAGGGTTGTGAATGGTCCAAATGATGTTATGTCATCTAGTTGGCAAATTCAATTAGAATTAGTGTTGCTAGTAATTTCATAAAAATATAATCATACTCATGAAATGGTGCTTATGCCACGTTGTATATTATCAGCGACGAAATTTGTTGCTCTCGCTGTAAAAAGCTTATTGTCTTAAACAACGTAGAGAGGCTACGAATATTCTATCATCACTAAAGGTTGTATTCCTCTGTAAAATTTGGATATTACCTTCTTATGGCTATGAATGTGTAATTTGAAAAGAATAATAAGAAATTGGTGTTTTATTTTAAGAAGATACATTGTAACTATAAATAGTAAAATTGCTGGCAATGCAAGTATATATACCAATATGTCTCCACATTATAGACATTCATCACCTTAGGTAGCTTGAATAAACAGATAATATGTACATTCCCTCAAATCATTTACCTTCTTGAGCATTCGGATTGAATGACTTTTTTTAGAAAACATATATTATACATTGCATCTGCCAAATTATGTATTAGGATTTAGTGACTAGTTTAGAAAATATCGAATGTATCATGCATGCATCTTCTAAATCATATCTCTTTTCGGATGTGACAGAAAATGTTTTTTTTTATATATTCAATTAATTTTACAGCCTATAAGGGGCTTTTTTCAGTTTTGAAAAAATGACAATTACACCTCTTTTTTTTTGTTTTACAACTAATTACACCTTTTTCTTAAATTAAGATTTTTTTTAATAGTTAATGCATTTAGTTAGTCGTAGCGTTCCTTCAAGCCCATCGGATAAACCATACGGCCCGAATCCAAAGATGAGGTTTAATAGTCCAAAGAGTTCGATGTTTACATACGATATAATCGAACCACGTAAAACTCCGAAATTATGAAGGGCCTTGCGTCGTCCCATTCTAAGCTGATCATACGATTATATATTGCAATTAGTTAAATTTGATTTATCATCATTATTAATATTTATAATAGAGTTAGATCAAATATTTTTTAAGAAAAAAAGTTTACAAATAATTGTCTCACTGATGAGTAGTAGAGAGTAATTTTATTGGCTATTATTTAGTCCCTCCCAGCAAAACACTATCTTTAGTACTTTATATTTTATCTTCAGTTATAAGACCATTTCCATTCATAAATATCTAAAATAAAGTATCTAAAGTATATTATATTATTATAGTTTAATTATATAATTTAAGATTAAATATTAAAAAGCTAAACCAATAATATATAGATACATATCGCTGCCTCATTATTTGCTCAACAAATCCTTTTTTTTGGCTCAGAATTTACCCTCTAATTAACTTCTCAGCCATGATATAGAAAAAGACAATATAACCAGAAAACTCAAATTTGGCGAACTAAAAAGATAAAAGACATATCAAATCAAAGATTTGTCACTGAAAACATTTGTAAGAGGATAACACATAACATTCCCGGCATTGGCATATCCACCGCGTCAGTAAAGATGCTTAGGACTGGTGGTGATTGTAATGGTAGCTAGTTGTGAAAGCTCTCAGAATGTTTCATCATCTGCTCAACAAAACCATCTTGCTGATTCTGGTTCTGATTTGGATAGTAAACTTCATCCTGAAACACAATTGAATAAAAAAAAAAACATAGCTATTAGTATTGATTATGACTTTAGAAAAAAAAACATGGATGTTCATCACAAACACAAACCTGATTCATAACTGGATAATAAACGTCTTGGTCGCTAACGGAGAGGAGATTACTTGCAAGATAATCAACCTGAGATGATCCCTGGTTTGAAGACATCATGGACGGCAAATCGTTGGTTTGTTGAGGAGAGTTGAAGATTGGTGCACTCATAGAATTGCTTCCAAGACAAGGAGACTGGTTTGAAGAGGTTATGGACTGAAACTCGTTGCTTAGCTGAGGAGAGTTGAAGAATGGGGCACTCGTAAAGGAAAAGGATTCCGCTTCAGCCATAGTGGTTGGCGCCATGTCCGCAGCGATAGCCATCGAGGAAGATTCACCGGTTTCAAAATGTAGATTGTCGTTTAGGGTTACGTTTTTATGATACTGAAGACTCTTGAGATATTGATCAATAAACTCACACAAGTTACGGCGAGTGATATCGTTCATAGTCAAACCTCCCATGTTCCCATGAAGACAATCGAACATGAGCTCCCTCATGAGTTTCTCCTTGTTAGCTTCAGTCAGATTTTGATTCTGCTTCTCCACTTTTGCGATGTTCTGAATGAGAAATTCTTCGTGGTTAACGGATAAGTAAGTCTTGTCCATCTCTGGCAACATCTCGAACTTCTGCATAGCGTTATACACCTCCGAGTTTGATGGCCATACCTCTGGATTTGAGTTTAATGGATTGTAGATGACCGCACACCCATCGACACCGCAGAGAATCTTGAGCTCATCGAGTTTCTTGATAAGTCCTCTCTTCCTTTGCTTGTATGTTGCCTTCCTCACCCTGTCATCGGAAATGTAAGCTAGCTTTAGCTTCTTCCTCGGCATGACTACAGTAATTTTATGTGTTTTGCTAATGGTAAAACAAAACATAGTCTACAGACTATATAGTGGTGAAGGGGGTCCTCATGATGTGTTTTTTTTTTCTAGAACATTTCTTTCCACATGATGTGTGGTCTCCTATGTTATATGGAAACGCGTTTTCTAAAAATGTTGATTTGGAAAAGCGAGTTTCTAAATTGCAAAAATACGGTAGAAATGCGAATTTCCAATTTGAAAATTTTGATGGAAACGCGTTTTCTAAAAATTTTGATTTGGAAACGTAAGTTTCTAAATTGAAAAAACATGTAAAAATGCGAATTTCCAATTTGAAAACGTGCATATCTATTTTGAAAATGGTTTTGGAAGCTTTATTAAAAAATATATATATAAATAAATATTTAATATATATACTATTTTAGTGATTTAAAAATCTGTTTATTAATTACTCAAAACAAAAAACAATTAAAAGTTTTAAGTCATAAACAAAGTATATTATTTTTGTAAGTTAAAATTGATTTGATATTGATTATTGTTATCGTAAATATAAACAAAACAATATACTTTTTATTAGAGTTTTTAAAATAAATTTCACATTTTAATTTTTGTGTATGTAATTATATCTCATCGAAGTAATTTTGTCGATTGTCATATATTTTTTTTGTTAATAAAATTATAAAGTCAGAGTTCTTTCTTTTATTTAGAATTTACTTATCAAATATTTGATTATTGAATTTGTATAATATATACACATATAATTTAGATGTTTAATATTTGATTACATATATATGCATTTTTAAAACGTTTTCATTCTTATATTTTCAAAAAATGATGTTTGCACGTTTTGAAATGTTTTGTTTTTGCGTATCCATTTCTGTTTCCTGTTTCCATATAATATAGATTGTCTCTTTACTGAGTACTTTTGCTAGATATGTTAAGCATTAAATTAGTGAAAAAAATTTAGTTAATTGTACTAATTATAGTGCTTACGCAGTCATCTACATGAATACTATAAAATTATTTTGTGAGACGAGACTACAAGTGTACTGGTGACCTTTTTTTCTTCTTGAACTCGATTACTTGTGTGGTGTACATTGTAAGGCTATGCTCACATTAAAGCGCCACTTAGCAAATACTGTGTGAAAATGTCCTTCTGTTCTTATGATGAATATTGATGATGATGATGTAAGATTATATATCTTTTAGGATTTTTGTGGTTTTCGTTCTATTTAATAACTAAAAACTCCCAATGTGTCAGTTTTTTTTTTTTTGAATAACCAGTTTCAGAATTATTATGATTGTTACATATTTTTAGAATGTAATTCACGTATATTAGGGTCTGACCAGCTGATGATTACAGAGTGAGGAAATTTTTGAATGTTATCTTCATAAGTATATAAATTTATATATTTGCGGGAAAAAAACTATTATCAATTTATAAAATTTGCTATGGATTTGGATCATCGAGTTTTATAAAAAATTTAGTTTTAGTGAATGGACAAATGCTTTATCGTGAAAACCTCCTGCAAGCAAATAAACATCTTGATATGCTTTAAACTAAAAATCTTGATTTACTCCATTTACCGGCCAATATAGATATGAAGAACTATAAACCAACGATTAAAATTACGATATTTTATCATAGCTTTTTAGTATTCATAGATCACTAGCCAACCTATCACATATAGCTTTTTACTACGTTATTGTTCTTGTTTAAATAACCAATAACATTTATGATATTATGATTCTTAAATATATTTAGTATGTATTCTATGTACGTACATCTGGTGTTACGATACTGTATATGCATATGCAATTATACACATACATGAATTAAAGATATTACATATATGCGATAAAAAAACCATTATCATTTTAGTAATTGTTGCATTGAATATCCACAATTTGTAATTTTGTATATCCATTTTCTTTAAAAAAATTTAAAGTGTTAGAAAAAAACTTAGTTACTAACTGATAATATTATATAAGTCTTAGATTTTAAAAAGAAACGATCATATAATCTGCAATTAATATGTTAAATCTCAACGTTTGTATTTTGTATTTCAAAATTAAAAAATTCAAATTACTAAATCCATTGAACTAAAAAAATAAATAAGCATATTAGAAAGAAGAAAAATAAATAAACACATATTAGACCAACAAATAACAAAGAAATAAAATAAAAAGAAGAGTATCACAAACATTAAGAATTATAATAACTCTGACAACAAAAGGGAACTATAATCATAAAAAAAGAACGTAACAACGTAGATAAAATGAGTTGCAATGTAGATTTATAAAATTGAGGAAAACAACAACGAAAAAACACTTAATAAATGATAATTTTGGCCTTCTTGAATGTGAATGTCCACTCTCAACGCTTTAACGGAACCATAAATTATTGTTGGGATTTGGATTGGCACCAGAGATGATATTGGTTGAACTGGTAGTGGCCGGAGCAGTAGAAGAATCGTTAGGGACTTGCTGCTGTTGGAGGTGATGATGCTGGTGGATCTGATGCTGGTGGTGATGGCTACGACCGTGGTGGTTATCATCCATAAACGGGAAACCCATTTGTTCAGCCGCATAGTTCATCTGCTCGGGATTGTTTACCATTTCCATGAACCATTGTTGTTGGTTCTGATTATGATTCTGGTTAAGATTCAGGTTACGAGATTGTTCATAGAATCCAACATGTGGAGGCACCGGATGGAGATACTGCTGCTGATGATGCTGATGCTGAATAGAGTTGAAAAAAGCTGCAGCAGCCGCAGCTGAGGAAGAAGCACCCACCTCATGAGTTGTAGCGCCTTGAGTGGTTGTAGCCGTCCCAATCGCCAATGATTTAGCGGCTTCAGAGGGAGATGTAGCCGCAACAGCATTTGAGGATTCGCCGACCTCCATGCCAGAGTTCCCCAAAATTTCGATCCTGCGATTAATATCTTTAAGGTATTGCTCAATTAGATAACCTAAATCATTAAGATCCATAATATTCAGATGAAACATCCCCATGTTTCCGACCAAACATTGGAACATGACTTCAGTCATCTCTATCTCCCTGTTGTCTTTTCTTTGTCTCTTTAAATGCTCCGAGGCTTTGGCTATCCTTTGTCTGAGAAATGTCTCCTGGTCCACCATTTTCTTGTGCTGGTCCATCTCCGGCAACGTTCGGAACTCCGTAACCACCCTTTGCACACCAGAATTCGATGGCCACACCTCGGGATTGGAATCATAAGGACTGTAGATGATGGCACAAGCAGTAATGCCACAGAGAGTTGATAGCTCGTTTACTTTCTTCATCAAACCCTTCTTTCTTTTCTTAAATGTTGCTTTTCTTGAGGAATCATTTGCAATGAAAGCAAGTTTTACTTTCTTTCTTGTCATGAAATGTTTTCTTTTTCTCTCTCACTTTTTGTTTTGTTTTGTTTTGTTATGTTGTGTATTGAGTTAGTAGATGAGTTATGTTATATATATACTGATGGAAAGGTACAAAATTTTGTTTCTTTTAATTAAAGATTTTTTAAGCAAGTTTTTTTAAAAAATTAAATATTATTTACAGCAAATAAACAATATAAATCATATCAAATTAGTAAAAATATCCAGAGCAAATAATTGCAAATATTTGAGACAATTGTTAAGGTTTGGTTTTACAAATCTGTCGAAATTATTTTTCAATACATTTCTGAAACTGTTTTTCTTTATTAAAGACTTTGAATATGGGTTATTTTTACTTAAGTATTATAGAGATAATTCTCTAATAGTTATAGTCATAAATACTATATCTATTTTAGAAAATGTTAGAAACTTACAATGTCCATCGTAAAGTATATATTTATATTATTTATAAGTTAATCAGTTTATAAATAATGTTTTTAAAAAATTAATGCATATATTTCTGTAAAATAATACAAAATAATTATGGAAAAATATTAATGTATCAAATTTTGAATATTTTCAAATTTTGAATAATACTGAAGAATTAGTAGAAAAAACGCATTTAGTGAAAGAGATACTAGTGAATCTTGAATTATGTATATAATATTGCATTTAAAAAAACAGATTCTGGATTTGATCAATTGATTGATAGATAAGTGTATTTTTATATTGATAATAAAAATACAATGTAAAAACATCTACTCAAAGATTATACATTTTTGGACAATAGCATTTATTTTTATGATTTAGTAGTATTTTTTGAATTATTAAACATTTTTTTGGTCAACTTGAATTGATAAACATGCATATTATTGCATTTTTAAAAGGAGATTCTAGATTTGGGTCAATTGAAGAACAGATTCATGTATTTACCTATTCATACTAAGAAATAAAATGCAATAAAATCTTCTAGCATTCATTTTTTCATTTCAATAAAATTTGTGGATTTATAAAGTTGTATGTGCTGTTATATGTTTCAATACTGAATATATTGAAAATTAAAATAAAAAGATTGCAAACACAAAACATTAGGTGTTAAATGAATTTTGCAGTGATCAAAATTTATATACCAAATTAAAACCAATTATTGATATATCATGGTTCAAAAAAAACATTGCATTTTGAATAGATAAACGCAAAAATTATACATACAAATTCAAATGATTTCATTTAGAGTTTCAATATTTATAATTATTGATTATATTATTTACTATTATTACAAAAATGCGATAATAATATTTTTTGGATTGTAAATTAGAATTTTTATTTTTTTTCATCAGAATTCATTTTTATAGTACAACCTTCGAATTTGTCCAAAAATAAGATTTGTGTCCTACATAATACATAAACATAATACGTATGTCATGTTCTTATTTACAATTATTAATTTTGAAAAATCGATGGTGTGTAAATATTTCAAAGGTTTTTGTAATTTTGGCATTATTATTTTGAATTATCTATATTTTTAGTGTAAATTAAGATTTGTTTTTGGATAAGAACAAAATATTTTATTCTAAATATAGTAATGTATTATGGAGAAAGAAAAAAAAATACGTAATATTGACGTCTATGTATGTATGACAAAAAGAAGTCATTTTGTTAAGTTGTGTCGTCAATACGTAATATTGACATCTAAATATAGTAATGTATTAAGAAGAAAGAAAAAAAATTCTTTTTGTTAGAAAATTATTTATATTTAGCAATAAAATAATTATTTATCTATAATAACATTTTGAATAAATGTCATTTTGTTAAGTTGTGTCGTTTCAAATTTATGGTTGCATCTTTTCATTATAAATAGTTACGTTTCTTTATCATAAATAATTGCGTTTTTTCATCACAATAGTAATTCGTGATTTTTCAAAACTATTTATATATTGCTCAAAACTACGTAAATTTTTTTTAGATCTGATAACAGTCCGAATAAATGCCACTAGCACTTTGATATATTGTGTTTGTTTCAAAATTTGTGGTTGTATCTTTACATTATAAGTGGTTGCATCTTGGTACTATAAATTGTTGCGCTTCTTTGTTATAGATCATTGTATTTTTTTCATCACAACTGTCATTCATGTTTTCTCAAAATTATTTATATTGTTCAAAACCACGTAAAAAGCTCATTTGCGTCTGATTTTTACAAATAATTATTTTTCGACAATGCTAATGAATAATCACTATCAAATCTGATGCTGATCGTAGAGATATCTCACAACGTTTAGATAAGTTACGTATTTTCATTATATTTTATTTTTTAACAGTTTAGTAATCTGGATAAATGCTATTTACAGTTTCATAAGTTATGTTTTTTCAAAATTTATGGTTGTGTCTTTTCAACATAACTGTTATTATATATAATATTTTTTCTTTTACTACTAGTTGCGTTCTTTAATTATAGATAATTTGTATTTTTCAAGATTATTTATATTGTTCAAAACTACATAAACAAATCATCTAATAGTGATTTCTACTTTCTTATCATAATTGTCTATCATATAAATATATTATATTTAGATAGTTTGCTATAAATAAAAAAAAATAAAAAATAATAGAAAATAACATATGATCATTATCCAACAATGCTAATTAAGAAACACTATCAAATCTGATGTTGATTATGGAGGATATCTCAAAACCCTCAGATAAATTGTGTATTATTATTATATTTGGTTTTATCAATGTTATTAGTATTTGTGTTATGGCTTCGTTTATAATTACGATTTTTTCAAAATGATGTATTCTAAAATTGAATAAAGATCAAATATGATTGTGTCTTTTCATTATATTTATTTTTATAACTGTAATTAAAGTTTATATCTTTTTAATATTTATTATATATATTTTTGTTTATAACCATTTATTTTACAGAAATTACATTTTTTACTATTTATATCTTTCTAAATTTATATTAAAAAATCTAAGTATTTTCATTATTTCTTTTTTTTATATATGCCTATTTAGCAAATAAATTTACTAAATTAAATGAATAAAGTTTATTATTACTTCATCGTGCCTGGATTTGATCAGTTGATTGACAGATACATGTATTTATATATTGATAATAAAAATATATTATACCTTTTTGGACAATAGAATTTATTTTCTGATTTAATAGTATTTTTTGAAATATTTTGAATCATTAAACATTTTTTTGTCATACATGAATCTGTTCATCAATTGGCCCAAATCTAGAATCTCCTTTTAAAAATACAATAATATGCATGTTTATCAATTGAATCTGTTAATCAATTGAATTGATAAACATGCATATTATTGCATTTTTATAAGGAGATTCTAGATTTGGGTCAATTGAAGAACAAATTCATGTATTTACCTATTCATACTAAGAAATAAATCTAGAATTATTAAACATTTTTTTGGTTAATTTGAATTGATAAACATGCATATTATTGCATTTTTAAAAGGAGATTCTAGATTTAGTCAATTGATGAACAGATTCATGTATGACCGTTATCCAACAATGCTAATTAAGAATCACTATCAAATCTGTTGTTGATTATATGGAACATCTCAAAAACCCTCAACTAAATTGTGTATTTTCATTATATTTAGTTTTATCAATGTTATTAGTATTTGTGTTATGGCTTCGTCTATGATTACTAAATTTTTTAAAAGTTGTATTCTAAAATTGAATAAAGATAAAATATGATTGCGTCTTTTCATTATATTTATTTTTTATAACTGTAATTAAAGTTTATATCTTTTAAATATTTATTATATATATTTTCTTTTATAACCATTTATTTTATGAATTACATTTTTTACTATTTATATCTTTCCAAATTTATATTAAAAAAAACTGATTATTTTCATTGTTTCTTTAATTTATATATGCCTATTTAGCAAATAAATTTATAAAAATAAAATGAATACAGTTTATTATTACTTCATATTGATTGATAGATACATGTATTTATATATTGATGATAAAAAATACAATATAAATTAATCTACTCAAATATTATACATTTTTGGACAATAGCATTCACTTTCCTGATTTAATAGTATTTTTTGAATTATTAAACATTTTTTTGGCCAACTTGAATTGATAAACATGCATATTATTGCATTTTTATAAGGAGATTCTAGATTTGGATCAATTGAAGAACAAATTCATGTATTTACCTATTCATACTAAGAAATAAAATGCAATAAAATCTTCTAGCATTCATTTTTTTCATTTCAATAAAATTTGTGGATTTATAAAGATGTATGTGCTGTTATATGTTTCAATACTCAATATATAGAAAATTAAACTAAAAAGATTGCAAACACGAAGCGTTAGGTGTTAAATGAATTTTGTAGTGATCAAAATATATATACCAAATTTAAACCAATTATTGATATATCATGGTTCAAAAAAATTGCATTTTGAATAGATAAACGCAAAAATTAAAGATACAAATTTAAATGATTTCATTTATAGTTTCAATATTTCTAATTACTGATTATATTAATTATATTATTTACTATTGTTACAAAAATGCGATAATAATATTTTTTTGGATTGTAAATTAGAATTTTTATTTTTTTCATCAAAATTCATTTTTATAGCACAACCTTCGAATTGGTCCAAAAATTAGATTTGTGTCCTGCATAAACATAATATGTATGTTATGTTCTTATTTACAATTATTAATTTTGAAAAATCGATGGTGTGTAAATATTTTAAAGTTTTTGTCATTTTAGCAATATTATTTTGAATTATCTATATTTTTAGTGTATAAATTGAGATTTGTTTTTGAATAATATAGTAATGTATTATGGAGAAAGAAAAAAAAATTTGTAATACTGACATCTATGTATGTAGACAAAAAGAAGTTTATATTAGGAAGAAGAAAAAAAATTGTTAGAAAATTATTTATATTAAACAATAAAATGATTATTTATCTATAATAACAATCCGAATAAATGTCATTTTGTTAAGTTGTGTCGTTTCAAAATTTATGGCTGCGTCTTTTCATTATAAGTGTTGTATCTTTTCACTATAAATAGTTACGTTGATTGCATTTTTTAATCACAACTGTAATTCGTGTCTTTTCAAAACTATGTAAAAAATTATTTAGGTATGATAATAATCCGAATAAATGCCATTTGCACTTTGATAAATTGTGTTGTTTCAAAATTTGTAGTTGTGTTTTTTTCATTATAATTGGTTGCATTTTTTCACTATAACTTGTTGAGTTTCTTTGTCATAAATAGTTGTTTTTTTTCATCACCACTGTCATTTATATTTTTTAAAAATTATTTATATTGCTTAAAACCACGTAAAATTGTCATTTGGGTCTCATTTTTACATATAATTATTTTCTGACAATGCTAACGAAGAATCACTATCAAATCTGATGCTGGTCGTAAGGACATCTCACAACGTTTAGATAATTAAGTATTTTTTTATATTCTATTTCTTAACTGTTTAGTAATCTGAATATATGTCACTTGCACTTTTATAAGCTATGTCTTTTCAAAATTTATGGTTGTGTCTTTTCAACATAACTGTTATTATATTTATTTTTTTAGACTTTTATTACTAATGGTTGTGTTTTTTCATCATACATATATTGTATGTTTTCAAAATTATTTATATTGTTCAAAACTACATAAAAATATCATTTGATAGTGACTTTTACTTTTTTTATTATAATTATCTATCATATAAATATATTATTTAGATGGTTTGCTATAAATAAAAAAAATAGAAAATCTAACATATGATCGTTATCCAACAATGCTAATTAAGTATCACTACTAAATCTGATGCTAATCATGGGGGACATTTCACAACTCTCAGATAGATTGTGTATTTTCATTACATTTAGTTTTATCATCGTTATTAGTATTTGTGTTACGTTTTCGTTTATAATTACTAATTTTTTTAAAAAGTTGCATTTTAAAATTAAATAAAGATCAAAAATTGATTGCGTCCTTTTTTTTTTCGTAACTGTAACTGAAGTTTATGTATTTTCAATATGTATTATATAAATTTTTGTTTATAACCATTTATTTTACGAAAAATTACATTTTTAGTATTTATATCTTTTTAAATTTATAAAAAAAATTCTGATTTTTTATACATGCATATTTAACAAAAATAATTATTAAAATAAAATAAATGAAATTTATTATTACTTCATCGTGTTTTCATCCCAAACTTGATCTGAAAAATGCATTGATCGTGTAAACAAATTTTTTATCTATTTGAAGACTTGTTTTAGATATTTATTTAATTTTGTTATGACTTTTATTTTATGCATTTTATTTATAATTATTTTAAATAATTTTTTAAAATTTGTTTAATACACAGCAAATTAATCCCGCGAAAATAACAAAAACAAATCAACACAACAATAACACTAAACTCTCTCCATGGCTTGACACCTCAGCTTTTTGAAGCTTTATTAACATGACACCTCAGCAAAAATAATCATCAATCAAAACATTTTATTAATACATCTCATCTACTTATTTTAATTTTTAAACTTAAACCCATTAAAAACCCAAATATTTTTTCTATTACTTTTTTTTTAATTTTTTACCAAATCCAAGCCCAAATAATTAATAGCAGCAAATAAAAAAATCATTATTTTATTTTTTTGCCAAATCCAAACCCAAATAATAAATAAAAACAAATAAAAAAATTAAATCATTATTTTCTTTTTTTTGCCAAAATCAAATCCAAATAATAAATAACAACATATAAATAATAAAAAAAATCTAGCTATTTGTTTGTTTGACATAGACGTATATGATTGAAAAAGTGTAGGCTCAGCATCAACTATGTTTCCATGACAACGACGCAAAAAATGTTATGTTATAAGAAGCTCACACATCAGCAAAAATTTGAACCGATAAAAACATAACAATTTCTTAGTTTTCACGTGAAAACATAATTTCACGGAAGATAATGCAATTTTTAGTTTTCGCGAAAAATTGTAGTTTATTTGTTTTTGTAGGAAAGCGTGATTCTGGACTTGACGAGAAAATGACTTTTTTTTGGCAGGAATAGACGATTTCTCAGTTTTTGCATGAAAAATAAAATTTTTGATTTTGGCGGGAAAATATAATTTTTTTTTTTGGTTTTTGGAAGATGATAAAATTTTTTGGTTTTTGTGAAAAAACGTAATTTCTCAGCTTTGGTGGAAAAACACAGGTTCTCACGGGAAAATAAAATTTTAGGTTTTAGGTTTGACGAGAAAATGAATTTTTTGGTTTTGGCGGGAATAGGCGATTTCTCAGTTTAATGGAAAAATAAATTTTTTTTTGTTTTGACGGGAAATGCGATTTCTCGATTTTTGTAAGAAGATAAAATTTCTCTGTGCTAAATTTTCTAGTTAAAATATGTTTACAGTAATCAAAATTTAATTATTTAACTTTAACTAAAATGATATTTTAAGAGTTCAAATATAATTTTATATTTAGTTCTTAAGCAATAGTAATGATTTTGATATGAATGTTATTGATTATAGTTTGGTAGTTTTACAAACATATGTTTATAATAAAATATTTGATAAATAAATAAATTTTATGATTCAAAATAATTATATTAATTAATAAATCTTTTTTTAAAATGGTATTTTGCTTTATATAATTACAAAAGAGGTTCAAGTGGTAATTTATTGGAGAAAATAGATTACATTTACCATTAGCATGAAGGTACTAAATATATATATTTTTTATTCGTATATATTTTATTTCTATATATACATTTATAATTAGTTAGCTAACTAAATTTAATAGCAAATTATAATTTTGAAAAAAAAATATATATATATATATAATGTTTGTTCAGATTTAAAATATATAAATACATAACTTAAGCTAATAAAAAAAAATATAATACTCATTTAAATTATAAAAATAATTTTATTATATTAAAAATTTATACAAAATTTAGAAAAATATTCCGCAGCATAGCGTGGATAAATACCTAGTTAACTGTAAATAACCAAGTACACTAGTTGCCTAATTTTATGTTTTTAACCATTTCAAAAGTTACATGATCTTAAACCAAGCCCAACCACGGCCCAGTTGTTTCAGCTACTACCCAATAAATCTAAGTGAACCACATTAATAAACCAGGTGCTTGGTTAAGTTGCAGAAACGGTTTAATAGTGAACTGAACCAGAGAGACTGTGAATCCGTCGGAGAGAAGCTCTTCACGATCTAACCGTTGGAGGAGAAGATCATCGAGAGAAAAGCAGAGGCGATTAAATTAGGGCACTTTAGGAACCAAGTTGGAGGATTGCAGAGGCGTATCGCTGAGAATTGAAGCTTTGGTAAGATCAATTAGAGAGAAAATGGAATCTGTAGATTTAAAGCTTTGCCATGGCTTCTCTGATTTCTCGCTTATGTATGTTTCTAGGTACTACTTCATTTAGTGTGTATAACAGGATTTGTGAAACTGAGTCGAAGAACTATTGTTTATTCAGGAGGAAGCCATGAAAGTCAAGATCTTGCGTATCCTTTTTTTTTCCTTCATCTTCTCAGTTTTCTGTGGATCAAAAGTTAATAATGGGTTGCACTAAGATTTAGAGCTGGTGATAAGTCTGATCATCTGAATATAACAGAGAAAAGCAAACTGTTGCTCTTAACTTTCATATGCTATTTGTGTCCTGCATACCCCAAAAACACAGAGTAAGCTCCTTGCCCCTTTTAGCCTATGTGTTGTCTTTCTCTCTTATACAATCTTATAGGCTCCAACACATGAGCTTACAATGTGGAGTTGCTTTTGTCTTAACGGGATTGTTTGTTCTGGGAACAACAGATGGCATGCAGTTGCTTCATGGACATGGGATGCTCAAGACGAAACATGTGGGATATGTCGGATGGCTTTTGATGGTTGTTGTCCCGACTGCAAACTCCCTGGGGATGATTGCCCTCTAAGTAAAGTTCGCTGCTTTCATGTCTAAACTTTATATTGGTTGCTTAGGACACACACTCTTTCTCACGCTTGCTGAAACATTGCTAGGCTGTTTTATCTACTTCTGAAGTAAAGAAACGAAAGTGCTTGTCTTAGACCGTTTTTGTTTTGGTGTTGGGGCAGTTTGGGGAGCTTGCAACCACGCGTTTCATCTGCACTGCATATTGAAATGGGTGAATTCGCAGACGAGCCAAGCTCATTGCCCTATGTGCCGAAGAGAATGGCAGTTCAAGGAGTAGGCAAAAATGGATGCTTTCGGATGCTCAATTGCTCAAAGGGACGAGAGAAGTTTGGGGAAAAGTGGTTGAGCTTCGGTTCTACATATAATTTGTGTGAGCTTTCATCGTCATTATCTATTTCTAGGTTAGTATTCTTTGTATCGTATCGCCTTTTGAGTTGGTTAATACTTGCTTGATTCTTAATTACAGTAGTTTTGCATTTGTTTATTTAAAACAGCTAAAGTTGTGATAAATTAGAATTAGAGTCGTAGACGAATTGTCCACCGTATGGTTAGTGACTCGTCCCACACAAAAAATTATTAGGAGACCAAATGTACACAGAGAAACTTAGATACCATTAAATTGTATAGTCGAATACAGTTGAATAATTTCTTGATTAAAGTATGCTTTCAAATAGATAGATGAATTAAAATTGGGTAATGCTATAACAACTGGTGGGTGAAGGCGTTGTCGTTCCTCGTGGGTATCGCAAATGGTGCCAAGTAATGGGGGCCAGTTTATTGGTGATGAAATGATGCGTGTGACAATATATAACGTAAGGTTTAAATTTAAAGGTGGTCCTATGATCCACCAAGGCAACACAAGTTCCAATTTCGTAGTAAATAATGAAGAATCGAATAAGCAAAGTTCTTCGCACAAAACAAAAGGATCCCTTCTTTATATCAACAGAAATTATATCACAATGCAAACACAACAATGATGACTAATTTACTCGAAACATAGATGAAACGATGAATCAGTCACACACAGCAGAGAGGAGAACACGACGAAACAGCAGCTGTTCCTACATAAAACAACAACAAGTGTAAAGAAAACTTTGTCAGAAGATTCTTGTACTATTTGTTAAACCAACAAAAAAAATATGAAAAAAAACTCAAAAAATATATTTTAAGCTAGATATTTATCTCTATTACTATCAGTACTGTTCATATTATCTAGTCATTTTTCGTAAATACAATTAACAATATAGCTCACTTGATTTACATTTATACTCTATTAGTCAGTGTACTATTTTAAAATTAAACGATATTTTCATAACAGAATTTTGCTAATTTTTGATGATAAATATCTGTTTCAAACAGATTATCCGAAATAATTGTCGCTAATTCAGGAGAGAGAGAGAGAGAGCTTACAAGGAGATGAAGAGAAACGAAGAGAGGAGGATAGATGATGAATCATTTGGTGAGGACATAAAGGGCGTAGAGAATCCCAGGAAGATACCCAAACAGCGTCAAAACCAAACAAATCCAAAACTCGACCTGCAACCAAATATTTCCAATTTAATATATGTGACAACAAGAACAAGAACAATAAAGAACTACATACGAGTCGACTAATTATAAAAATGAAAAAGCTGGATTTATAGATGAGAAGATCAGAGGGAGAATTAAAAAGTAAATTACCCCGCAACCAAATCTGAGGAAGACGCCAAGAGGAGGCAAGAGGATAGCGAGAAGAATATCGATGAACGTAGCTGTTCCCATTTTTCAAGCTTTTGTTTTGAGAAAATTAGGGAATAAAAGCTTCAAAGTGTGTGTTTCTTCTTTACTCTCTCCTTCTTGTATTATATAGACCAACTTTTGAGATATTTATGAGCCACGTGGTGCCTACCTTTATACGTCTTTTATTTGTTTTCCTTATTCTTTAAGCTAAATGAGGAATTTTTGATTTTTGTAGGGATTTCGCAAGATATTGTTTCCTAATATTCCGTAATTACTGATTAGCATTAGGAGCATTCATAACAAGATTGTAAAACGCGAAAGAATCGTTCGCGTCAGTCTTTCTTTGCGCGTCACAGAACCGTGTTGATGACGGTACATGTATTTAATCGTTTTCAACATTATGAATCCTAAAGAGTCAACTTCATATTGTACATCAAAATTATCTCGTGAACATTTGGTTTTATTGTAACCGACTCAAATATAAAAATAAAATAATATTTCTGTAAATACGGTTAGTTTACAATCACATATGTTACATTCATGTTCTTTATAATTGTATCATCACGATCAAATTATTTACCTCTTCTTCTTTTTTTTGTCGACAATTATTTACCTCTTCAATAAAATGATTTGCCGTTGCAAACAAAAATAGATGATGTTGTTGTTAAACCTACATAACAGTTGACGTAATATCGACGTAATATTGCATGTATGTGTTATTTTTTTTTCTATAATTCTCTGGCAACATGCTACATGTAACATACTAACATGTATATGTAAATTACTTAAATTTTGGTTTTTGTTTTTGCTACGATATATTTGAATTGGTCTGTGATGATCCATAAATTACCTAATATGTAGTAAATTACTTAAAATCTTAGTTTTCCATCCAATACATTTCTTTAATTTTCCCTTTTTCACGGTTTATAATTGTTTATTTTTTGCGAAAGAAAGCTAAACAGAAATACTTATTATCTACTTCTTATCCATGATTTACTTTGTATAATATATATACATATACATATATATATATATGCTGGTTATTTGGTATTGCTATTATATTTCAAAATGTATCGATTGGAAACTTGGCTATCATCAAAGCACAATGCGCGCGACGTACGCTAATCTAGACGTGCGCATCATTCGCAATGCATCTAGGAACCCGAGTCAGTATTAATCGTATCTTCGCCTCGATTCATTTCGATTACATTAACAAAACGTATATATGTATGATGTATCAAATGGGGTTACTAACAACCGGTGGGGATGATGATCATGATTGTGTTGTATTTCACATGGACCACGTGAGTTTAGCATATGGTGCAAAAAAAAGTTTGTAATGAGGTGAGACATGTGACGATGAAGTTATATGAAGTTGGTTTTACAATTTTAACGGTGGTTCAATATCTAAACCTACGATCCATTCCCAACATTATATAACACGAAATAGACAAGTTCCTCACATAAACCCAACGATTCCTTTTTCTTACCAGCATACATTATATAATAATACGAATACAACAATGATAAAATAATTACTCATAACACAGAACAAATGATGAATCAGTCCCAATGAGAGATCACGACGAAACAGCTGCTCCTCATACTGTCATAGACAATCACAATAAATTCAAAATAAAACTTTGGTCAGTAAATTCCTTCAACTATTATTATTTTTATGTCATCGATACTATTTTACGATGGTTTTACAAAAATGTGACATTTAAAGTGAATAGTTATAACTTGTAACAATCTCTCGTTAATTTCATATCAGGATTAGGGTGGCTTTTACAACTTAGAAAATGTGGTTCACCTAACACTTTAACTTGATTAAGTCAACTAAATCAAAGATGGTTCATCTTGATTACATCTCGTACGCATGTATGTTTATATAATTTAATATATTGAGGGAGAGAGATCGTAGAGAAAGCTTACAAAGAGGCCGAGAGAAAAGAACAGAGGAGAAAGGAATAATCAGTCTTTGGTAATGGCATAAAGAGCGTAAATGATCCCGGGAAGATAACCAAACAGCGTCAAAATCAAGCATATCCAAAACTCAATCTGCAATAAGGACAAAACAAGTTGTCGACGTTTTATAAAATACGAGTAATTATAATATTAATTTAAAGATCACAGTAGTAGTCCAAATTGAAGATGAATTGTACCTTGCAACCAAATTTGAGAAAGACGCCAAGAGGAGGCAAGAGGATAGCCAGGAGGATTTCTACGAAAGTGGCTGTACTCATTTTCAAGCTCTTAACAGTTTTTTAAGAAAATATTTATGCTTAAACACTGATTTATAAGATAACTTCTCTTGATTGATTGTGGACTTTTTACTCTACAAGTTATGTCTCGCACTAATATATAGAGACCTGGCTTTAGAAATATTTTATGCGACAACCACGTGGTGCTTACTCTGCATTTTGTTCCTTTTTTATGGGGTAATATTTTTTAAATTTTGGTAAAACCTTAATGAATTAATTGTTTTTACTCTTATTTGGGGGTGTATCTAACAAGTAACAGCTTTCTTGAACAAATCATATCTAACGAGTAACAACTTTCTTCAACAAATCAAGAAAATAATCAATCCAAAAATAATAATTAATTATTTCCTGAAATCTATAATTTCTAATAATTTATTCATTCCTTACTGTACTTTTCGTTTTACTATATAATGGATCAAATCAAATGATCAAATATACTCATTAAAGAATTTAGTAGCAATTTTTGTTGTTGTTAAAATGGTATTTTTATGATACTAACACATATGTAAAATAAAACAGTACATTATATATAATATTAAAATAGGATTAACATGTAAATTAAAAATTTCCTATAAATTTACTTGCTGACAGAAGAAAATTATAACAAACAATTGTTTTAAGAGTAGGACCAATTATGAAAACCTTATATATTGACTAAACTTTATGGTACTCGTCAGATACTTAAGTGGCTTAACACAGAAGGTACACGTATCAGAAGCACAACCCATTATGTGTATTTTTCTTTTATTAACATTAACACGCTAATGTTATTGAAACTATAACATAATTTGTCGGAATACGAATGTGGGCCGGGACAAATACCGCCGTTGAGGTCGGCGAGTTGTACTCCGTATGGCTTATATATAACTTTCAACACCTTCTACCAACAAGAACACGACACGTGGACCACTCACATGCCTTCAGGTCTGTCAACACATTATCCGGCCGGCCTCTCACGTTTCAAGTCCATGCTTCATTACTTTACACTCCTTTGGTAGTTTGGTGTGTGTTTGTATTCACTGTATATCGTATTCGTATCAATGCAGATGCCAGCGTGACAGGCTGCATGTAATTCAAGATCTGCATATTATTAATTTGTTATGTACTAGTCTGAATTTGAACTTAATTAGAGGCAATAACCGCCAATTAAGGGTTGTTATCCAAAGAACTAAAATTATGGTTGTTGACGTAATAGTTTTGGATTCATATCAACTTCCGTTTTTTTTTTCTTTTGTAAAGAAAACTCTAGTGAGTGAAAGTTATTTAGCTAACCAAACAGCCAAATTACATATATTAATGACAGCAAAGTCTTAGCTGTTACGAATAATCTTTGGAGCAAAGCAAGAAAAGTTGTAAAATAATTATATTTTGAGATCCTTAGTGTGGATCATTCTACTCTGGCTTCGTCTGTCAGCATAATAGCATATGTTCTTCTTTCTTCCTAAAGTTGCTTTCTTGACACTCAACACTGCTTCATAATTTATAAAATGACCATTATTTCATATATTAATAATATTCTTATTTTTATTTAAAATATTATGGCCGACACCAACGCATAACCGTGGCACCGAATTGACACCACACATATTAGTAGTTATGCTTTATATATATGATGATGTCCTAATCAAAGTGGTTATGTCATTTTTTTCTTGTTGTATTTTAACAAGCGGTGATATTTTTGCTTTAAAACTATTTGTTCTTATCCTTTTGAATTTGTCGATTCCTGTTATGCAAACTTGACTTTAAACATCTAAAAATGTCCAGATTTCTATTTTCTTCTTTTGGAGTTCAAATTCGCTGGTATTGCTATTTTCTGCGATAGAAAATGACAAAAAAAAAAAAAAAAAAAACAAAACAAATGGTTTACCTGAAAAACTCATAGCAAAAAAACAAAAAAAAAAAAAAAAAAAACGATTCTGCCGACATAGGTTTTACCTTACACCTATTTGGTATTTTGACCACTATTTTCATGTTTTGATATTTGGATTCAATCTGAGCCCATTACGGGCCCATTCTAAAGGATCGCTGAAACTGGTAATAACGGACGTGAAACTGACATGAAGCAATTTTTCCCTCCAAAAAAAAAACCCTCGTGGAAACATCTTCCGTGCACTCACGCCAATTCGGCCGCCATAGACGTCATTTCTCGCCTCTGCAAAGTTACTTAGCGCTTCCTTATTGACCCGAACCCTTCTTTACGTTTTTTCTCAGATCCATGCCTGAATCGTTTTGTTTCTTCGCGATCTTCCCTAAATCGATAAAAAGCTTGCTGCTTTTCTCCTCAGTCGAAAAATGGCGATCCTCTGTTTCATTTGAAAGCATGGGAACATTTGTTCTGTCTTTTTTTGGAAACGATTTGATCAATAAAACTGTGGGGGAGATGTATTGTCTGGAGAAGGTGTTCGACAAAATGTCTCAAACGAAAACTCCTAAAATTTACATTCTTATTAATATGTTTTTGATTCTGCGATTTCATATGAAATGGTGGTGGCTTATTCATGAAATGTAATGCTGATGAATGATGGAGTTACGTCAACGACAGTAATTTTGAATAAATTTCTCAAAATACATCCATATAACACAAAGGCAAATCTTTGTAGGTTTACAGATATAAGTTATAACCACACAAAGCCATAAAACAAAGAAAAAGAATGTTCTGTTTTTTTTTTCTCAACACGAAGCAAAACCAAGAAAAATAAATTAAAATACCTGAAACACTGTAAGAAACCATCGAGTCTTTATCACTTGACTTTGACTTCTTCTTTAGATTCTTCCGTAGAGATAGTCTTGGAGCTTGGAGATTTTCCAATGATTGCTTTCTTTGCCTTAACAAGAGATTGCTTCACCTTTGACATAATGCTGTTTGAATGTTTTTGCTTAACAACAACTTCTTTGGTTGTGACTTCTGGTTCTTGTTTCGGCTCATCGCTCTCTTTAGCAACAGTTGCTGTTTCCACAACCTCTGCTGCTTTCTCTGTAATTGACTCCTCCTGTTTGTTTGCTTCAGTTTCTTTATCTCTTGATTCTGTATCAGTTTCTTTCACTGTCTCTTCGCTCTTATCATCTGCAGGAGGTGCTTCAGTATCTTTCTTGACGTTCTCATCTTCTGTGGGTAGTTTAGTTACGACATCTTTCGCTTCACTCCCATTCTCTTTTTCATCCTTTGATGGTTCTACCACTACATGCTTCTCTTCAGTAATGGCCTTTTCAATGACATCAACAGGAGAAGAAATGTCCCCTTCAGCCTCCTTCGTGGTGTTTGTGTCTGAATCTTGGTTTGTCGGTACAGCTTTCTCGGGACACAAAGCAGAAACAGATTCAGAAGTGTTTTCATCCTTTGATGCTTCATCCACAACATGCTTCTCCTCAGTAATGGCCTTCTCAATGACATCCGCATGAGAAGAAGCGTCTCCTTCACTCTCCTTTTTAGGGGCAGAGTCTGAATCTTGGGTTTTCAGTACAATTTCTTCAGGGCACAAAGCAGAACCAGACTCAGAAGTCTTTTCCTCCTTGAGATTGATACCGGTCTCAACAATTCTCTCCTCAAGCTCAACCTTCGCTTCTTCTTTTGTTTCAGGTGTTTCCTCTGCCTTTACTACTTCAGCTTCTGGTGCCAATTCCTTTGTTTTCTCAGGTTGCGTAACTTTTTCAGAAGCCTCTGGATTTGGCTTGACTTCAAAAACATCAGCATCTTTGATTTTTTCGTCTACAGTCTCTGCAGATACTTCTCTAACAAGTTGAACATCAACTGGTTCAACTTCCACCATTTTGCCTCCGGCTTCATCTGTTGACTCAGAAACATCAACCACTTTTGTCTCCTCCTTATCCTTACTGTCTTCTTCAACAACCCTCTCCACGATTTGCTTCTCTTCTGCTTTCTCCTCACCAACAGATTCAACGCTCTCTTTCACAGGGGTTGCTTCTTTAAGTTCCACTTGTTCAGCTACAATCTTCTCACCATTTTCATCTTTCCCCTCTTCTGTTTTCTCCTCACCAACAACTTTAGCATTAACCTCTTCAATAAACTGGGTTGGTTCTTTAAGTTCCACTTGTTCAGCTACCTTCTTCTCACCATCTTCATCTTTCCTCTCTTCTGATTTCTCCTCATCAGCAGCTTCAGCGTTAACCTCTTCAACAACCTCTTTCACAAGGGTTGGTTCTTTGAGTTCCGCTTGTTCAGCTACCTTCTCACCACTTTCATCTTTCCCCTTCTCTGTAGATTCCTCTGCTTTCACAACTGCTGCAACCTCTTTCACAACCGCAGGTGGTTCTTTCTCCGGTTCACCAGCAGGAGTTTGATCAATTTGTTCCTCCTTCGTAACCGTCAGGTTTGAATCTGAAACCGATTCATCTTCCACCACATCCGCAGTTTCCGGCAAAACAATCTCTTTTTCCATCAACTTTGCTTCCTCGTTCACCTTGTTCTCCAATGGCTGCATCAAATAAAAGTAAAACCCTCTTTACTATTCTCTTCTTAAATAGAAAAAAAAAAGTCACTAAGTTTTGCTTCGTTCATTGTGGAACTCACTAATCATACTTAGAAATGTAAACAGAATTGCCTAGAAAACGATAGACAAAGATGTTTCTTTTAGCACTTTATAATCCACAACTTTATATAAAAAGATCAACTTTTTTGTCCTTCTAATTATTGCTCTAGAATTCTCCAGATTCTTACAGAACAAGAGGATTAAAACCATGTTGAACATTCCAAAACATGGCCTTCTCAAACGAAATTTTTTATCCTCTCTACTCTAGCCCAAAACTTTCATAGTTGCAGGTATCAAGAGATTACATATATTGAGAGAGACTAATATCTTCTGTGAGAGCATAAGTATATTCGATAGTGAAAGTATATGGGTCTTGCGAGAACCAAAAAAGGATGCAGAAAACCTAACTATCAAGCTTAACGCAGAAAGGCACATATATACATGAGTGGAGTATAAACATATGTAATAAGATTCTCTGAAACAGAGAGAGAGAGAATTTTCTGAGCTAACTTACCTTTTCAGATGTAGTAGCAGTTGCGGTCTGAGAATCAGAAGCCATGAAAGAAGATTCAGAAGGAACTAGAAGAAGAAAAAAAGTAATGGACAGGGTTCGTTCGACTTGAAAAATTCAAGATGATTCTAATTATTATTTGCAAGAGTTGTTGAAGCAAAGATAGTTTGACTGGGAGAAGTTAAGAAACCACTCACACATATACACACACAGAAAGTGGGGAACACTAGATAGCTGTCACTCACCCTAAAACCAGGGTGTCAAGTGTCAACACACTCTGTATATTCTCTACTCTTTTCACTTTCTTTATCCTTCACTATTTTATTGTTATTATTCCTATCCATTATCTGCATTTTCCTTGGACATTTATGAAAACAAATAAGAATTCTTTGTGGGACCATTGTTTGACATTTCCAACATATGGATCATCTACCTGCAGTGCAAACAGAAGAAGAAGAATCATTTCATTTATGTGATTTCCTTACATTTATTGAAACTCTTATGAGCAAACTTGGTTTTGGAGTTTGTTATGGTGTTTCTAGAGCAACACAATCAATCATACATTTCTCCAATGAGGCATTGGTAAAATATAAAGGATACAAAGGCCTCTCTCCATTTTGATAGAAGCTGTTCTAAGGTAGGAATGTGTATATAATAAGAATAAAGAAGAGAATCAAACAATCATCTGAAGACCAAGTTGTGGCAGCTCTTGTCACACGGGTACGGGCAATCAACTAACTTCACCTCCGCTCTATCGAAATACCAATCTCCCACGGCTATAGCCACCGCCTACACAAATTCAAGATCCAAATTTCACAAGAGAGAACAAGATCCAGAACCTTTTTGTTAGCCTGTGTGGGGAAAGATTTTAGCTTTTTACCTTTTTCCTGATTACAGGAGAATCATCGGCGAACCAAGTGTCTTGCCTCTCGGTTTGGCAATGAGCAAAGCAAGAATTGATGAACAATCCATTCTGTCTAGACATTGAGAATCCCCTCACTACTCTCAGCATCTGATCCCTGAATCCTGTTCTCGGTCAAGAAAAAGATTGAACAATTTGAGAGATGCAACGCTTCAAAACGTGAAATTCTCAAGCTTTATGTTATGATGTATAGAGCAACAACAACCTTGCAAGAAACGCATTTGTGCAGGGGTACATTTTTCATGGTTTAGTCTGCAGTCATGCCAAAATCCACTAGGGTCCGCTGATGTTGGAGCTATACTGCTTTGAATCTGATTATAAAGACTTGTTCTGTGAGCCTAACCAAAGCACAAAAGCTTCTTCTTTATACACAAAAGAAAGAACATTACCTGCCATGTATCATATGCTGCGTTGACAATAAAAAGCGGAGTTTTCATCTGACTGATCAGATTTTGCGGGAAGAAACACTGTACAAGACTTTCAATTGTCAGTTTTCGGTTTGAAACAGCATCAGGATGAGAGAGAACAAAACAAAAAAGATTTTTACCGAGGTTGGATCCATATGGTTTGTGCACATACGAGGAAGGTTGTTCTTCACACTCTGATATGGTCAAGAAGATTTCTAAAGTTTCGTAGTGCTCTTCAAATGTAAAAGTAAAGAAGCTGTGTGCATGAAAGAGAAATCCCACCTGAAATTCTACTACACCATTGTATAAGTTCCTGATCGTGCGGCCACCAGAAACATCAGCTCTAATATTTAACAGAAACAAACCAGTCAATAACAGTTTACCAAATCAAGGGAAAAAGAAACAGACTTTTGAGTTGTGGGAGGGAAATAAACTAACGTGTCCAAGAACAAGCCTGCATCACTCAGGCACTTGACTTTGGTGGATCCAGGGAACAAGTTCCTAAACTCATCGCAGCGTAAAATTGCTGCTAAGCCACCAGCTGAGCATCCAGAGAGAAGTGCCTGACATAATATTAAACAGTTTTTTAAAAAACCACTCTTGGCTTTTGATCCTGAGGTGTAGACTAAGAGAAGGTTAAGTGCCAAAACCTGGTTAGCATATCGCATTCCTTTCGCCTTCAAATCATCTATCGCTGCTCTCCAGATACGCTCTCCTCTGAACTGAAGCTGTGCAGCCTGAACAGAGTTTTAAGGTGCATCAGTTCACAGATGTTACAAAAACCCAAAAGGTTTCTCAATTTAAGCCTTGCGTGGCTCTAATAATATAGCCTATGAAACTACTAAATTACAGAGTTCCAAAGGCCTAGAATAGAAAATAGCAAGTTGTTCAAAAGCGCATCAATGGGTCACTCATGAACTCCATAGTATATTGACTCGAACCTGATTCTGACCATCTCCACTGAAAGAAGCACCATCGCAGTAACGGAGCTTAACTCTATTCCAGTTGAAGAAGTCTGCGAAAGACAAGTACATGACAATATGAATGATCAATGATTCTCAAAGTTACATTATTACATTACTGACATGAACAAAGATTGAGACTGAAACCTGGGTTTTCTTGAGCTTTATCACTCAGTATTCCTGTGAACTGGAGCTGCTTCTCCATATAGTTAGAGGATCCACGTCGAGTCTTCTTCCGGTATACACAGGTCCTGACGTTGTTGCACCAACCTCCTCCCTGTTTAACAGTTTTTCAGTTGCAAAACATTCAACACCAAGAATGAAGACTTGTAAGCAGTAAGCTTTCATAGACAGCGAATCATTCACTAAACCTCCAATTGAATGAGCCAGCTATTAGCTCCAGAGCCATGTCCACGGTGCAAGTGATATCCAGGCAATGTTCCATCCAAACAAACTGTGAATAAGATGAAACCAATGTCTTTCTAAGACACATCACAACACGACATACACTGCTTCTAACTATGTTCATCTGAGCAGAAGTTACTATAAATTAGGAATATTAACATATACGTTACATGAATTTTGTTTATATTTACGTTTCTAAGCAATTAAACAGGAAAATGAAGGGAATCGTGAAGGATACATAACAATAAACGTATGAAACAAGTCAAATCTGGAACGAGGCAACAGGGAAACAAGTGTGACGAAAGTGGCTGAAGTGAATAAATGAAGAAACACACAGAAAAAGCAAGAGAAAGCATTTTGTTTGTTCATCTGAAAACAACTCATAAAAGTAAATAAAGAGAGGCATTCAGAGATCTAATGACATAAGCAGAGAGAGGGAGAGAGAGAGAGTACCAGCTCCTGAATCAGCTCCTCTGATAAGGGTGAGACCAACTAATAAAGGGTTCAAATTGGAGCTATATTTGGAGAATCCAAACTCTAATTCCTCAATGCGATCTATTTCTGTCACATTGAAATCTAAATACTCATTTGCTTGAGTTCCCAGTATCAGCCCCGCCACGATAAACCCTACTAACAAAAGCTTCTCCATTCTCCCTCACTCTCTCACTGGAAGATAAAAGTGAGAGCAAAAAAAAAGAGAAGAAACAGATCTCTGGGAGTGAGAGACAGAGAAGAAAGGAACAAACTTTAAAGCCAATACACGTAGTGTAATATAAAAGAATCGATCTTTGTAGAAAAAGAATGAGCTTTTCTGAGTTAAAAAGGAGAAATAAACGAAGAAGAAGGAGATCAGTATAATTTAGTAATTTACCAACCAAACAAAAAAGGGGAAAAAAATTCGAAAAGAGTTTCATGGCTGGATTCACGGTTAGATTTTGATTTTGAATTTAAAAATAAATAAATTAATTCACTCTCTTATGATATGACGAAGACAGAGACCATCTTTTATGTTTCCTAGATCTTCGTTCACACTTAAAACTCAGCATCAAAAGAAACGACAAAAATATACATAAATAGTTTGATGTGCTTATTAGCACATGGAGAAAATGGGTCCATAGGATTTGATTTCTATTGGCTCTAAGCCTGATATTTCAAAATTTATCGTTGTATCAGTTCAACTAGAACACAATTCTTGACAGTAGTGTACAATGTATTTGCCAATTGAAAAAGACTTAAAACACAAACAAATATTTTTTATTCTTTGTTATAGAAATTTGATTAGAGAATATATATATATATATATGTATATAAGCTGAAATAAACTATGTGGTTTCAACAATTAGACTCCAAGTCACTAATTATCCCCTCTCTTGCTGGTTAAAAGTAAAAATGGAATCATTTTACTTTGAACTGACGTTGACGTCACTTGCATAACGAACCCTTATGAATTGTGTATGATTTCTCCCAGCTCGGCTTTCCACTTTGGGCGGAAGCATGTGCGAGAGAAAGTAGTAAGAAACAAGTGTTGATGATATAATGGGAAGTTGGGGAAAGTCATCATTATACCCTTGAGAAATGCGAAAACACTTTGATATTTACGAGTTATCATGTTATGTAAGGTCTACGACACCACATATTTGCTTGGATTAATTTAATCCATTTGCATAAAACATTCTTTTTTGAAACATGATATATATTCTTCTACTAAAAAACGATATATACTGTAATTATTTTTAGTTATTATATATAACGCAAGTTACGCAATGACTAGTTTAAGTATATTAAACAAAAACAAAAGGTATTTCTATTTTAAGTAGTTCATATTCACTGTTGGTTATATATATAGTTCATGTAGCTGGATTTCGTTAAAGTTTCACCTCAACTATATATATCCACAATAAAAATCATGAAGAAAATGGAATTTTGTCGCTTTCAAAAAGATAGATCTATTTCCACAAAGAATTAATTTAGCTAAAAAAACACAGCCATAAAAATGAGTTTATAGATTTCGTATTAAAGAAAGAGAGAGAGACTACTAACTGCAACAAAAATGAGAAAAAAAAAACAAAAGTGGTGCGTGGGAGAACGAGAAAACATTGGTCTCATGCACATCATCACATGTTGATCTTTCGCCATGGTCGTCCACTTGACGTTTGTTTCTGCTTTTTGTATAATGGTCCCTGACTCTACTATTTGTTTCCACAAGAACCCCAATCTTTCAATGTATCCGTTTTGCGGATTTTCTCAAAAGTTCAATAATGGGCTCAACGAAGTTAATAGGCCTTGATGATGTCATTATCATCAAGTGTTTAATTATCTTATCTGGATTACTCAATAATGGGCTCAACGAAGTTAATGGGCCTAAGTGATGTCATTATCATTAAGTGTTTAATTATCTTATCATTAAGATATGGATTAATACTCAACTATCGAACGAAGCTCCTGAATTTATTTGCTTGTCTGATGGATCTTAGTTCCAACAAATATCTTCTACTTTCTACTTGACATGCTTATGGAAATTCATCCAAAATTTGTGTTTATGAGCTTTCCTCATTTAGCAAGAAACCCATGAGACTAGCATCAAAGGAGCTACTAATTCAAAACAGGGGAGGGAGAAACAACAAATTAAGATCCATATCATATCTGATAAATAAGAAAAGCAAACATTAGGAAACTAGTCTTGGCTAATATATAGGATGCAGGACTTGACATGAGGGCTATATATATGATATAAGGTAAGAAAATACAAGACTCAAACAATGGTGCAGCCGCTTCCACTTTCATAAGTAGTAACAGAGACAACGTCGCAACTGGCACAGTAAGGATGCATAGGCTTGCATTTGCATACAGGAGGCTTTGGTGGTTCAGGTGCGGCTGGAGGCTTTGGTGTCTCAGGCGGCTTTGGCGGCTCAGGAGGTTTTGGTGGTGGTCCAACGCTGATGATTACAGGTTTCTGTTTTATCTTCTTCAGCCGCTTCGCAACGCAGACCGGATCCATTGTCCCCACCACCGTAAGTATGCTCTTATCATCATCTAATGATACATGATTCACTCCTGCATCATAAATCTCATGTTAGATTGTTTTATGACTTCTTTTTATTTTGCTTCTCCTCATTAACTACCTTCTATCTCCGTGACTGCTTCCAGGATTGCGCTATTGCATTTCCCACAGTTTATATCCACGTGGATCTCAACTTTCTGCTCAAAACCACATAGAGAACACAATAAATAATGGGGATCATTTCGATACCGGGTTTGAGAAAATTGGTGCTTAGGATGTTTACCTTAACAACCATGATGGATTAGACAAGAATGAGAAATGGATTAGTGGAATTTTTGGAGGATGGAGAAAGGAAGAGAAGAGGTTATAATTAGAAACATGTGAAGACAAGAGATGACAGATTGGAATAATGTTGAAGCAGTTGAGGTTGTCTTTGATCAGTATTGGTCATTAAATAATCAAAGAGATTGCAGTATCTACGTGCTTAGATGCATGTTTATTTATATATACACATATTCTGAATAATTAAATAGTGGTTTTGGGGAATTTGCTTAGTTGGTATTCTGCCATCATCTTATGGACTCTACTTGGGACATTATTGAAGAGTGGATTTGTTTAATCCTGCAAATTTTAAGACTTAGTTTAGTCCCATATTCATATTCTATTCATTTTTTGTACTTACTTGACCCCAACTGTAAATAAAATATTATAAATCTTATAATCATGCCAATGCATGGATATAGAATTTCGGATTTGGTTCGCCTCTTGTCGGTTTTGGTTTTATTTAGGTAGAAATAGAACCATGCCTTTCGGTTTGGTTATCAAAACAGAATTGTCGTCCCTTCTTTTAATCATTTTGAGTTTGGTGATTATTAGAATTTGAAGGTGTTATTTTTTTCTAATGGTGAAGTATAGGCTAATTGTCTTTGTGTCCAACAAACAAAGCCCCTTTTAATCACCAAATATTAACCAACGATTAAAATTAACACTTAAACCTAATTATGGCTGAATATTTTAAAATTTAACAAGCCTATGGCCCCTCCACGTTTATCTCTTCTCCGTTGGTTTCTCCATTGGTTAGATCTTCTTAACATAAGTATATAAATTGAGAAACAAGGTCAAAGGATTTTCTCAAACCCATCAACAACAACCCACAATGGCAACTTCCATGACCCATCTTTTTGTTACCATCTTGCTTGTGGCCGCCCACACGGCCTTCGCCGAAACAAACATGCTTCAAGATTTCTGTGTTGCTGATCTCAAAGGTATCGCATCTCTCTCTCTCTCTCTCTCTCTCTCTTCATGCCACATTTCTGAATAATGAAGATTCGGCCATATTATTTCAATAGCTTTGTCGTTGACTTATATCATGTTCTTGTATATTAGGTGCGAAGGTCAACGGATACCCTTGCAAAGACCCAGCACAAGTAACACCAGAGGACTTCTACTTCATAGGCTTAGCCAGTGCTGCAGCCACAAACAACAGCACAATGGGGTCAGCGGTTACATCAGCCAACGTTGAGAAAGTCCCTGGCCTCAACACTATGGGTGTCTCCATCTCTCGTATCGACTACGCACCAGGCGGACTCAACCCGCCGCATTTTCACCCGCGAGCCTCCGAAGCCATATTCGTGCTCGAAGGACGTCTCTTCGTCGGCTTCATGACCACCGCCGGAAAACTCATCTCCAAACACGTCAACAAAGGAGATGTCTTTGTATTCCCCAGAGCTCTCCTCCATTTCCAGCAGAACCCTAACAACGCTCCTGCTTCAGTCCTCGCTGCCTTCGACAGTCAGCTTCCCGGGACACAAGTTGTTGGGCCGTCTATCTTTGGTGCTAACCCGCCCATTCCTGATGACTTGCTTGCCAAGGCGTTCCACATTGGACCACAGGAGATTCAGAAGGTTAAGGCCAAATTCCCACCCAAGAAATGAAATATAGGTTTCAGACCATTACCCATTTATGTTACAATTATATACAATGATGAACATAATATAATGTAAGCTTCTAAGCAAAAGCAACAAAAAAAAAAAAAGCTTGTAGCTTTTAATTTTTCTAATTTTTTGTAGATACTCTTTCAACTTTTTTGGCCCATCTATTGCAATGAGACCAGTTTCAACAAGTAGATATTTCTTTAAACATTTTGAAACAGATAATGGAATGCATTGCCAATCCTGTTGAAGCACACTTTGCTGAAAGAATCTCTAGGTCCTCTGTTTTGATTTCAGCGCAGTAGATTCAATGGCCGAACTATCAGCTGAGTTTAGAGCCAAATCATGTTTCAAACAATGATACAAAGGCCGGACTATCAGCTGAATTTAGAACTATCATGTGATTCCTCTGCCTTTACTACCTCAACTTCTCAAGCCAATTTCTCCGCTTTCTCAGGCTAGATCTCTGCATATACACCTCTAACAGATTGAACATCAACTGGTTCCAACTGTTTCCCTATGGCTTCATGTGTTGATTCAGAAACATCAACTTTCTTCGTCTCCTCCTTATCCTTGTTGTCGTCTTTAGCAGCACTCTCCAAAATTTTGATTCTCTTCTGCTTTCTCCTCATCAACCTCTCGAACACCCTGTTTCACTAGGGTTGGTTCTTTAGGTTCCTCTTGTTCAACTACCTTCTTATCACCATTTTCATCTTTCCCTTGATTTCTCCGCATCAACAGCTCTAACATTAACTTCATCAACACCCTCTTTCACAAGGGTTGGTTCTTTAAGTTCCACTTGTTCAGCTACCTTCTTCCCACAATTTTTACCTTTTCTTCTCTTTGTAGATTCCTCTGCTTTCACAAAACTTTCATCCATGTGGACCTTAAAGCGCCAGTGCTTATTTATTTATTTTTCCTTACTGACCAAAAAGTTAGTTTCTTTAGTAACATTTTCAACAGAAAAAAGAAGATTGACTGACCAAATCTTGATCTTTACGTTATCCATTTCTTTATGTATATACAATGGTTGTCACAAATATCACATTCTGTTTTGTCAAGTTAAAAAAACTTTTGTAAACTTCATGATTTCAATTCTTCGTTCTTTTAAATTTTGTTTTACCAACTTGGCCTAATATTTTACCAAGATTGGTGTAGATTTATTTAGAATCACTCTTCCACTTGCTCAGCTGAACTAGTAAGAAAGAACAAACTTTAAACTCTGTTTCTATTATTCTCCGAATCGATAAACATCACAAGTTACAATAACATCATCGTATGTAGGTAATGTAATCACTGGGTTTACATGTATATGTATCATTCTTTTATAATGATGAATCAGAGTCAGACCTCTTCTCTCTAACAGAACCCACCTCTTGAATTCATCAGAACAGGGAAACCCCAATGAGAAGAAAAAACAAGATTAGGATATAAACCTTCTCTGTTCATCTTATTTGTGATACGCACATAAATGTTAAAGATCCTTCTAGGAAAAGCTAATGCCTTAAGAACCAGCTTTCTTGATCGGTTTAGTCTAAACCCTTTTGCTCGAAACTCGTTCTTCTTCCCCAGGTTCTGCCTTTTAGTCGACCTTGTTGTTGTTGGTGGCGTTGTTGCTGTCAATTTCTCATGTTGATCCGTTAGCTTCTTGTACCGACATGATTGTCTCCACCGATACTTGCCTACTATCTGCAGCATCTCTGGTTCTATTTACGATAGGGTTTTGACGTAGTCTTAGAGCAGTTACAGAGTTAGTGTCCAATGGAGGTTAAGAGCAAAACAGAGAGAATGAAAGAAAGAGAATAAAAACAGAGCATGAACAGAAAATGAAGAGCTGTTTTTGTTTTGGTTTGCTTCAAAAGGTATAGAGATAAGGAAACACTATATTGATGATGATTGTGAAGAGAAATAGCTGAATGTATGTGTTTTTAAAAGGATAGAGAGAGTGTGAAAGATTCTTAAAGCACATGGTTTTATTCGGTTTTTTTCATTTAAATCCCCCAAAATATCTCAATCCTGCTTAAATGGGCAGCTGCTGTTTAACCACATAAGCATATGCTCTGTATATGGACCTACGCGGTTAAGGGCTGTGACTATGATGCTACAATAAGAAGACAAATCCATTTTTTTTTTGGAGTGATGTGTAAATTAGTTACATTTGGGCAAATGAAAACTCGAGATGATGTTTTGCGGAAATGGGAAACGAAAATTCATGTTCCGTTTTAGTTTTCATTTGTGAAATATGCTAAAACATAATCCGATAATGTTTTTTTCTCTCTCGTCCCATTTTAGACAAGATTATATAATTAAACTTTTGTAGAATGTATAATGCTTAACATTTTGATATATACCTGAACAACAACATATTTTAATATAGCTAGTCTAGTATATAAGAATGTTTAGTTAGATAAATACATAAAAATCTATTATACATAAGTGTATATGTAAGTAAGTTTTGTTATGTGGAACAAGGGAGAATTCCGGTTTCGTCTTCAAGTGAGGTTTTTAATACTTTTACTTTAGTTAAAAAGGAGAATCAAGGGAATATATGGGGAAATACAATCCAATGATTGGAATTTGGAAGTCACTAATTCATGATTTTTTTACAAATTAGAGGTTGTTGAGAAGAGTGTATAGCTCTTCTCAAATCTATAATCTAATTTGGGCAGCCCTGACAAATGTGACATTAACAGGGAGAGAGAGGAGAATAATAATACTCCAAGAAACAAACAAAGGTCCAAAATATATATAAACACGTAATCGACAATGATTGGATTGGTGACGAGGAATAAGTTGGTTGCTAGTCTATTTATCCTCGTTACTATTTATTTCTAAGATATTCCAATCGGTTCAGCCAACGGTCCCTCTTTTGTTTCAATTTGATTTTTCACACGAAAACATGGTTAAATTTACAATTATTATTCGGTCTACCCGAGTCTTATTTTCGGTTTTTAACCTAAGAAAATAAATTCAAGATATTTATCATCTTTGTTTGCTGCTTCAATGCCATTCAATGGGTTTAATATGTCGAGCTCATTTTCCGAATCAGTTTGGCTTAAGCGAAACGGACAAATTCGCTTGCGAAGCGCGTAATCAACACATGCTGCTGTTGCGCGTGGGATTTTCAGTTTGTATATGGCAGACCGGACATCGCAGGTCCATTGAATATTATATGGACCCACATTTAGGCCCATAAAAGGCCCAATATGGGGTTGTTATTACACGAGAAAAAGGAACTTAACTGGTAAGACAATGACACGCTTACGATAACGTATCAGTGACTTTGTTGGGGAAGGAGACACGAGAAAAGAGGAACCTGACTCGCTTACGTTATTGCGTTATGTGACTAATAATGACTTTAATAATCATAAAAAATGTTACGAGCATCAACTGAAATTGACTCTCTCAATTAACGCTTCCTGCATGATCTTTCGTATCCTAAGGTCTCTTTCCAATCTAAAACAAAATCTTGATTAACCCTAATCCAAAAAGTCTTGATTAACTCTAATCCAAAAAACTATGAATAATATCCAAATTTTTAGCACAATCGGTCAGCATAAAATTAAATATAATCCTATCCAGGATCCAATAACAAAGAACATAATTGAAGAAGATGGATCTTAATTTAAGCAAGCATCGAAAGTTCGAAACTGCGCACACACGAAACAGAGAGGGAAGAGAAAGAGGGACTTAGTAGAAGCAGTAGGAGGAGGGGTTGTTTGTGTGAAGGAGACGAAAGAAGCGTCTACGGCGGTAGAAGAACGCCGTTTTGAGACGCGACCAAGCGACGCGTTTCAGCCTCCGAGCAGATTTCAACCTCATACAAACAACTTTCTTCACCACTATCCTCACGGATCTCTTAATCTTCTCCGTGAAGCTTAGTTTCCTCGAGAACTGATAGCTCTTAAGGAAGAGCTGTCTCTTCTCCACGTATCCTCCTCCGTAGCCATGGCCATAGTTGCCGTTACTGCTCTGCCAAACGCTGCCGCTGCTGATGCTTCTGCTCATCGGAATCTTTGAAAAGAGGAAATGGAATTGTAGTTTTTTGTGTGTGTGTAGAGAATGGAATTAAAGAAAGGGTCGATTGAGATTCCTTGCAGCAGATTCCGATTTCGGCTATTTTGGTTAACTTTGTAAACACTGAAACAGTCAGCCGCCGCCGAAACCGCCGTCGCAAAACGCCGATAACGGATAGGGTTTCGTTTGGATATATCTCAATCTCGTTTCAAGTGCTTCACGTTGATGCTTTAAATATTGTTGGTTTTGCTCTCTCTAACTTTTGACGTACTACTCTGCTTTTAATGGCGTCTCTCACTTTTTTTTTAACTAAAATAAAAGTCCTCTTGTCAAATCAAATACACTTATGTAGGTGGGACTTTTAAATCTAACTTCCCAAATTTCCAACTAGTAAAAATTCAATACAAACAAAAAAAAATCAAAGTTCACGTTCTGCTTTTAGTAAATTTTTATTATAAAATATGTAGACTCATCAAATGTATGTACATATGATTGATTTGTTTTACTTTTTGTAAATAGTGGACTTGCAATATAATCTGAATTATATGACTTTGCAGAATTCGTTGATGAATTAAAAAAAAGACTGGAATGACTATTGATATTGACATTTTTCCAACGACGAATGTCTTTTGGTTGATCGTGTGCAAAGTTGCTGGAGTCTTAGGTATATCGATATTTCAAATTTACTAAATTGATTATTTAAGCATATGCTAAGAAAACAAAATTTTAGGTTGGTCCAAGGCACAATGAATACAATGTTAGCATAAATATGACAGAAACAAAAAAAAAAGGCTAATAAATTATTCACGGTCTGAAAGGAACATAAAAAGAGATGGCCTAACAGCTCCAAACTCCATACATACTTAATACACACAGCTCCAAACTTTATCTAACTTTCGAGATCGTGTAACCAAAAATCATCATTTAATATCTACAAACCAAAGATAGCGAACGAAGACTCATATAAGAACGAATAAGGGATTACACATACAAGAGTAAAAACAGTGATTATCTCCATCTCCAGTTAATATTTTCCTGTTCAACAACACACTTGAGAGACTCCTGAATCTAAACACTTTTGTTACTGTTAATGGTGGATCTTTCCTCGCTATCTAGGTCCATTTGCAGAAGGGACCTTGCTTGGATAGCTCGATATATCGATGTCAATGAGCGACATGTCATACATTGTGGAAGCCGAGTCCGAGGCATCCACCAACAAGGAAGATTTCATGGTCTCAGGGCGTGCAGGATCAGAAGCTAACCCGGAAGTTTTCGGTGTGCTTGTTCCCGAAGACGACGAGTGACTGGAGACCGAAACACCATCTATCTTGTTTCCAAACATGAGTTTGTTCTTTCTAACAGCATCCATTTCCTGACCAGTCGGCACAAATGTTCGTACTCGGTACTTCCTTGTCCCTTCCTCACCACCGTCATTGTGATTATAGAGCACATAATCGTGATACGCAGGGGCAAACTGTAAGAAATCATACTCATCATCGCACCAAAGGAAATCAAATTTTATTATATTTGTTTCACAATGATTTATCAGTTACCTGGTGAACAGTATCATGGTAGAAATCATTTAGTTGAACAGCATGAGCCAGACTTCCTGAGAAACTGTGAGCTCCTCCAACATTAGCACCTGCATATTCCTTGTACGGAAATGCATAGAAATGGGCAGCTGCAGCAATAAGCATCTCCACGCATATTATAAAATTTTGGAAGAGCGCTGCTTCTTCTTCATCCCTTATAAATCCAGATTTGGCGAAAAGGAAAACTAGAACACCCTGTATCACATAAAGGTTCGACAGTGACAGAAGAAATGTGTCAAAATATTGTGGAGACTAGCATAAGCAGAGGTTTATGCCAAAATCAGATATGGTGATAGCGAGATAATAAGAGACATTACCTGCCAGTAGGTTAGAAAGACAACAGACTTAATAATCACAAACTTTGGGACTGGATTGAATGGCTGAAGCAGATCTTTGCAAGCAACATAAAAGAGGACTAATGCATACAAAGCCACTGTGTATGATATCGTATAGATGATGGTAAGATAGAGATAGGATTGATCAGGGCTAAAATTTCCATCCTTGTATTTCCCCTTTGCATAAAGCACAAGTGTGATAGCAACTAGGATGGGCTTTAGAATTACAAACTGCAGACAACCTTGCTTGCACCGTCGAATAAAACGCCTACATTATAAGATAACCAGGTATAAGCTATAACACATATTAGCTAAGAAAGTCGTCATAGAACTCATAACCGAGATTCAAGCAGCAATAGTTCATGATGCTAATATATCTGGACTACAAATAGCCAATGCTTCCGATGAACCAAAAACGTAAATGCAAGCAAACGATTGACAAACACTCATCCATAAAGATCCTCATTTTCTCAGCATGGTCTTATCAAGCTTACAGATTTTGTGAAAAATCACAGGAGAAATCAAAGAAATATGCAAATGCCACCAACATAAGCACAGAGAGTGTAGGCTCATTTCGCAAACTAACCCGTCTAATGGTAGTGGCGGGAAGCAACATGTCATGAGGTGCCACGATGGCTTCAGAGAGCGGCCAGTTAAGCTTATAACTACTGAACCTGGGCCTCCAACCCATGCCAAACACAGAGATAGAAAATTATATATTACCCACGCTTCGTAACTGAAACAGAGAAAAAAGATTACAAAGCCGTATACACATAAACAATCAGGTCTGCATTTGTAGAAACGAAAGAATATAGTTGAGTTCCACATGTTCCTATGAGAAACTCGAGGAGGAAGCACATCCCATGCTAAACTAGCAAAAAAATGAAAATTTCAGAAACACTCACACTTCTCGGATAGAGTTAAAGTATATAGAGCTTTTGGGCAACACGAGAGCCAAGAACGACATCAAGGCATAGACCTAAAAGAAAAATGAAGAACATGTTAGCCACCAGAGAGGATTCAACAAGAATGGAGTTTCACAGATGAAGATAGACAAAGCAAAGAAAGCTCTTGGAACTGCTAATATACTGACCGGGACCATGAAGACGATGCGCACAATATATCTCTGATAAATGGGTTCAGTGTAATTCAAGAGGTGCTTGTAGATATGGAATAAAGCCAAAGCAATGGCTCCGACAGTGCATAGAAATGCCACGATAATGAGGTAAATGGGTAACAAATCCGCCATTCTGCAAAAAAAGAGAGAGATAATTTGGGTAAGTAGGTTCTGAACAAACTCTAAATAAGGGAACTTCAAAAGGAGCTAAGAGCGAAGAACCTGTACAAGATCTGAGAAACGAGCTAATTGCCTCTTGATTTCCGCGGGAGGTGTGTCAGGAGGCTGGTGGAGAAAGGATTGAAGCTTAAAGCGGAGCAGGAGCAAAAGGAGAGAAAAACCCTAAATCCGAGACCAGTTTCACCTCGATTAGCTTTCAGCAGGTGGAATCTAGGAATCAATGGGTGGTTGAATCGAATAGAAAGAGGCCCCGGAATCTGGGAACGATCTGAGAGTGGTTGAAACGCAATCAACAAGAGCGTACCTAATCGGGGCAAGCGAGAGAAGAATCGTAGCGAAACAGAGGTGTTCCGAGCACAGATCAACGGCGGAAATCGGGGAAAACCCTGGACGGAAATCAACGGCAGCAACACTTTCCCGGATTTTGTTTCTGATCGGGGTTTAAATGCTTTTCCGAGAGAACTTCGGGTGATATGAAATTCAAAAATTCTCAGTGGGGAAACCAAAAACAAGCAGAGTCTAGAAGAAGAAGAAGAGAATGCGGAGATTAAACGAATATTTAATTATTATTTTACTAAAATAATTTATTTTTCGCTTTTGAGAATAATAAATCTTATTCCCCTTCCACCGCAAAGCCTACCCAATTCAATGATTGTTTCTTTCTTCAGTCCCACTTAAAAATGTCAAAGTCATCAGCTGATGTATTTATCACCGATAAATACTATATAGTATATTTCATCTTGTGATCTATTTGCCTTTCATAGGTTTGAAACAAAGGACAAAAAGAATATCAACATATATACATCTACATGACCACATCAATGTTAGAGATGACGATGTTGTGTATATATACATACTGGTTTCAGTACGATTCATGCATTCACACTATTTTATTATCAAGCTGTATATAAAAAGGTTTTCATACAGTACTATCTTTATACCGTCTTCATTGCTTTATTTTAGTTTTCACACACTATATTATTACACATTCGAACCACAACAGACCATTACATGTCATTCCTTTAAGCTTATTTTAACAATGACGATCATTTATAGTTAGAAGAAAACCTTGCTTCGAGAAACCTAACCACGTTCACATCAAGCTGAAACGCTTTAGCTAAAATCTCCGGCATGATCAAAGGCTTCGAACCGAAGACAGCGTCTGCGATTGTGATCGTACCGGGGTTTTGGCTTCCAAGACCAGCAAATGCAACAGCGTTCGTCCTCCCAACATTCACTTGAAAATGGATCATTCCGATGGGAAACACAAACACGTCTCCGGGATAAAGAACCTTCGAGAACAACCTGTTATTGTCTTGGTTCGACGACACAAACCCGACTAAGAGCGTTCCTTCGACAAGGACGAGGATCTCGGTGGCTCGTGGGTGAGTGTGGGGCGGGTTTTGACCACCCGGGGCAAAGTCAATTCGGACAAGAGAGACTCCTAGTGTGTTGAGTCCCGGGATTTTGTCGACGTTAACGTTGGTCACGTTGGAGCCGACGCGGTTCATAGTGTTTCCGGCGATGTTTAGTCCGGAAGTAAAAAAGTCTTCGGCTTTCACGTATTTTGGGTCTTTGCAGAATTTTCCGTTCACGAAAACTGAAAATAAAAACATGAAAAATCGTAATATATCAACTGTATACGCTGGTTATTGATAATACTATGTGTGCTTTGTTGCTGCTCTGAATCTCTGACTAATTTATATGAAACAGTAAACATGTCATATATTTTTTATATTACTGTAGTCTGTAATTTATTTTGTTATACAACATGCATGTTGGGCTGCGTATCAAATTCTTAGGAACACGCGAATTAGTTTTACGGTATATATACACTTTTATTCTTTCACCTGAGTCAATCTTACACAATACTCAGTAAAAACACCTAGTTAACATATCAAATTTAAAATTTGATGTGGTTAAGGGGAAAGAAAGGTAAAACCCATAAAATAGTGAAAATTGATCAGCAAAACAAGCCAATGTATTCTAGTTGAAGAACCATCACTTCATTTTGATAGTTTTAGTATATAGAGAGTAATAAATAATATATCATAATTAGTACGATATAAGGAACCACAGTAAATAGATATTACCGCCATTAACGTCATCGACGGCAACACAAAAGTCTTGAAGAGGACTTGGGTCGTAACAAGTTACAAATGAAGATGCTAAAGCCAACAAGATGACTTTGGCTACAAGGAAGCGAACAAACCGTTCCATTTTTTTTTTATTTTTTTTGTATTTTCTATGTATTTCTTTTCTCTCTTGCTTTGTGGTAAGGATTTGAGATATCGCACAAGAATGATGCGCTATATATAGCACAATATGTAGATCACTGTTTTTTGTTTTTTTTTTTTTTTTTATAATGGGTACGTATATTATTACATTAAGTCGTACGAAATTTTAGTGGTTGTATCTCATTGGTGTGTCTGGTACTATTTCCAGTTTAAAATATTAATTACGGTAATGGCCAAATTTTAGATTTTATTTGGGAAATAACCTTAGGCAGACTTTATAATTGTAAAAGGACTTGAATACGTTAGAAGATGCAAATGCCTTCGGATGGTAGGTACGAGGTTACACACGCGTTTAGAGAAAATAATATGGTATCCAACTATCTATTCATGTAGCTAGTAAGTAGTAATGTTTTGATGCTGTGTTTAAAAAAAAAAAAAAAACTCCATGATATATATTACGTTTCGATGTTTAAATGTGATATGTACATATAAAATCGAGAATATTAGTACCTCATTGTTTGCCTTAATGGAAAAATCTGACCTGATGCTGATGACATTCACATATTGGAGTTTCAACAAAAGGATGCGAGAGGGGTAAATGTTTGACATATTGCTACTTTTTTCTGCCTAAGTGCTCTTATCTATATTTCTTCTTACAAGTCAATAATATTGATCTAAATGTTCGAGCTACAATAGTAAAAGTTGTATTGGATTACACGACATCTTGAAATCTGAAATTTCAATTTATAATTTCTGATCAATTATCAAAATACATGAAATGGAAGTGATGGCTACGTATACATCATGAAGAGAGTGACCAAAAGATTCTTGGTAAGATGGAAGATAAAACATATTAGTGCAGAGCCACTTAATCAAAGTGCCCTAACCACTACAATACGGTCATTCTTATTAAACCACGATATGTGAATGTTTATTTGTAAATACAAAAAAAGTCACGTGTACTGCAAGTTGTCAATTAGAAATTTGAAGACTGAGAATTTCAGCGCAGCCTCCTTGAGAAAAGGACAGTAAAATGGATGGAGATGATCTGTGGATTATTGCATTGGAATTTCTCCAGAAAATATAGAATATTATTTGAGATAAGTGAAAGTGTTGCCACCAAAAACGAGATCAACGCATTGAGTTTATTTTTTTAAAAATTGTTAATTATCACCTAAATTACAAATGCTTCATCATCGAATACCATTACGGATTTCTTCCTTTCTGTTTTACCTAATCACATGTCTTAATTAGTACTACTTAACATTCGGTAGGTTTCACCATATTTTGATATGTATGTTTTATTTTAACACGTGTTAATACTCGATAGGATCATCATTATCGTGATTTGTGTGTTAAATACATCGCAGAGCATTATAACACTATCAAGGACTGTTCTTATGTTTCAATCTACACGTTAGTCAAGTTATACATACCATATGTAACGTGGCAAAAGTCTCACGAGCTGTTAAAGGGATATATAAGAAAAGGCAAGAGACAATGAAGTTAGAGTCTGTTATACGATTGGAGTTGAATAATAAGTGTGTTCATTTGTAGGAGGCTTATCGATAATATATAGAATATAGTAATTTTTATTTTGTAATCCTATGTTAAACATAAAACTTTACTATTCTCTACTACATAGTAAAGGGTTATCTACCATAAATATGAACTATATAAGTGGGCTATTCATTCCACTGACGAAACATGTCACACTACTAAAAAAAGTTATCAAAATTGGAGGAAAAAGAAAAATGGGAGGAAAAAAAACTTAATTTGGGCTTGTGGGCTTTAGTGGGATATAGCCGGGCTTTTACAAACCTGGAGGACTAAAGAGGGAGCCGCGACGCCGTAGCATCGACCACCATTTTCCAGTCCTTCACTTTTTTTTTTAATTGAGTTTCCGCTTTTCGAATTTGCTCCGTCGCCGTCGCTAAGCTTCTCCTCCGATTCTCCGTCTACTCTTGGATCGCAGATATGAACGCCCCGGTTCTCGTTCTCAGTGAGTACCTTCCTCTTCTACGGATCTCGTCTCTTTGAATCTGTATAGTGTTTTTTTTTTTGTTCACTCTCACTTCCGTGTTCCAAATTGTTAATGCTGCTACTGCTTCGTGAAATGTTCAGAGGATTCGTTGAAGCGCGAATCTGGAACAAAGGTTCACCATGGCAATATTCAGGCTTCTAAGGTAATTATAATAAAGTTGTAATATTTGCTTCTCTCTCTCTCTCTCTCTCTCTCTCTTTGTTTTCTCTGCTACGAATCATGGTTTCACCATGGTTCTGGGTTCGATTTCACAGGCTGTGGCTGATATCATACGCACCACATTGGGTCCCCGCTCTATGTTAAAGATGCTTCTTGATGCTGGTGGAGGTAGATTTCTTCTCTGCTTTGCATCTTCTCTTCTCTATAGATCTTCAAAGGGATGAGTATTAGGTTATGCCTTTTAAAAGATTCAGTCTTCTCAGATTTGTTATCCAATCTACTCTTGCTTTGTCAAAGCTATTCCACTTCGCTTTCTGAGTTAGATACATAAACCCTAAAAAATTGTGGGTTTTGCTTCTTCTTTTTTTTTGGTGGGGGGTTTTTGCGTGGATCCTTTCTCTTCTTCAAATCCATGTGGGTTGATTTTTCTGCGAAACTCTTTGTTTCTGGCTCTTTACAGGAATTGTTGTTACCAATGATGGAAATGCTATTTTGCGTGAACTAGATGTTGCTCACCCTGCAGCTAAGGTTTCACTTCTTCCCTATCTTGAAATTTCGTGTCGTCTTCTCATTGTTCTTTTTTCTCTGATATACTTTTCACTCTCTCCGTGTTGACTGCAGTCGATGATTGAGTTGAGCCGCACACAGGACGAAGAAGTCGGTGATGGGACTACATCTGTCATTGTTCTTGGTATGTACATTATATCTGATGGTTCTTTTGTTCAAATTATTCTCTGCCACTAGATTTGCTTTGAAGAGTGAAATAGGCACTGCTGTGAAATATCTGATGTATTCTACTGTTTTTTTAACTGTCACTTAATTCGTTTTGTTTTTTGTATTCCACAGCTGGTGAAATGTTACACGTTGCCGAAGCATTTATTGAGAAGAGTTACCATCCCACAGTCATCTGCCGAGGTACACTTGCGTAATATCTGCTACCATTCCACAGCGTTGTATTTTTTTGCTGTCTTCATTTGAAAAATGTTTTCTTCTCTGCAGCTTATAATAAGGCTCTCGAGGATGCTATCGCTGTTCTTGACAAGATTGCCATGTCAATCGATGTCAATGACCGTAAGTCCACTTCTACCTTTGTTTTTGATATCTTTCAGCCAGTGATGGAGTAACTTTCAATTCCTCGTCTTGGTCTTTTCTCTCATGTTTACTGATACAAGAATGTTTATATTGCAGGTGCAACGGTACTAGGATTAGTCAAGAGCTGCATAGGAACAAAATTCACTAGCCAATTTGGAGATCTGATTGCTGTGAGTACATTGCTGGCTTTTACTATATGTGTTTTTTTCTAGACTACATGAAAAGCCACTGTAAACGTATAAGGCACAAACACATTTCCACCTCTGCACATTTAGAAGCTACATATTATAAGTTTTCACAAGTGACACATTATTTAGCTTCTTACACTACTATATGTGGTTCTTCTAGGATTTGGCTATTGACGCCACCACTACTGTTGGTGTTGATCTTGGACAAGGATTGAGGGAGGTTGATATCAAAAAATACATCAAGGTTGAGAAAGTTCCTGGCGGCCAGTTGGAGGACTCCAAGGTTCTCAAAGGAGTCATGTTTAACAAAGACGTAGTTTCTCCTGGTAAAATGAAGAGAAAGATAATTAACCCACGGATTATTCTTCTTGACTGCCCTCTTGAGTACAAGAAAGGTGAAAACCAAACCAATGCTGAGTTGGTTAGAGAAGAGGACTGGGAAGTTCTGCTGAAACTGGAAGAGGAGTACATCGAGAACATCTGCGTGCAAATACTGAAGTTCAAACCCGATTTGGTAATTACAGAGAAGGGACTTAGCGACTTGGCCTGTCACTACTTCAGTAAAGCCGGGGTTAGTGCAATCCGAAGGTTGAGAAAGACGGACAACAACAGAATCGCCAAGGCATGTGGAGCTGTGATTGTGAACAGGCCTGACGAACTTCAAGAGTCTGATGTTGGTACCGGCGCTGGCTTGTTTGAGGTCAAGAAAATAGGAGACGATTTCTTTGCCTTCATTGTTGATTGCAAAGAACCCAAAGCATGTACCGTACTCTTAAGAGGACCAAGTAAAGATCTTCTCAACGAAGTGGAAAGAAACCTTCAGGTGCGTGAATCTGAATATTTACTAAAACATAGAGTTATCTTCAGTCAAAGTCATTATTTGTTAATGCCTGATACATTCTTCCTGCAGGATGCCATGTCTGTTTCAAGAAACATCATCAAGAACCCAAAGCTTGTTCCTGGTGGCGGAGCCACTGAATTAACCGTTTCTGCCACTTTAAAACAGAAGAGTGCAACAATTGAAGGAATCGAAAAGGTTGGTTATGGTTTTTACCGCTTTGCCTATAGTTAAGATCTATCTCTTCAAAACATCGAATGGGACCTCTAATTCTGATTGTTATTGAAACAGTGGCCGTATGAAGCAGCTGCTATAGCTTTTGAGGCTATCCCGCGTACTCTAGCTCAGAACTGTGGAGTTAACGTGATCAGAACTATGACAGCATTGCAAGGAAAGGTATTTTTTTCTGTCTACCGTTGTTTATTCATATCTGACAATTTTCTGATTCCGAGTCTTTCTCTCATTGGTTAAATCTTGGCTGTTTTCGGCATTAGCACGCAAATGGGGAGAATGCTTGGACTGGAATCGATGGAAACACAGGTGCAATAGCTGACATGAAAGAGAGCAAGGTAAAGAATAAAGAAGCTTTTGCTTTCTGGTGAATGTATCGTTTCTTGTGACTTTGTTTTTTTTAACACTTTGAACTTTGTGAGTAGATATGGGATGCTTACAATGTGAAGGCGCAAACGTTTAAGACAGCGATTGAATCGGCGTGTATGCTTCTGAGAATTGATGATATAGTGAGTGGTATCAAGAAGAAGCAAGCTACTGGAGCTGGACCTTCGAAACCTACCATTGAGACAGAAGGCGATGCAGACAACGAGCAAATACTTCCCGACTAGAAAGACATTGCTTATCCTCTTTTTGTTGTTGTTTAATTTGCTATTTTAGTTTGAAATGTTTTGTGAAACTTGAAACTCCCTCCAGTATCTGATATGATTTTGTGTTTTGATGAGTGGAGTGAGTATTATTGAAGCCTAAACCGGATTGGTTGTTTTGTTTTGTTCTCCTTGCGTTTGGTATAGCAAGCAAAACAGATAATCTTTTGTGGAACCAATAGACTCTGAAACCTGAATGGGATGTTGGCAATGGTGAGGTTATATAAACACATGACAATACAAATTACATAGATTAGGGTGTGTTTCTGATTTGCACTGCGCTTGGAACATAAGAGCACACAAGTGGGGTAACAAACCCGTTGGTTTATACGCTCGCCAATGTCCACTTTTTTCAAGTATCCATTATTTCCAATGATGCGAGCAATGTTGCCAGTGGGGTAGAGAGTTTTACCTCTGTCTTTATCAAGAACCACTCTATCAAGAACCGCCGCGACCTTCTTCTCCTCGTCAACGAAGAAACTACCAGTGAAAGCACGAATCTGACGACCAATGACTGGTTTCGTATCAACAGCTAAGAGCAAGTTGCTCCACGACACTGCATTGGGCTCAATCTTGTTAGTAATCCATATCTTGACGTTGCACCCAGGCGCACGGTATTCGCGATATAGCACCGCAAGCTGCTCTTCTCTAACACTAGAAAGAGACACGGTATCTCCAAACAAACCGTGGAAAGGCAGAGGCAGACGCGGTCCAAATCTCTCCCTTGTGAAGTCAAAGCAGAGGAGGAAATCAGGGTGCTCTCTTGATATAGGTCCATCAACTATCAGGACCTTCTCTTGAGCATACCAGTAAGTGTTGCCCTTTAGAGACACGCCATTGTGTTCAAACGAAACATACCAGTCCGGAGTGAAATCATCATCAATGACCTTCCATGAACTGCAGCTTAAACTGTACACCTCAAACTCACAAATTTCGGGCTTGAAACCCGGGTAGTACTCATTCACAAATCGCAAGACTTTGTGCATCTTCTTCTCCTTGTCGTATCCGAGAGCGTACTTCTCCCATTTGTGGTAAGACTTGCTGGGCTCGATCCACCTTCTTTGTCCCAAGTAAGGGTTCCAAACAACAAGCTTAGACGAGTCTTTGTCGTTGTCTTTGGTGATGCAGCATAAGAATAAACCGTCGCAGTGAAAGATGTTAGATATGTCGACTCCATCTGCATCGAGATTACCTATAGGCTCTATAGATGGACAGAGGAGATCGACGCTCATCAAGGAGACTCTATGTTCCACCAGCATCACCACCTCCTCAGTTCCCTTCCTCTGCTTCTTCTTTGCTGCTTCACAGATGTGCCTCTTTAAAATGCCCTCACCTTTCGTTAAAGTGTTCCACTTCTTGCAGGTCGATCGCAATTCTCCCAGATATGTCACCGGAAGCCTAGAGAGCACCTCCTCCTCCATGTCACTCAGAAGATCGGACATCTTCGGAACGACTCTGTTATTGGAATAAGAACCACCGCGACCTTCTTCTCCTTCGTCAACGAAGAAACTCCGTTTTGAGAGACGAGAGGAGGATGTCTATTTATGGTGAGACCGTGTATGGGGACATTACCTGAGGCAAGTAGGAAGTCTTCTTTCCTTTTCTTTCTCTCTCTCTTTGGTTTCTCGAACAAAAAAGGAAAGTTTCCTTTTTCGAATCAGAGCCGAAACTCTCAGCGAAAGAAGGAAACCGATGACCAATGACACGGAAGATCGAACATAGACTAGAGCTCACCTATAAGCACAAGTTTTTAAAAAATTTATAAACGCAAAAGCTATACAAAAACAATTTAGACATGATGATTACGAAAATTACACTATCTGTTCCCACGAAAGTTTCCATGGAATTTCATTGAAAATACCGAATCTGAATGAACAGGTTGGTCTTATTACAATATGTGTTCACACGAAACAAAAGAAGTAACGAAAGACATCAACAAAGAAAGAGAGGAAAAAACACAGAAACAGAAAACACACACAAATAAACAGTCTCAAGATCTCAATCAGTTCTCTTCTCCACGTCATGGTGATCATCCTCCGCAAGCATATACCTTTTCCAGAACCAATGTGGCTTCCACACACTCTCTCTCATGTCATCAATGGCGACTCCTTTCGTCTCCGGCACGAAGAACATCGCAAACAGTCCCATCACAATGATCCAAGCACTGAAGAAGAAGAATATTCCCGATCTCATCCCGCAAAGCATCGACAAGAAAGCCTGCGCGATCACGAACGTGAAGAACATGTTGCAAGAGACCGCGACAGCGAACCCTGCGCTACGAGTCTCTAGAGGAAACGTCTCGCTAGGGATTAGCCACCCTAAAGGTCCCCATGACCACGCGAATCCCATCACGTAAACGCACACAAAGATCACCACTGTTATGGCTTGCGGCTTCCCGAGTGTTCCCGTCGTGCCCAAGTCTTTCGCTAGGATGATTCCAATGATCAGCTGTTGGAAGAAATTGTTTATTTTGGAGGATTACTTAAGGAACAAGAAATCGATTCCAAATAACTTGGGAAACAAGATACAAAAAGGGGCGGAGATTTTAAGGACCTGGCAAACGAGCATGTGAACGGAAGATTGGAGAAGAAGGAATCTCCGGCCGGTTCTGTCGACGAGGTAAATCCCGACGAACGTGCTGAGAACGTTGATCGATCCCGTGACAACCGCAGAGAGAAGAGCTGCGTCGCTTCCGAAGCCAACGGTCTGGAACAAAACCGGTGCGTAGAACATGATGGCGTTGATTCCGGTGAATTGCTGGAAAAGCTGGAGAAGCATTCCGATGATGAACGGTGGGCGACTCGCGGGCTTCAACAGCTTCCTGTAAGGGTCCTTGACTTGACTCGCGATGTCGCAGGCGTGGACGATAGATTCGTACTCGTCATTGATATCTTCAACTCCTCTGATCTTCCTTAGGGCTTTCTTGCCTTCTTCGTTCTTGTTGCGCTCGATGAGGCTCGTTGGAGTCTCGCAGATGATCAGTGAGCCGAAGAGGAGGATAATGGCGGGGATCCCGGCTCCACCGAGAGCAATTCTCCATCCGTAAGGGTGAACCGTGGCAGTGAAGTAGTTGACAATGTTTGCAATCAGGATCCCAATTGTCACCATGAGTTGGAACACAATGTTGAGACCTCCCCTGAGCTGTGCCGGAGCGATCTCCGACAAGAAAAGCGGCACCGCCTGCAAGTTTCAGATGCGTACAAGAAATGTTAGGTCATTTATATCAATTGACCATGGCAGATTAAGGATTTCATTATATAGTTTTACCTGATTACCAAAGCCGACGCCGAAGCCAAGCAAGATTCTTCCAAAGATCAACATGATGAGGTTAACGGCTCCTGCGGTTAGGCCGACACCAAGCAAGAAGAAGATAGAAGCGAGCTGCATCGTGGGCTTCCTTCCGAGTTTGGAACAGCTGGCGGAAGCTAAGAAGCTGGCCACGAGCGCCGCTAGGTATAGAGACGATGTGAACAGCTGCAAGAACTGGTTATCGTACTTGCAGTAATTGTTCTCATGAACGTGCTTCTTCCTCTCCCACACCGCGGGGAAAAAATCCTTCAAGAAATCGTCCATCGCCGTCACTCCACCTTTTATTAAATCACAAGTCAACTAACATTAGCTAAGAAGAAAACCAAAACTCAGGTAACTTGAGATACAAGTTAGGTTTCTTGAAGTGAAAGTAAGGTGAAAACTGGTGAAGAGAAAGAACATACCGGAAACTCCGATGTCGTAACCGAAGATCAAACCGGCAACAGCGGCAATCATAACGCAGACGAAGACATAAACAGTCATCTTGGCTTCGAAAGCCGGAGCATTCCCACTAGACGATACAACAACAGCCATGATTAACTAGTCTCGATCAGACACCAGCACTCAAACTCAGTATATATATACAGAGATGGATATATATTAGTGTTTGTATATGTGTGTGTGTCTGTGCAAGCTAAAGATGAAACATGAAGGAGGCTGAAGAAGGAGACAGAGACCCTGTTTGAGATGACAGACTCTGTTTGGATAAAAGATGAAGGAGATGACAGATTTATAAGAGATGGTAGAGTCACAGACAAAACTGATGAGATCCAGACTTGTCTAAAAATGGGATCGTGTTTCGAAATAGCAGAGGCGTGATCTACGGTAGTTACATGGCCTGTAACTCTTGTTTTTGGATCATATATATCTTGTTTTTCTCTTTCCCATTATTTTTGGATTACACAGTCAAATCTTCCTGTACCAACAGATTAGGGATGTTAATTCGTATACTTTTAATCCTGCAAGATAAAATCAAAGCAAACTAATATAATTCCTTTAATTTGGTTCTTGCATTACAGAACCGAAAGCCGGTACTATTTATTGCGTGTGTATCTGGCTCAATCTTCAGATCACTGTTTATTAATCACTCACGGATGTACAACGATATGTTTGTTTGGATATGATTATAGATAGAGAAATGATCATTTATGCTGGACATTTTGCTATCATTGTAGTTTAAAGAATAAAGATCGCACGGGTTACAAATATTTCTATTTATAGACTATATATCTTTCTGTAATACCCAGTGAACGGACAAGACAACGAAGCGATCAACAAAACATGACAATCATATTTAAGGTTTTACATTCTTCTGCCCGGTTTGTGGGAAAAGTCCGGCAAAACGGCAAAACGGCAAAACGGTGAATAAGGTCGTCGTTTCATGGTAGTAGGAAGAATTTGCAATCAAACAAACGAATTAAGAATGTTTTGCCTTTTCTTATTACGCAAGGAAAACATTTAGTATAATGTGGTAACTAGCACCTTTATTACCTTTACTAGCATTCAATAAATATGTGCCAAGAACATAAAAAAGAATACAATATGGGATGAACATTTAAAAAAGCTTTTGCGAGGGCTTTTTATTAAACACTCGAACTTACTAGACGAATCACAAAGCTTTATTAGCGGTGGGATCAGAAGCAGCAAGCTCCTTGTACATGTTTGTTATTGCTTCTGCGAAATATTCCTTTGCCTGTGGTCTCTTAATCTGCAATATTCAATCAAATCATTTCTGCCTCAATACATTTTCACTATTCGTTTCCCAATTATCTCAAATCGAATCCGGATATGGTGTAGAACTTGGGGTTCTAATAACTAGTTTGATGAAGAAAATTCATATAGGAACTAATTCATATATAGTTGCTCAAATGGGTCTCCGCAGAATTTATACCTTGAATGTAGGAGTTAGCAGACCATTCTCCAGCGTAAATGGCTCAAGCACCAATGTCACAGCCTTTGCAAACTCAAAGCCTCTCAACTGCATCAAATGTTTTTTCAATTATAGTCAGTGATCGCGCGTCTTGGAGAGTACTATAGCTAAGATGAAACTTATAATTAATGTTTCTGAGATGCATTGCCTGAGCTTCCCTTCCAACAGTGTCCATGTCAGATAGTACTGCTGCTTTCACTCTCGGGTTATTGCACAATTCTCTCAGATCTCCATGCTGCATTTTAGCATAGAGAGGTATAATCAAGTTATGTTTTCAGTGTTACATTGGACAGAATTTGGTGAAGAAAGTTATATAAATCACCTTAATGCCTTCTGAAGCAGCCCAGCTTTTAAGCACATCTGGATCAACCGATACAACGGCGACTAATGATGAATTAAAGCTATCACCTGGAAAAATTAGAAACAGGTGAGATAGGGAAAGAATAAAGCAAATACTAAACAAAACCATTTACAACTTTTATTTTCTCTACCATATATGAAGCACTGGCCCACAAATTTGCATTTGGCATAGACGTTTTCAATTTTCTCTGGAGCTATATACTCCCCCTGCGCCAATTTGAAGATGTTCTTCTTCCTATTCAAAGAATGAGAAGAGTTTACTAAAGTTGATGATTCTCGGTTCAAAAGATACTTATTCTTTGTGAGCCAACGTATTTACTAACGAAACAGTGGATAACAATCAAGTGATTTGTGAAAACCTGTCAATAATTTTTAGACGTCCTCCCTGTAGCCACAGACCTATATCTCCAGTGTGAAGCCATCCATCTTCATCAATCACCTCTCTCCTGAAAATAATTCATTTTACAGAAAGGATTAAACTTGTGGTACACTTTGTTAAGAGAAAGGAAAATTTGCAATGCAATAGGTTGTTCATACGTTTGAACTTCATCTTTGTAATATCCTCTAAAAATGATGGGACCCCTAACACATATTTCGCCACGGGGATGGGGCTCATCCGCTGATGTATAGTTCATTTCCGGGACATCCACAAGCTTTACTTCTGAAAAATGGAGATGCATATTAAATCACATAGCGATATAAGTTGTATATTAGTTCCCAAATTATTCTACTCATCTTATCGCAGAGTCAGTAAAAAGCTCACCGCAAGCTGGATTAGGAGAGCCAACATGTCCAGTGAGGTTATCACCCTCGTCCATTCCACTTATGACACAAGACGTTTCTGTCATTCCATATCCCTCTGCTACCCTTCCCCCAAAGCATCTGGATAGTCATTATCATAAAATTAAATCAAATATAAAAGAAAAATCACAAGCTAAATATGATAGAACATAGTCTTCTAAAAGCGATAAACTTACATTTTCAAAAAATCCATCACTTCAGGAGACAGAGGTGAAGCCCCAGACGTCATAAAACGAACCCGTCCTCCAAGTCTGTCCTTTATCTTATTAAATACCAACCTATCCCATATGGGAGACGCACTTTTTCCTGTACCAGCAATGCCCATACAAAGGAAATCAAGCTTTAGAAACTGTAAAAATTGTAACTCTTAGAACTTAATAGTAGTCGAAATCCCGAGCTGTGTGAGAAATTACAACATAAAGCTACAGAAGCACACAGATAGATTTCAATGTGAAAATAAGTCTTTTGCGCGCGAATAGAGTTAATGTGCATGACAGGACCTACCATTCATAAGAGCCTGCTTCTTTGCATTATAGGCAGCATTGAAGAGCCTCTCTTTCAGCCCACCAGATGTTTTTACTGCATTAGTGATACTGGCAGCAACAATTTAACCATTAATTCGGTGAATCATCAAAAGCAACAGAGAGTGCATATCAATAAACCGAAGCCATTATTACCCATCATATATTCTATTGTACAATCGAGGGACGCTGCTGAATACAGTAGGTCTCAGAGCAGCCAAATCATCCAGTAGTTTCATATTGTCCTGCATACATTTTCCAGACGTGCTGACTTAATATCTAGAAATCATATTATGTCAAATAAATGGCTAAAAGGAGAAAGTTCAGTTTCCAACCCCTTGGTAGAATCCAACAGCAACTCCAAAGTACACTGATAGGATTTGATTTGCTCGCTCGTAAATGTGTGCCAGTGGAAGATACGAGATGTAACTGTAAGTAGAAGAGATTATGAAGAAATTAGCTACCAATAATATCACTGAGACGAAGACACTTAAGAATACGAAATTTAAGAAACAAGATACATGTACTAATAGATACAAAGGAGAACATCTAAAATCTTTTACTATTAGTAGAAAGAAGTGAACACTTACACATCTGAAGAGAAAAATTTCACACTAAAACTGGAGCCAGCAACATTTGCAATCAAGTTTGCATGAGTTAATACGACTCCCTTTAACATATTTCATCCAGAAGTAGAGCAGGCCAGGGAGGAATGAGACATACAGGATAACATAAAGAGTAATTTAGATGCTATAGACTGCGTAAATATGAAAAGAACAGTAGTATCCCATATTTGAAGACCAGTAAAATTCCAAGTAAGCAAAACCTTGGGGGTTCCAGTTGTTCCGCTCGTATAGCATATGGTTGCAACATCATCAGGTTTCGGAGGAGAAAATTGCTGAGGGCTACTGCGACCCTGAAACAAATATGATTGGTCAGAAAACTATGAGACCAACATGTACCACAGTTGCAGGACATGTGATGATAACACTGAGAAAGACACAGGGTAACTATATTATCTCAATGAGAAAACCATGAAGAGATATATGGGAAATGTGTACGCACAGGCCTGATATTAAATGAATTCGAGTTATAGGTAAAAGTATAATGATGTGGCTGTACACTTGGGCATTTATGACTACTACTTGCAAGTGTTGTATATATGTCGATGGAACACGGGCTGTTAAGAATCAGAACATGATTCATTATAGCACTGGTAAGAATTTGCAATCTCTTAATTATAGAATGTCACTAGTCCGGCGTATCTTCAGAGAACGGATATTGCATTACATATTTTAGAGCAGATAACAGAGAAGAATGCACAGTACCTGATTCAGTAACACCGAATATGATACAACTTTCACTCCTGCTGATGGGGGAAGCGAAGGCAAAGATTCATTCAACCCTCCAACAACCTACTCGATACATGAGAAGTATCATAAACAGAGAGAGAGAGAAAATTAATTTGAAACTGTTGTCATAATACTCAAACCGTAATCAAAAACAAAAATTCGAGCTTTCTTCATACCACCACCAGGCGTACACTTGGCAATTCAGACAAGCAGCTAAGTAACTGTAAGCTCCAGCAATTACCCAATCAGAATAAACAAGCATTCAGTAACATACACTAAACGTGCAGGTAAGCAATAAAAAAAGAAGAAGGAGATTCAAGCAGAAGATTGATGAACTTACGGAGTTTAACGTCTCTGCCACACAAAATATGGCTTGCAAAGATGCATGATTGACAATAAATTTTACAGCATCAGGACCTTCAGCAATTGAAAGAAAACACAATTAGAACATCCCTAAGGAAACCTGCAATGGAAATACAACGGCGTGACCAGATACATACTTACCAAGAGTATCATACA